GTGCTTACATCCTTGGACAAGGTGTTTACCTACATTTATCACTTACTGCCCAGAAGCAAAATGAGTACCTGGGATTGCTGGGGTGATAGTCATAGCAGGGCCTGCGGTACTAATACTGATTTGACTACCTTGAATTAAAGGAAACCGAACCCCAAGTAATAACTTTACTTATTCTGAGAGATATATTATTGCCCATAAATCTACAAGATTCCCCATCAAAGTTTATGAGAGAGGAATAAAAATAAAGTACAATTTCTCAACACGACATGGGCATTGCCATTTTCTTGATAATGTGACGTACTATGCGAAGTCGTTTATCAAGTAATGTTTTCAAATTTATGGATGCTTCTTTCCCAGACTTGTGTGGTGATGAAGCATTTCATTCACCTGCTATTATCCTTTGTACTATAATTGCCAGAACGCAAATTGCATAAATAAGTTACTTCTCTTCTGGGGTGAAGGTTTCTCATAAATGAAATAGATTTATCAACTGCTATAGTGTAGTATTTATAAGTGAATTTTGTTACAATTGTGTCCCTATTATTTTTTTTCACCTAATATACTTTCTATCATCTCAGTTATTTTTTTTATTTTATTGAAAAGTAAAGGTTTCGTTATTGATTTAAAAATTCTTTCCAACTAAAGCTTGGTGCATGATACATGTACAACTTCAACAGGTGCGTCACATTTTCAAGAAAATGGCTCCGCCCATATCATGCTGAAAGGCATCACATCATGCCAGGAATATCTTCATTTATATATATCTTGTACATTTTCGTAAGGAATATTGTACATCAAAGGGCAGGAATACATCTCATTTTTCAGAATACCTACACTTATTCTTTGGGTTTAGGTTTCCTTTAATAAGTCCCAATTTTTATTTTATTATTATTTTATTATCATAACATGGGTTTCTTGTTTTGACTCACTGTGTATATCTGACGTCATTGTACATGGCTTTGAGAGTCATGCGGTTGGTCGATCTCCAGATATTTGAGCCTATATGTATGATGTGAGGATAGACAAGTGGAGTAGCACTGGAGAAGTCATTAGGAATATCATTTTTACATGATGAATATACCCTGCGTTCAGACTTCATGCAGAGACAAAATTTGTTGTATGGCTATACATTAAACATAAATTTTGATAAAGCTAAAGATGAATTTAAGTTTCTAAATGCTTACTAATGAAACGACATCAATATACATGGTGCAGAGCTAAGCGCGATCATACAAACGGCAGTCATGAGCTTTAGCATGATCTCGAACATAGGGAAAGAGAGGGGGAATATCTGGAGCATCTTGGAAGTTAATTGCCTCCTTGATGTTTGGTTTGGGGGAGTGATAGGATTTAACGATTATTTGCAGGGACCCACCGCAACAGAGAAACAAACTCCAAGTTTACTCAAATTAGCGCGCACTCAGCCAAAGGCAGATGATATGTGCAGTACCAAAACAAAATGCGCAGTAGGAAAGTGGGGATCTATGCCACATTTCTTTATAGAGATTAATGATATTTGTTTGTGTCTGAATGCCCTGTTTGCATTACAATATTTTTTTATACATGTATGGTATTTCTTTATTAAATTTCGGGATAAAGTGTATGTGTCGAACAGGCTCTTATTCACCAAGGCATTACTGAATGGCTGTATTATAAAAACTGTCTTCAGAGTATTTTTCTCTGTCGACTTCTCAGTAAAACAGTAGTGCTTTAGGACTAATATTTCAGTTTTAATGAACTTATGTATCAACTTCAAGTTATACATGTATATTAAAATTCCCCAAATAAAGCTTCTTTACATCTATATGTGTTATCAATATATCCAGCCTAACTCAATAATCTCTAAATTAGTAATTGTTACATTTGTTATAATATTACAAATTAGAAGAAGCAATATCATATTTTGGCAATGATGTTTAAAAAAATACAAGTAATAAGCCATGAGCCACAACCATGAGCCACAACTTTGGCTAATAAACTGGAACTCAGCCAGGACAAGACAGAATTTATGATTGTGGCATCACCAAAGCACCAACAGCAGTTACAACATGATCATGTCTATCTTAAAGATAAACTTGAGTTCTGGTAAAAAAAGAAAATGAATTCTCACAGAATCTAACGAAGCTTACACTGAATGTTCAAGATTACAAATAAATGTCATGTGCCAAACAATTTTGGAAGAAAATGTATACTGGCTGAGTAATGAGCATAGAAAGATAAGGAAATCAGGGTAGTACTAGCCCCGACACCATGTGTGTTGTCCCATATCTTTCTGTGTAAGTGATTGTTACTTTACCAAGACTCTGCCAAATTTATGATGATGTTGATGACTCCAGAACCTTGCATTACACACCATTACTTACATGCTATATGATCAACTTTTCTGATCCATTCCACACCTTTTCTTTCACAATGCAATCGCATTACCAGAACTCAAGTTTATCTTTAAGATTGACGATCATACCATTTCATCTTCGTCATCTGTTCGCATATTAAAAAAGTTACCTTTGACAAGCATATAAATATGTAAGATCATGTTTAAAATGTAACCAAATCTGTTAATTTCCACTTGCGTATAACCTCATAAGGAAGTTCGTAAGATCTCTTGTTTTGTCTCCTCTAGATTATTGTAATTCATTACTCCATAAAGATCTTAACTCCCTTCAAGTTGGTTCTCCAGAATAAAAAAAGCAGCATGGCTCATTCATTATAGACCAAAATGTGTCCATGATTCAGAGCTCTTCACTGATCTTCACTGATCTTCACTGGCTTTGTGAGTTTGCGTTAATAATCGTATCATTCATAAGACTTTAACTCTCACTAACAAGTGTCTCAATAATCAAGCCCAAACATACCTAGGTAATCCACTCCATTCGCACACATCCATGTATAATACACAATCAGCCACTAGTATTACACTTGCTGTCCCTCGAACCAGTAAACAGATAGGGGATAGGGTTTTTAAAGTTATTGCCCCCCAAACCTGGAACTCCTTACCCCGTGTACTAAAGAACTCTCACAGCTTTCAAGAGGTGTCTGAAAACACATCTTTTCTTATCTGTTGTTATATTCATCTCTGTTTGTAATTAAAACAAGCTTTGAATGATAATATTCTCTCTCTTTGTTTGTAAGTATTTCTTGTTTATGCACTCTGTATCTAATGAAAAGGGGCTATATAAATGTAATAGTATTATTTAATTTTTGCAAACTGATAGTATGAAATAATTCTCATCATCATTCAACAGCTGAATTAAAGGTGGAGAAAAGAATTCCCTTTAAAAAAATATTTTACAGTTCTTTCAGCCCCCCCCCCCCTCCAACAAGATATTGACGCTAATGTTATTTCACAGCAAAGAAATGTACAGCATCACTCCTGTCATAATTGAAAAGAGTCTGCATGTAAAGACTAGCATGAAAGGTCAAGTGAGGGGACATTGCTACCATTCTGTTTACACTGTGATCATGGTTGTGTGTTGCCATGGGAACACCCCCAGCACAGAGTAAGCTGGAATGCCTGCATTGGATAAATGGGTCAAGTTTTGACATTAGATGTGATTGATTCACAATACCAAATCCTTGACAAGCATATCCTTGCTCCGCAACATACAGAGACTTTTACAAAATTATGATAAGCAACAATTTCATTATACCGATACCATGGGCTAAAAATAGAGTCTTTCTCTCAATCCATCAGCTTTTATCCTGAATCACCAAAAAAGATGAGGTTTAATTTCATTTATACTGTTTGGAAAAGTAAAAATCTTAAGAGAGTGGTAGCACAAATAATACAAACATGATCCAATTTGTATGAGAACATGTGTATTTAATGATATCTAATAATTCATCAGATTGAGGAAAATCAAGTTTGCTTTTGTGACGAGCAAATCAAAATTTACAAGTAAGAGGATACCATACTCAAGATGGCATTCCAAAAAGATGCAACAAGTTTTGAGTTGCGACAAGCCTCTTGTAAGGGAAGTTGTTGCTCATCTTGGTAAAGACGGTTTTGTGAAACGTGTAGCAGACAAGTCATGCAACAGCATCGAGATATCATTGATCTTGTACTTATGACAGGTTCTGGAAACGACCCCCGGGCTTTGATTATTTAACTCTGTTCTGTGAGATGACATAGCATGACCTAGATCATTGCCTATATTCTCATTTTACTTGAGCTTTATTTTTCACTTTCAAGGGAAGAACATAAAAACAGAACAATTGAACATACCAGTATCAAACAAACATGTACCGGTACATGTAAACAGTCATTTTTGTTCTATTCAATTATGATAGTGATGTGATTCTCAAGCCCATTCATGAGGATTTTGAGTGATCAAATGCCCTTTTTATTATTGCAATGGTCAAATGCTGACCTCATTGTCAATGTTCACTGAGGTAAGCAATCAGTTAGGCCACACCAAGACCAAAACACCAGTAGACCTGTCCTATTTGGTAAAATAGCCTGTCCGGTCCGTCTTCACCAGCCCAAAGACTCGCACTATGCTCAAAATATCTTGAGCTGATGAAGACACAATTTGTAGCTTCAGGCTAATTTCCAGAATCAGATATAGCTGACTATTCAGCCAACTGGAGCTGATGAAGACAGGCCTAGTGTGTATGAGAACATCATGAAACTATCCTTCTTTAATCAAACAAACTCATTTTAAAATCTCTTCTGAAATTGCAAATATAATTTACTTAATCATTCTAAATCATGATAGTTTAGAGGGAGAAACAATCACAAAATAGCCATATGAGTTCACAAATTGGAAATCTGTATACTGGTATGCCTTAAAATAAAAATGAACGCTCATTCTACATCATAGAAGTGTGAAGAGATAAATGCAAATCTTACTTGGTCTAAGCTCACCCTGGCCACTTTGTTCCCTCGGTGTATGGAGTGCTTTCAGACTTGTACACCTAACTGTTAACAGTGCAGAGACGGACAAGGACAATAACCTAAATACTATAATTAATCCAGGGAAGGGATTTTAATCCTGGTTTCAGAAAAGGAGTCAGAGGATTCTATTTTGTTGAGGAAAATCAGTACTCTGGTCCATTGAAGAGAGAGAGATGAAGAAGTATTGTTAACAATAATCCTCAATAGCTGCCCACTCGACCATAGCTGTGAACATGCAAATGCCCAGACTAAGGATATACAGAAGAGACAATCTGAACCTCAAACATTGTGCTAACTGTAGCTGAGTTTTCAGACAACAGTCTTCAAAAACATTTGAAGTGATGTTAAGAGCAGCATGAACTGTAGTATCATGAGAGATTAACTCTAATAATAGAAGAAACTAGCTGTGATGATAAGGGAGGTGTATTACATGGGATTGTTTAGAGAACATTTGGAGTCTCATCTTCATATAGTGGAGTTATCTTTCATTGGAATGTTTGGAGAACATTTTGGTTGACCTGACCTCCGAGTGTTCCCTCCTGCAGAGTCCTAAACAAGTGGATTGGTTTTCTCAAGAGCTAGCTCGATCAGACTTCATGTATGCGTCTTGGCGTCCACAGAGATAATGCATGATGCTAGCGTCTGTATAGATGATGTTTGCGTGCCTGGCTGTGGTTTCTTCAATATAACTTTGCTTGACAGGAATATTTGGAATTAAATGAATACTTTGCAGTTAGAATCACAAGATATATTGGATTGTGGATACCGGTAGATGTGCATGATTGAACAAATATGTCTTATGTGAAGAACTTAGGAAAGAAGCTTCAACGTAAGTGAATTCATTTGTAGAAAAAAAGATGGTGTTATGTAAAAGAGATCCAGTGTTTGGATATGTGAAGTACTAGTTTTAGTGATTTTCACTCAGAGTCAGAGTGCCAAGCATGCATTAGATACATGTCTACCACATAGTACTTAGTAGCAATGTTTTAGAGTCAAATCTTTCAAAAAAAATATGGCAGAGCATACACTATATAGCTACAAAAAACTCAAAATAAAATCCACATATCCAACTAAATGAGCTTTCTTACTCATATTCCACTAACAAAGTACTCAATCCTGTTATTTCTTCAAGAATAAAACAAAGTAGTTTCTTCCATTTTTTTGGTGCTGTAAGTGCCAGACCAGACAGATGTTGTGCAGAAGGTGAATAATGAAATACAGTTGGCCTTTCCTTTTTCGGTTGGGGGGGGGGGGGGGGGGGGGGGGGAGGCAATTCAATCCATTTCATGTTTTGTAAATAAATTCTCTGCCATTTGTGGTAGTAGCTGACCATACTTATTGCAGCTCAGTACTGCTTTAAGGTATCATGGTTCTGACCCAATACACATGCATGCATGAGGGGGTCAGAACAATTTGACTGGAGTAGAGGATTCAAGAGCTGGCAAAGCCACTTGAGCCACTAGCTGCATGAGGACTTGCCTAGGCCTCCTACATGTAGATTGTACAATGGATACAAAAAGCAGTAACAAATTTTCAATCAAAATTGGGCTGAAAATGAATTAGAAATCTCAGTGTATACATGTATGTTATCCTTGAATTTCTACAACATACAACTGCACCCTTTATTTACTCAAGAGGGTGAATCAATAGAATGCAATGCAGTACATCTGCTTGCACAGGTACATGGTCCGTTGTTGTGTTATTATATGCATTTGGATTTTTTTTATTTTAATGACAGACAGATGCAATAAATACACTGGATTATAATGGAAAGGAATCTAAAATGAGATCAGAACATCTTGATCCTTTTCTGCGGAAAAAATTCCCCTGGTTTAGTTTCTGATCAAAAGAACGGCTTTTATTCAAAGCAAACACATTAAGTTTATATTGATAGTTGCAATTTTATGGAAGGATAACTGCCTAAAGCACATAAGGGTTAAAAGGGAAGAATAAACCCATCGCAGAAATAGACTACATATAGTTTGTAGTTAGCACTTGGATGTATTATGGCCCCAAATTTTCATGCATCTTTTGAAAAGTCCCACACAGTAAAGCTGCCAATGTGAAATAAGGTGCTTGACTAATATTACCTGTGTTTTACCTTTTGAAATTTCACATTGACATTAAAGTTGGTGCACAATGAATGATGATTCACTTTACATAGGTTTCATGAATATTTGTATCAGTAAGTGTTCCTACATGTTCATGTACAATCAGAGAAACAGATGATTGAAAGTTTAGAAAAATCAGTTAAAATAATATTTAAAAAAAAATTTGTATGGTTTAAATAAGGAAATCACTAACTTCCACCATACAACCATGTGAGGAGAAGAGGTATGTACTCAGGCGTGTATGCAGGGGGGGGGGGTTGGGGGTTGAACCCCCACCTTCAACGTTTTTATGTGTGTGTTTTGGAGGAAACGTCCCCCTTCAATATTATTTTAATTAAAAAAAAAAAAAAAAAAAAAAATTGGTAATAGGTGACCCCAAAAAGCTGACCTTCCCCCTCCAACGGAACAAAATATTGATCGACTAAATTTTGGGAGACAAAAAATAATGCGCTCCCCCCCCCCCCCCCCACAGACTATTTCTTTCTTCTAAAAGCTCTGTGAAATCTACTGTAATCATACATGCAAGCATGATTATGGGACAGATGATAGCATTGAAACCATTCAGTATTTTGCAGGTCTGTTGCTAGGGAAATATGAACTTGATAACATCTGTCTGTATCATTTTTAATGTGACCTTCATTGGTTAGTAGAAATGATTTGCACTACCAGGAAAGCATCATAAGCTGCATTTACACTGCAAGCAAAAATTATTATTGATTTTTTTCACATTCTGGTGTTTTATCAGAAGTTGCTAAGCAACTAACTGCAAACACACAAAAAGAAATTGAAAATCATCCTCTGGAATGTTTTTTTTTAAATGAGGGCAGAAATTTCACTGAATTTTGCAGTGTTTACTGTACCTCTTACAAAACAACCATGACAATTATTGGTCACATGAATCTCCTCACTTCTGAGTGATCGCTTCGCAAGTTGGGCATGCGCACAACTCGCCAACAAATCAGAATGAGCAAACATGGATTTTTTTTATGGATTTTTCTAACTCGCAGTGCCACAGAAAAGATTACCCGTAACTCTGATTTCATCCCGTCTTGAATTTGGAAATAGCATCCTAAGTGTTAGGGTAAATTATCTCATCATTTTCACTTTTCTCTGTGAATTAGCTAGAGCTAGTTCATCTGCCTAATTTCCCCCATCGGAATAACCAGCCACTTTTGAATCTCGGATAAAGATGAAAGGCCCTTTTGAAACAGAGAAGACTTAAATGACAGACTAATATAGAAGCACTGAGTAGTCTAATATCTCAAGCTTGAGCTCACTCTGGATGATCAAAACAAATCACCCAATAAGACACAGCTCAGTTAAAAATCAATGTTTAGTTTGAAAAGTGTAAAAGAACTGAGTATATCAGTACAGTACCAGCAGTAAAAAGAGTCTTCCTGAAATCTATACTTAAACTACTAGTAGATTTATGTCATGATTTATGGGGATTTCTATTTTCTGACCTCCTAAGTAAGTTACTGGTAAAAAAAATTATGTGTAAATGGTGAGATTTTTGTCCTATTGTAATATTATTTCTCTTTGATTCTCACAATCTTCACATGTTAATTTCCTGTCAACATTGAATATTACAATGCCATCAAGGATAAGCTTGAGAAGATATTTTATGAGTGGTGAGTATTGATAGAGACTTGCTGTGAAATCACTTTTTTAATGTTTGTAAAAAAAAATGTATAACATTGATTAATTGTGTTGTTTCTTCTTCTTTTGATTCAGATGAGCAAGAGAGAGTACAGAAGAAAACTTTCACAAACTGGATGAACTCGCACCTTGCCAAGGTAAACCGTCAAATGAATTCATTTTTTACACTAAGTGTTTCCTAAAAATGCAAAGGTATGATATAAAGGACAATTTTGTTAAACCTAAAGACAATAATAGAAAAGGAGGTGATAATACAAAGTAGTAAAATATAGCATATTCTGGCAATTCGGTATAAGACAACATTTTATAGTATTTAAATAAAATGAATTAGTAGTGTAGTTTTGCTTTATGGAAATAGTAAAGTAATACTAGGGAGCCCTTTGAAGATATTGGAACCAACTATTAATTTCTCTTTCTCGACAAGATATAGCTGAAATAATCATTTGTCATACGGTAGACCTTTGATTCATAATATTTGAAAATTTTGATGGCCCTCTGTGTAATAATTTAATGTACAGCAACATATATATTGATTGTAAAGGGAAAATTTGTGAAAAATTTCAAATTTCCACTATGAAAATTAAATTAATCTATTTGGTTTGTTATTAATCTAAAATATATTTCATAGGTTGCCAACAAAAAGCACATTTGAAGATTAAAATGTTAGAATATTTCAAGCTCTTACACCGAATTGCCCATTAAGTACTCTAGATAAAGTGACCTCAAACGGACTGATCATGGTTTGTAAGCATTGTTCTACATAGTGAAATGTATATGTGGACAGGACCAATGTGTGATTTAGCTCTGGAAAACTTTGGCAAGCACAGGAAACCTAAACGTAAACCGAGTTTTAATATTGTGACACCTAAATCAAAACTTCAAAAGGTCAATAAAGGGCAGTGGAGTCATTTCAAAATAAAAATTTATTATAGCTTAATTAAACATGCCATCTTGCATTATTAAATCATAATAAAGGAAAGGAATGGAATGGCAAAATAGGATAAATTGACCAAAAAATGATTATTCATTTTTTAATTAGTATCCTATTTGTTCTTGTAAATTGCTTGTAGCATGACCCACCTTACAAGATTGATGATCTCTTTGGTGACATCCAGACTGGAACAGTACTACTGGCTCTCCTCGAGATTCTCTCAGGGGAAGCTCTAGTAAGTTGTCAATTTCTCATTATGATATTTTTGTTCATATATTGTTATGCCTGTTGCATACAAAGTGTCATTTTTGTTGCATCATTACCTGCACCAGTCAAATCTGTCAAGTAAATTTGGTGCATTGTTTGCAGGGGCGTCTTCTAGATTTTCCAAAAAGGGGGGGGGGGGGGTGAAATGTATGAAATCGTGAGCTTTTGCAAGTACCTTCAATGATTACTACTTTAATGGCAATGTATTGAAAGAGGTCATAATCACTAATACCCTGGTCACACTGGGCTAAATTCAATTGCCAACGGTGCTATGCTTTTATTACGAGCTTTTTACACAGATATCTCACCACGTTGCTACCACGCTGCTTGTACAATAATGACGTTCTTTATAAGAACGTTCTTTTTAAGACTTTGCCCCGCTTATTATTGGCCACAAACCAGATACGCTTATTTTGTGCACGTTCAAAATAAGTGTGGGGAGAGCATGCATCTTCTCGATCTAGGAGATCCCACCCCAACCAAACCACGCTCATGGAGTTCCTCCCACGTGAACGTTTGGCTCATGATTGGCCCCGATTGGCCACGCTCTCTGCCACTTTTCCTTTATAGTAGAAGCGGTGTCAATGTGTGACCTGGGTATTATCAGTGATTGATAACAACATACATTCATGCTCATTACCTGCTAGGAGCTGACATTTAAGGGGTATATTGCGCTGGGTGTGTAGTCTTGTCGCATACTTGGAAATAATACTTGTAATGATTTATGTTTTCAACTATTCTGGCAAGTGGAATATTTTTATGGATAGGTTGAATACTAAATCTTTATGTGAGGGTAAATGTCCGAGAACTAAGATGGATGAAAACAAAAAGCGAATTACTGTATTCTCTACATATTGCTTGTACGAGTGCATATACCAGGGAGTTGATGCCTCCTGCCTCAATATCAGTTTATAAATTTTCTAAGCAAATGAAGTGAATAAGCCCCAAATAGTTGCATTATGGTAAAAATGTAATTTTGTTATGTAAGTACTCTAGAAAGAGTATGAGATTAACATATTAGGGCACCTCGCTATCTGAAAATTAGCATATTTTAGTATCTCACTGCCCCAAACAGAGTGTATTTCAGTTTGGCACCTCACTGTCCTAATAGGAGGTAATGGTTATCCAATTATTGAAACTTTAAATATCTTGAGGAGGGCTGCAGCCTCTAGCCCCCAGCTCCCGCCTTGTCTCATTAACCTATAATGCCATACATTGTTTTTATTTCCATACAGCCTTATGAGAAAGGAAGACACATGAAAAGAGTGCACTGGCTGTCCAATGTGAACACAGCTCTCAACTTTCTTCAGGAGAAAAAGGTGAACAAAATACACACCGTTTTATATGATTAGGAATCAAGGGGGACAAATCACTATTATATTATACAAGGCATTTTGATAGTTAAGGATATTAGAGCATTTAGGATAAAATTGATTTGATAATAGTGTTTGAAATGTAGGTCTTTTAAGAATGAATGCAAATGACTTTAAAATCGATATATGAATATCTTCATATATTGAAATTTCTGTGAAGAAGGTATTTTAGATTAGCATAAGGGAGTAGTGCATAGAGAGGCAGCCAGAATGCAAAATGCAGAATAGGTGACAAATTTAACTTTATTGCATAGATGAAGCTGGGAAATTCCTTCATTACCATAAAAAGGCTATATAACACCAAACTGCAATTCAGGTGTATGTCAATTATACTTTTTAATTCCCTAATATCACCAACATTTGTGGTTTTGCATTCTGGATGTATGTTTAAAGTGGCACTCACTTCATTTTGCTGAACATTCCATCTCTATTCTGTATAATTCTCGTTGACTGTATTTCTATACTGTACTTATCTGCAGATCAAGCTAGTGAACATCAATGCAGGTGATATTGTGGATGGTCGTCCACCAATTTGTCTTGGTCTTATCTGGACAATTATTCTCTACTTCCAGGTAGGTTTAGTTTTCATATTCAGTGCCATCTTTGAAGGCTTAATTGTTCATATATGACAGGGCAAACCATGGCAGTTTAGCATTGTTCTTTTATGAGCGTACTGTGCTTCATATTTTTGTATCTGATAAAATACAGAATATGTGAGAAAGTGTACTGTTGTTGCATGCAGCTACTATTTCATCCCCACTTGCCATTTAGTAAGTATAATACACAAATCCATGGTAGTTTAGTACAGCATATGTGAGCAAGCCTGTAGTGTGCTTTATCTTGTGACCCATAATGCTCTCAATTATACATACATTGTTAGCAGAGCAAATATGAGAGAAAGGGATTAGTTCATCTGTTGAATTAGATTCTGCTGATGAAGAATAACAGGAATAAAGAGTGATGAAATTATGCCTTCTGTTTTAAGTTCTCATATTTTTACATCTTTTTGGTAGATAATGGATCATTGGTCTGAAATATGAGTGAAATCTTATCAAATCACTGATGATGCATGCCTTTTAGATTGAAGCCAATACAAGTCTTCTGGATGCTCTAGCTGAGTATGATTCAAGCAGTGTGGGTAGCTCAGCAGCCTCAAGTCCTACCACCTCCAGACGAGGGTCTCAATCAGATGAACCTCCTCCTGTGAAGAAGGCTTTCAGGGCTGCATCCAAGTTGAAGCAGAAGGTGACTGCTAAGAAAGCTCTCCTCAATTGGGCCAAGAAGGCTTCAAAAGCTCTGTAAGTGTGATATTGTTGTTTGATTTATGACAGTGTCCTTCACTACTAAAAGATTTATATTAACAGCTGTCATAGAAGTGTGTCAAGTAGGAAGTATTCTATCCATTCAAGTGTGTGGTTTCTTGAATCATATCCTGAACATGTATTGCAGTCAAAGATATGATTTTTGCATCATTAAATGATGACATATTCTTTTTGCCAATAGATTGTCTTTACCAGTGTAAGACCTCTGATAAAGGTAGATGACATAGAAAGAGTTGTTTAAAGAGAAGGTTGAGTTCTGGGAAGAGGTGAAAAATAATTTGTGAGCATTACTCATTCTTATTATGCAAGTGTGGAAGAACATCAGTTAAGACATGTTCCCTGAAAAGCATGGCCCTTCAAATGTCTTCATATTCTAAATATGCATGTAACATCGTAAAAATGTATGAAGTTAAGAATGGATGCGCACAGTGGATACGCAAAAGTCATTGGTAGATTACCCCTTATTTTCAAACATGATTTGGACAGGAAAATTAATCCACTAGTGGGATTCTCCTCAGTGATTCCAAGCTTACACTATGCCCCTCAAATTCTTCTAGGGACACTAATGAGTTTCAAGATCAGCTTGTATGTGCCAGTTTTAAAGGTAAAGACCAGTTATGGTCATGCGATTGCATTGTGAAAGAAATGTTGTGAAATCGATCAGAAAAGGTTGATCATCTAGCATCTAGCATCTGCAAGGTTCTGGAATCATCAAAATGATAAGAAATTTGGCCCATTCTTCGTAAAGTTACAAGCACTATACACAGAAAGATGTATATGGGACTACCCTATATCTCTCACAGACCATGAGAGAAACAAATGTACCAAATTTATGGATTATTAGGCGGTTTCCGGCAAATTTTTTATCATCATGTATTATTCAAAACATATTCTTTCACATGATTGGTAATGGGAGCTTCCATTTCATTTTTTGAAATTGGGGCGTTTCCAATACTGGTCTTTACCTTTAACTGTGCACCTCAATGCAGTCAATATTTGTACATTAGATATTATTGGAATAAAAAAACACCAAAACAATTCATGCCAAAAGGCTGTTTGACACCATGTTGTATAAAGAACTACAAGAGAGTACAAATGTAAAGTATTATCCTTTAAATGTAACCTTAGACCTAATAGGGAGAGAGAGAGAGAAAGAGAGAGAGAGAGAGAGAGAGAGAGAGAGAGAGAGAGAGAAAGACAGACTGTAGTATATAGATACATTGTAGTATATGTAGGTTCATGCTTATACCATTGATTATAAAATCTTCTCAAACTATAACTTTGGTACTGATTCTCAACATAAACCACTTTTTTGTACTTGAACATAATTATTTTTCATGCTATGTGAACTTATATGATAGGGAATTGATATAATGTAAGGTGATTTGTTAATTGGGTAGACCAAAATAGAAACCATTCTATGTACTTCTATTCACAGCATGTGTGTTCATGAAATCCATGGATAGCTGATGACAACTATGTCTTGCATGTTCCATTCCAACATGTTCCATTCTAACATGTTCATGTACAAGTGTACGTGTACAGAAGTGTACAGAAGAATGCAGTTGGCATTTTGCCAGTCAGTGTCTGCAACTATGCATCAGTATGAGGGAGTGTGTGTATGACGTAGCTACATATTTTGCACACTTTATCTTCACACAAAGAAAAATTTGTTTGAATGCTTTTTCATCTGAGTAGTATAAAAAAATACTCCACCTCTCATTGCAAATATTCTGTTTGATCTTTATTGACCCAGATCATCCTCATTCAGAAATGGAAATGGAAAAAAGAGCAACTATACATATTTTCTATCTACTATTTGAGGTTATTGAAGTCTCTGTCTTTCATAATTTTTGCTTCATGTTTGTTTTTTCATCTGAACAGTTCCATAGCTGTCAACTTTTTCGAAGAAAGAAAAGAAAATCGTAATTATTACGACTTTCAGACCCTCATGAATTTACAGATGCACCTTAAAGAATAACAAATATGAGGGGAAATATGCATGAATGCATTGAATACACACATAATATATAATCTCTCTCTCTCTCCCTCCCCCTATCCCATACCTCTCCCTCTCCCTCAGCCCCCTCTCTTTCCCCACTCACCCTCCCTTCCCCCTTTCCCCATCTCCTTCTTTCTGTCTTTGAATATGTTTTCCTGACATAATGATATTGACATAATTAGCTCTAGGGATGATGCAGGCCCTCTACATGTAATTGTTGTCCTAGATCAGCTATTGTCAGTATGCCTTGCAATTAGATCTTATAACCTTTATCAGACTGTAACTCTACACATCAATTCAGGGTTTGTAGTTTCTATGTTTCAGACCTGACCTAACCCAACCCAAACGTGAGTCCTTAATAGCTGGACTGAACAGGTACTTGTGCCTATGACTTGTAAAGAAAAGTATTATATGAAAGTTTGGTTTTAGCACTGTCACTTGACCAGATTATCTTTCACCCTTAAAGGAGTTTAATGTTTTCGGGAAGATAGTTTAAATTTGTGTCTGTATGGAGCCAAAAGGACACTAACTCAGTGTCAAATGACATGATATACAGTGTAACACCCTCCTGGCTCCAAGCTGAGGATTTCTACATGATAATTAATTCCTTGAAATGCGCTGTTATGGCAGCTAGGCTAAAGCCGGGGTAATAATAAATGCGCCTCGGAACAGAATTTCTAGATAGACGGCGCTATAGAAATGCCTATTATTATTATTATTATTATTATTAATGAATGAAATAATTTTATTTGGCTCAACTGCAGAATATCCCACCATGTATGAGTGTCATGTACATGCATTAGGGTTAGGATTTGGGTCAGGATCAGAGTCGGAGTTAAGGCTTGGGATAAGGGTTAGGGTGTGTCAGGGTTGGGCCCTATATAGGGTCAGTACGTGTCAGGTTTAAGATTACTTGTGTGGTTATTTTGCAGTTGTTCCCTATAATGTGTTTCAATGAAAACCCTTATGTTTTACTCATTTCAATTACACTGTAGATCCATACCTGGCGGTCCAGCAGTGGAGATAAAAGATTTTGGACCAAGTTGGAGAGATGGTAATGCCTTCAACATGTTGATTCATAACATCCATCGTGATCTGATTGATCTGCAATCTCTCAGTGGTCAGACCAATTCACAAAGATTGGAACAAGCCTTTAGTCTAGCAGAAGAGAAGCTGGGAATAACCAAACTCCTGGATCCAAATGGTAGGTTGAGACAAAGAACCTGAAATGAACCAGTATATCACTGCAAACTATAAGCTACTTTATGTGTAGGTGATTGGCAAGTGGGAGTTAGAGTATGTTTATCTGCGCTTTACAAGTTTCCCCATGTGTGATGTAAGATACAGAAATATATGAAGTGCACTTTACTTTTTATACCGTACTTTACTGCTGTGGTTTTTTACTGCTGTGGGTCACTCTCGTACACAAGTGCTACCCACCCGTGTCCATCAACCTCTGCAAGGGACAAAACATTGAAACTTGTGAACCTGAAAAGTCACCCTTTTTTCGTTTTTGTGTGATCAGAGCTTGAAAAACACTGCTTTTTAAGGAAAACATAGACAACGCTTTTTCTTGATGCAGGTGCCTAGCCGGCCATGTTGAGAGTGACCCCCCCCCCCCCCCCCTCCCTGGGACCTGGGCCCTACCTTTAAGAGTTACAATTGATCCAGATTAATCCCAAGTCCTCCAATCAATAACAAACTTACAAACTCTTATCTCTTTAGTACAGAGTTTCAGTTGATATCAAGTTGCGATCGATTTGCATCAATTGCCACTATCATGATTTTGCATCATTGCCACTATCACAAGTTTGCATCAATTGCAACTATATCTATAATATGGGTCCCAGAATTCAACCTCTGTGTCATGCAATTTATTTAATGACATATATCTTTCAACTGTTGCATAGTTAAGATACTTCACATTTTTTCTCATTCAATTATATTTTAGTTCTTAAATTGATTTTAATAATGCTTGTTTTGTTTCAGATGTTGATGTTGATAAGCCAGATGAGAAGTCAATCATGACTTATGTCTCTCAGTTCTTCACTGCTTATCCTGACACTGGGTCAACAGCAAAGGTAAATCTATTAGCTTAGAAAAAAAATTATTGTTTTATTCACTCCCCAGTTTTGCAATTATTATTATCCAAGCATTGCTAGGTATTCAATTGATAAACCTTGGTGGAAAGAGACAAATGTAGTTATAGCACCTTGTCCAAGGATCTAAGCACTGAGCAAGCATCAAACACAGAACCTCTTTAATGGTATTCAAGATCGTCTACCAGTACACTGATGTTTGGCTGTATTCATGTATCTACAGTGTAGTATACAGCTAGAAAGGATCATCCACGATAAGACATTTATCAATCAAGGAATCTCTTCCTACTGGGAGACTACCTGTTTACTTCACCTAGGTCGAAAGTGGCAAGTGTATGATAGTATTACAAAGGTTGTTAGTGTCATGACAGGGATTTAAACCATTTACCAAGGGATTCACAGTCTGCAGACTCTTCCACTAGACAATAATGTATCTACATAATAGTAAACAAACATTTGCAACCCTGTACAACATCAGCAATACGATTGGAAAAGCCTGAGATGAGTTTACAATATTCAACATATTAGACAATTTCAATATACATCCACTGTCCTTGCAGCTATTCATGTCTTTCTGCCCAGTTCAAAATGATTGCTATTTTTTGTATTTATTGTGAATTTTTTAGAGAAAGGAAGCAGAGGGAGAGGGTGATGAAGAGAGATCAGTCTGTAAGAAACTGAATGACTGTCTAACAGTAGAGGAAGCTGTCTTAGCAACCAAACAGCCTGCAACATTATCATCAATATCAGATTATCAGGTACAACTTTGTCTTTTTTCCCTCTGCAATCATTGGAATTGAGATTCCCCGGTTTGAAACTTTTGCCCAGTATTACTTTGTATTTTATGATGTAGAAAAGATATTGCGCATAAGTGTAATCCTGTTGGTCTGTAAATACGTCATGTATAAGCATTATTACAAAATACCAAGTCCATAAGAAAATATCCCATTGCAACAATGGGATTCTCATTGTGATCTATCGTGTGTAGCAAGTGCACGGCCCCCTCTTGTGCAATTTCTGTCTTAGTAATCATTTATTTATTGTCACAATCACTTCTCTGAGAACTCATGAATAGTTATAAACAAACCAAACAACCATTTCGTCAATAAATATGTGTTATGACTTTTTTTGTTTGTTCAGAGATTTGTAGAGTTTGAAAAGGAACACAAGAAGAGCAAGCAGATGATGATGAAGCTGATCGATAAGAAACAGAAGAAAGTCTTTGTAACAATGACCACGGAGGAGTGTGATGTCATGATTGAGAGATGGACCAAGGTTTCAGGAGACTATGAAGAATGGAGGAAAAAGCTGGAGAATGACATGCCAGGAGAGCTGGGTCGGATAGGAGCTTGGTTGAATAGAGCAGATGAGCTGTTGAAGAGAGGAGAGGTGGAGCCACTGGAGTCACAAGATGCTACCTGGAGCCAGATGAAGAGGAGATTGGAGGAGCATAAGGTAAGATAGGGAGTCATTTCCTTGACCGAGCAGAAGTGAAGTTCTAACGGGTTGAAGCATCAAACAGAAGATACGCCTACGTATCTTGAATTTTCACTTTAATTATTATAAGCCGTGTATGTTTGTAGCTACTGAACCTATATTTATGCTGAGGTCACATTCTATATACAAGCTCCACATTTGGTTCTGCAACATTTACTCCAGCAACGATTGCTCCAGGCTTTACTTTATCAAAGTTATAGGGTTTGGGTAAAGGTTTTAATCAAAAGTTAGGTTTAGGTTAGTGTTAGGTCCATGATCGAAGTTAGGAGTTCAGTTATTGCAGTAAATTAAACACAGATTAATTGTCACTGGAGCATATGTATTACATCCCTATATTTCTTTCATTATGAATAGTGTCAATATATTGCCTACTCTTTCAGGTGCACTTCAGAGAGGCCAACTACATGCAGCAGTCCTTTACACGAATTCATCACCAAGGGATCAAGGTGGATGGTCAAGACATTCCAAAATCCATGTTGGACAATATAGCTGAAAGGTTTATTGTTGTCATGGAAACAAAGGATTCTCACAGGTATGTACAAAATGAAAACAGTCAAACACTAATATGTAGTTCAATAGATTGAATTTTTCATAGTTTCACAATCATTTTTATTTCCTCTTTACCTTTGAAACTTTGGCCTACTCGTTGCTGCAGGCATCATCGGACGGACGTTTTACTGTTCAAGGAATAATATGGAGTAATGTGAACCTAAGAAAATACAAATGTACATTTATGTTCATATAATATTTTAAAAAACAAACATACAAAGTGTAAACTGTGTACATGTTCATATGAGAAACATACTTAAGATGTGGTACTATCAGAGTGAAATATCTGAAAACTGTGCTTTTGAGTCATGATTGTAGAGTACCATTTTCCATTTGTCTTTTGCAGACTGCACCTGGAATATGAGGAGATTAAATATCGTCTGCTGGCATTTGTTGTAATGGCAGAGAAGAAACTTCAGACATGGACTGTGAAGTATGGGGACGCACAAGATGTTCAAGGATTATTACAGAGCTATTTGGTATGCTATAATTTAGATTTGCAACCATAATGTTGGGAAATCCTGAAGCAGTGTTTCCTGCATGGCATAAATCTTTTTCCTACCGGTATTCATTTGATCCAGTTTTGTCATATTGATTTTGTTTATGTCAATAAAACATTAAGTCTATGATTTCCTTTTGATGTATGGTACTTAGATTTTAAGGAGAGAGGTGTTCATAATTTAATGTTTTTATATGTGTGTGAATATAAGAATATATGAAAGTTTAACAAGTGTTATTGTGTATTGAAAAATGAATAAGTTTATATATGAATCCTACTATTGTTTTACTTTACTTGATTTACTTTAATACTTGACTTAAGTGCAAAGGATGGAGTGTCCCCTTGCGCTCCTACGGGTGGTCTGCCTCCATTCACTTCTGTCCTGGGCTTGTTGTTGAGCAGCCTCCAGGCTTAATCCAGAGTCTTGGCAAATTTGGTCTTTCCACCTCAGGGAAGGATGCCCCGTTGCCGTAGAAATGTTAAGTCATTGGTGTGGACTTTTATTGGTAGGCGTTCCTGTGGCATACGTACGGCATGTCCAAACCAGGCGGCGGTTGGATATTTCCTCATTTATTGTCGTAGAGATGTTCAGTGACTTTTGGATGTCTACACTTCTAATTTTATCCAGAAGATGGACTCCTGTTATTGTTTGTCCATATATTGTTTCTCAGTCTACCAAATGCCCAGGAAGCTAGATTTGTGCGTCTCTTGACATCCTTGGTAACCAAGGGGACTACACTTCCAAGGAAGACAAAGTTTTCTACTTTCTCTATAGGATTGTCATCCTCATCGTCGTTTGTCATGATTCTGCATTTAGCTGTGTTGATTTTCATTTCTCATGTACCACATACTTCCACCAGCTTGTTAGTTGATGTTTGGAGTTTGTCATAGATGAGTTTGAGTAGAGTAGTGTCATTTGCATAGCGGATATTATGAATGTGCATGCCACCCATCTGAACCCCACTGTCTAGGTTTTTGACATCTGTCATCACAAACTCTAGGAAGATGTTAAACAGACTTGGGGAAAGAAGGCAGCCTAGCTTCCCTAACGCCTGTCATAACTTGGTACCATTCCGTGATTTTACCATTAACGCTGACAGCATATTTGGTCTGATCATACATATACTTAATGAGGTCAATCAGGTTCTCCTCAACTCCTATTGAAAGAAGGCACTTCCATAGAGCTTCCCTCCAGACAGTATCAAATGCTGCTTTAAAGTCCACAAAGTTCCAATGAATAGGGATATGTCTCTCTTTGGCCTTCCCCAGCACTTGCCTGACAGTACAAATAGCATCAGGGTTCCTCTGGAGTTCCAGAATCTACACTGCTCTTCTGATAAATGCTCTTCAATTGATTCTTGGATCCTACTGAGCTCCATCCTGCAGAAAACTTTAGCCGGCACTGATAGCCGTCATATGGCTCAATAGTTAGCTGGGTCAAGTTTATCCCCCTTTTTTTGTTACTTTACACTATTTTTTAAACCTCAGGATTTTGTGGATTCTGGCAACTTCTTTAAGCAGTATGAAGACACATTCAGATTACTAGAGGAAGCAACTGGAATATATATTGCCAACTTAAATCATGGTAAGCATGCCATCAAGATTTGATCATGGCAAACAGATGTTTTAACTATTTGTCATGTATTCCTTGAGTAATTGATTTAGTTAAAGGGGAATCCAACCTTAATAGCAAACTACTCTAGAGGAAAGCAGAAAAATCAAAGAAGCACACTGGTGAAAGTGTGAATGAAATCGGACAAAAATTAAGAAAAATATGCATTTTTAAATGTTGCAATCACTATAGGAATGGGCTCTCCAAATTGGCTGAAAAGGTAATGTCTCTATGATGTAGTGGCGGACGACTTTCCCATTTGTTCCAATACACAAAACGACTCAAATTTCAATTTTTTGAAATTGTATGGCTCAGCAGGGTCTATTTTCTTTAGAAGACATATGCTATCCATAATATATATATATGAGTACTGCCCCAAGGGAGAAGGCGCCTAATCAAAGAAAAACAGAAATTAACGATATTTTGGTACACAACAAACAGGAGAGTAATCCGCGACTATGTCACAATCCACTGACCAAACTGCCAATTTGAGATAGACTTAATGATCTCATATTTCAAACATTCATAACTTTATTATTATTGGTGCAATTTATTTCACAACTTTGGCTATTCTGTTTATCTTATTTTTTTGCTTTCAAACAAATGAACTAATCATTAGGGTTGGATTGTCCTTTAATAATATGATTATTGTTAATTTATATGCAAGGCTATTAATAAATATCAAATAATATGTTGCCCTGAGAGAGTAAAACTCTTGGCTGTTACATTATGAACAGGCATTTTTATTCTTAGCTACAATAATTGTACTTATTCGGAACTCCTACTGTTACTATTTTACATTTTATTTGCCTTTAGTTTGCCTGCATGGGTAAGGGTAAAGAAAGAGAAATATTGTCATGACCAGATTATAAGTACTGAATTGTAAGCAACAGGTTTGTCAATGCTTTACACTTGTAATTGAGATATTCTACCTGTGTCATGATATATACATTACAGGTGAGGAAAAAGAGATTTGCAAGCGATTTGTTCATGACATGGAGTTGAAGAAGAAGAACCTGACAGTTGAAGTAGCCTCAGTCAAAACCATGTTGGAGAAGGTCACTGAGAATTGGAGGTCATATAGGTCAGAGGTCATTGACCTTCAACCATGGTTAAAAGAAGCAGAGAGAATTACCAGTCAAGGATCTCATGATATTAAAGTGGTAAGATGGCTTTTTTTTGGTTCTTCACAATGTATTGTTTGTGATTTTCAAAAAAGTAATGACTGCTGCTGTACTGTTATTTTCAGTTCATTTTTCTTATGCTTATGATTTTACTATTTATCTTCACTTCTTTCTTTTAGCTGTGTACTTGACTTGCCCTGTGTGTTTAAACAAAAAAATGTATTAGATGACATACCGTATGCACGTTCATAACTCATCCCACAAACAAGTAATTGGGGGAAACTGAAAACTAGCACATTAATAAAATGACAAGTGCCAGCTATCACCTTATTGTGTGTTACCAAATGTTAATCATATGGGTATGAGTAAATGATTTTGTCAAGAAGGAAAAGTTTAGAAATATTGAATAAAATAAACTGCAAGAATCTTTCTGCTCACTACATTTGTATTTTTTAAAATTCAAAATGAATGTAGACATTTTTTGCCAACCTGAATGAGATGACTCCAAAACATACTGCTTTGAATCACCATGGAAACTTTCTAGTGGAGACATGCAAGCCAGATGTGTCACAAGGAGTTCAAGAACAACTCAACATACTAAACACAAAATGGAACCAAGTTTACAGTCAAGGCAAGGTATGTATGTTATGAGTTTAAAAAAAAAAACTTATTTGTAAAGCCATAGCTAAAGATATGACTGGATGGCTCATCTTCTACTAACTCAGATAAAACCAGATACTCGATCCAAGTCACGTCTAACATAGGAGAAATTGGTTTAAATTCCTTTGATATACTTGACTTTCATCCACTAAAAAACGAAATCCTGGTTTAGACTGAAACTGTTGTAGAATATAGAGCAAAGAGTTTGTTGTACTGCATCTATATAAATTATATTAGAAGTATTTGAATTTGCATTAAAGTGATACAGTGTGAATCTACTATTTTTCATTGCAATGTTATCCGTGCTTTCTTCTCTCACAAACCTAAAAAAAGAAGAGAAGCAATAAACCCGATCATTTTAAGAGTACCGGTATATATAGAGCTTAATTCCAAAAGGGGGTTAAATCCACTATTGACCAAAATTGAAGTTTTAGATGAATATTGTGCATCTGACACCAAAAAAGAAAAAGAAAAGAGAACTGTCTTGCATTTGAATGATATTTTTCAAAATATAGACAATTTCTATCACAAAATTTCGATTACAAATTTTGTTTCATTCCAAAAGGTGTAATCCACTGTGGCAATTAAAAATTTGTTCATTTGAACCATGTTTCTTAAAGCTAAGATTTAATATTTTTTGTTGTATTCGGTACAGTTACTAGTCTAGATGATCAGTACAAAGCTTCAATTAATATAACGCTATCAGATTATTTTAATAAATATATTTGGATTTAACTCCTTATGAAATGAAACATTTAGAACCATTGTTTCTAGAGCAATAAACATTCAGACCTGATAAAAACCTGATTTAAATCGGTTTCCTGATTTTATTTTATTTCCCCGATTTTTTCCCGATTTTTTTTTTCTTCCCGATTAAAAAAAAAAAAATCCAGATTATTTTTTCTTCCCGATTTTATCCTGGTTTCCCGATTTCCCCCTTATTTCTCTATTCTTCCCTATTCTGCCCTATTTTTCCCAATTTTCTTACTCGAAAGGAGGGAATGTTGTTAGATGCTGTTTTTTCACCGCGAATCCTCTTTTTTTTTTTTTTTACTCAGGAGGGCGTGGTTGAGGGGAAAACAAAAAACCTATTTTTTTTTTAGTGCTCACTATCACCCCTGAAACATTGTAAAAAATGATAAAATATTGTGTGGTAGCAGTATTGATGTGTTTCACATTTAATTTGAATGGTTTAAATGAGCTAAAAGAGACAACTAACCGCATTTTCGAAAAGGGCTATATCTACCAAATTTAAATTTGAGAAATTCATGAAAAAACACAATTTATTGCTAGATTTTTTTTTAAAGATCATGAAAATGATGTAAGGCAATATCCCTACCATATATACACCAACAAAAATAAGTGATAACTTACAAATGGGAGTAGTAAATTAACAATCCTTGATTTACTCAAAAAATGCTGGAATAAAACTCTTCATATATTCAGAGGAATGCTGGATGCTATAATTGCGTTTCATGCAATTTATCTGGTTACGATATTCTAAAAAGGAAATGTTATATAGTAAAACGTGCTTTAACAGTCACTTGTACACAAAAACCACCTGTCTAAAAAGACTCAATTTTTTTTTGCTCTCCTTGAACTGTATTTCTAACTGAAATGCGTATGAAAGTTACTTGTGCTTAAAGCCCAAGTCCACTCCAAAAATAACTTACTTTCAATAGAACCAGAAAAATCAGACAAACCAATCAAAAAAAGTTTGAGCAAAATCGGATAACTAATAACAAAGTTATGAATTTTTAATGACATGAACACTACACAAATTGGCAACTCACTCATGAATCTGTGACGTATGGTCCTCACTATCCACTAATTATTTTCTTTATATTGATAATATAAATTTCCTATTTTCACCCTAAGAATCTTATTTCTTCTCACCAGCATCCAAGTTAGATTGTTAGTAATATGTTTTTGTGTGGATGCACAAATACAGAGTAATTTTTGTTTAGTTAAATCATGAAAAATTGAATTTTGATAAACTATTTATATAAAAATCAATAATTATGAAATACAATATTCAGAAAAAAGTATAAATTCTTCAAAATTTATAAAAGTTTTTGGGAAATGTCATGCACGCAATATGATACAAATCATATAACCTGGGCAAAGGCATGGGGAAATCAAGTTTTGGGGGATAAAAAGGGATATTAATGGGATTAAACTATATAAAGCTATTGATAAGTTGTGAGGACATGACGTCACAAACTGATAACCATCTTGGCAAATTGTGCTGTGATTCTCATTGTTCCATAGTTTTACATACTTTTTCAAAAATTCATAACTTTCTTATTAGTGATCCGATTTCGCTCAAACTTTTTTTGAATGGTTTGTCTGATTTTTCTGCTTTTATTGAAAGAAAGTTATTTTTGGAGTGGACTTATCCTTTAAAGACCATCTGCCTATGAAGACCACATTTCTTGGCTCCCTGGAGCAGTCCTTATACACTGGTCTTACTGTATTTCTTTCAGATGTACATGCAGACTGGAGAAGGTGACAAGATGAGAAAAGAGTTTGACAGTGAGCTGTTCACAGTGAATGCCTGGCTTGAACTCACCACCAAGACTTCCAAGAACGTCCTCCCATGTACAAAGCAGGCATTACTTGCCAATCTAACGGAATTGGATGTAAGTTTGATCTTCTATCTATATTCAGCACATAAAGATGAGGTGCATGTACAGTGGTACCGGTTAATAACAACTCCTTAGGACCAAGTTGGGGCTTAAAAACAATACAATACAAAGAAGCGGGATGGTAAAATTACTGTGAATGATCTTAGCAATAATAAATTGTGAATTGCTTCTATCAATTGTAAATTGGGAAAAGTGCTCTACATGAACATTGGTATAACTATCCTCCCGTGAAACTTCTGAAACAATCCAAAACACTCCATTTTTGGCTCGGATGGTGGACCGTTCCAAAGATGCAACCTGTGGGTAATTCTTACTACTACTACTACTAATATTCAGTTCTTGTATAGCGCATAATACATTATGAAATAATGTTTCTATGCGCTTTCAAAGAGCTTTGGAAATTATAACCCTAGCTTTAGCTCCGGCAGCCGTTATCAGCCCACAGTGCATTTTAAGGAATAATCCTACCAAGTACCCATTTACCTCACCTGGGTTGAGTGTGGCAAATGTAGATTAATGTCTTGCCAAAGGACATTAGTGCCGCGGCGGTACTCGAACTGCGGACCTTGTGATCCATATTTTGGTGACATATCCACTGGACCACGACACCTCTCATGCAAACATTTATGTTATAAAACTTATGTATTGTTGTAATCTGTATGCTGCAATTGTAACGTGTTGACCCACAGGAAGCGATAGGGAAAGTATCAGGTCAAGAGCGATCCTTCAAACACCTGTCTGAGTTAGCCCAAGAGATGGTGAAATCCTGCTCTCAACAACAAGCTACTCAAATACTGGCCGCACTCAGGCATGTCAAGCAAAATCTCAAAGACATCAAGTAAGTTCAAGGCACAACCAATACATACAGGTTCAGAATTTCAAAGGATCTGAATAATCAGCTTCTTCTTCTTCTCCCTCTTCTGGTAATCTTCAAAGGGCTATGCAGCCTACCATGAAGATGAACTAAAGATTACAAGCTGTGTGAGGAAGAGAAATGATTCTTAATGGGATAAGGGCATTAGATATTCTAGGACGGGGCATTGTGGTGGGCGTTATGGCGTGCAGAGGACGCAGGTTCGAAACTGAGTCACGTCTTTTGGATGGTGACGTTAAAGGTCGGTCCCAGACGTAAATAATCATATCTGATTGATACATGTCTGTTAAAGCCAATTACACACACAGATGCCTCAGGAGTAGTACCTAGAAGTTCTCTTGACTATCAACGTGCACTACATTTGATGGAAGGCTATTACTTTTAGGGATAGCGTGTCGGGGGAAATGCAAACTTGTCTATGTCTCTTCTGGCTTGGCGCATCTAGAGGGACATGTCATAATTCTTCAATGTTCATGATTTATTGAAGGAGAATAGTGCTTTCAAGGGAATGGCGGAGAGACCATAGACTATCCTGTGCACCATTCCCAGTCTACTGGCAGACTGCTCGTAGATAGAGTTGCCAATTTGTTCATAAAAATTAAAAAAATAATGATTCCCATCTAAAGAATATGTCTTTTCTGTCTCTGAACAGAGAGTCAATGCCTGAGATGAAGAGAGTGATACTAGAAATTGTGAAACTGATGAGCCAGTTTGAAGATGGAATGGGAGCTATAGAAAATTGGATTCAAGAAGCTGAAAGATTACTAAATGAACCAATTCAACATGTCTCAACTATGAACATCACTCTCAAAGAGCACAAAGTAAGTCATTTTCGACTTACTACCTTTTGATGTTTGATTATTAATTGTTTTCAGTTGCTTTTATTAGATTATTATTCCCTTGCCTACGAAGTCGGAGGGGATATAGTAACGTTACCTTACGTCTGTCCCTCCGTACGTAAGAAATCTGGTTTCTGATCGATAACTTTAGTTATGTTTGACAGATTTTTTAATGAAATTTGATATGAAGGTACATGGTATTAAAACACAGCCTGAGTTCGATTTCAGAGTATGTAGGTCAAAGTTCATAGCTCATTGAATATGTGTAAAAAAGCCAGTTATTAGAAAATTTGGTATCCATCGACAACTTTAGTAACGTTTGACAGATTTTAATGAAATTTGATATGAAGGTACATGGTATCAAAATACAGCCTAAGCTCATTAAAAAATGCAAAAATGTGGTTTTCATTCAATAACGTACGTAATGTTATTGAGTATGTAGGCCACATCAAAGGTCAAAGGCCACAGCTCATTAATGTGCAAAAATGATTAAATATAGGCTTTGCGTTGACTTGTTATAAGTAGTCCCTTGTAATCTGTTGAACAAATATGTCAGAAATGATTCTGGATGAGGCCTAAGGAAATGATCGTTGAAGGGAAATATAATTATAAAACAGGTAAATGCAATGGTGTAATTGTTTTTGATTTCTTTTTATCTCATTTAGGACCATTTTGCCAAGTTACCTCTTGTACAGGTTAAACTAAAAGAGAAGAGTCACATTGTAACCTACATTATCAACCTGAAATGTACTCGCATTGATACAACCATCTTGGAGTCCACTGTGTCAAACCTCAATCTCAGAGTGCAGGTAAGTCAAAGTGATATTTCATGATCTTATGGAACTCTAGAAAGTTTTAGAACTATGTAACCTTTTATTTCTCAAAATATGCGATGAAGTGTAAATTTAGAAAAGTATAAAAGAGAGAAAGAATGAATGAGCAAAGAGAAAGAGAGAAAATGTATTTACATATGATGTATACCAAGGCTTGACATTTGTAGTGGCCTTGGATTACCAAATTGCTCTATAGGGCAACCAAATACTCAAAATGTAAGGAGAATGGTTGCCCTTGTTGGGCAACTTGAATTTTGTTTGTTAAATACCCTTGTATGTTTAAGAACATGTCTTGCTTTATGTTCCTTTTTTTTATAATTTGAGCATTATCAAAGACATTGAATACAAAAAGAAGATAGATGACAAGAGATAAAATGTCAAAAATTGATGTCATAGAGAGATAAAGAGTCTAAGTGAGAGCAAACAAAGATAAATTAAAAGAAATGTAAGAGCAACAATCAGCAAAAGTATAACAGTTTGTACATGTATGCAAAAATTAAAGTGAAAAGCATTATGAAAGGCCTGATTTTTGTCTTGCCCGCATAGCAAAAGCTGTCATCAACATCAAAAACTTTAATTAAGGTTATGATTTTGAATTTTTAATATAATTTTGAAAGCATAAGTTCTTATTCAATGAAAATTAGACTAAAGGGTTATCAAGTATCCCCAATCATGAATTTTAGGTCACTAAGTCAATGTCAAAGGTAATTTCAGGTCAATGAACTTAGACTATGTTGTGGCATCAACATCAAAAACTTAACTTAAGGTTATTATTTTGAATTTTTAACATAATTTTGAAAGTACACATTCCTCTTTTTTGTAACTTGAACATAGGGATTATGTCGTACTCAAATCATGTGAGTAGAATTTCAGGTCACAAAGTCAAGGTCAAAGGTCATTTTAGGTCAGTAGACTTGGTTTATGTTTTCACAACTTTATATGAGAATTAATAAATCATTTTTTGTTATATGTTCATATTTCATGAAAGTTATCAATCTTGGTACAAATAAGAGTAAATAATTCTTCTGATGATTCTTAGTCAATATTCTCTTCAAAATGCTGATCATATTCAGAGTATTTCATTTTGTGGGGGCCTGCTAATGGGCCACCCTGCCTATAAATAATGTCCCAACCTCAATTTTTCATCATATTGTAGGGCTTTATATTGTACCTTAAGTTAACCTTTGTAGGTCTCTTTGGTTTCTTAAAAGTTTTCCTTTAATTAGCCTCTTTAATTTCTATAGACTCTGTGTCCCTATTCTCCACCAAGTACTGTATGTTCTTCTGTTCATGTTCACATGCCCCATATACCACAGGCATTTACTTCCTTTGTTCACTCTAGCACCCAGTTACAAGAAATCCCTCTCTCTCTTTTGTCACCTGACCACTCTTCCCTCCATAACGGTCACATGACACACCTCATCCTCTCTTTTGATTGGCCCACTTTCGTTGAATATTTAGTATGTAGTCACATGACTGACTTCCTTTCGAATATTGATGAGGATGTTATTGTTATACTTAGTTGCTAAGTTGATACATATGCATGCATGTTGGAAATAGCAGAGAATAAACTTAGAGCTTCTGAGCAGAGGGGCATTCTGAACCAGAGCTACCAAACAGCAAACATCGCCTTCTCACTTCCTCCTTTCTGTTGTGGAAAAGAACCCATGCTGGCTCACATAAAACTGAGCCCCACAATATCGAATGGCGAAATGCAGGCTAGACCGCCAAGAGCGTTTCCCCTATTTATTTTTAACAGGGCCACCCCAAAATCACCATCTGTCGAATTAAATGACAGATTCTTAACATTAGTAAGTAAAGATGTAAACATCTCAAAAGCATTTGGAAACTAAGTATGTTTGATTGTAGATCTCATGTCCTGTCATATCATAACCATCTCTATGTTTAGTATCATTATAAAGTGTGTTTATTTCTATTTAAAATGATACCCATTTATTATGGGAATATGCAGTACATTAAAATATAGGGCAAGGTCACAAGTGAAAAGTTGCCAAATGCACTGCTCTTGTTCAGCTGTGCATTCTTCTTTCTTTGAAGAGTGGAAACATACTTTCTAATGATAATTAAACAAAGCAATTATGCCATGACAAGATAGTTTCCAAACTTTTTTTGAGGGGCTTAGATTAATTTCAGGAGTAAAATAGTTGATTGTAAATTGTATTGTTAATACATGAATGGTGCTTTATAGGACTGTCTAAGGAAAGAAGAAGATTTTGAGAGTCAGCTTGCAAGGGATATGGAGAGCTGGTGTAGATTTGAAGCTAATGAGACCGAGTTAAAGAACTGGCTGCTTTTAGCTGAGAAACAGCTACAGATCAGACAGGGTACACCAAGTCAACAAATGGAACAACATAAGGTAAGTATGCTACCTTTGGGTAGTCTGATCAGCTGCAGAGGAGGGGGAGATCGAGGCGCAGTCTTTGTGTTTTATTCTTGGATCTATAAGGAGTCTTTAACAAAAATCTACATTGCTCTTTTTACTTTCAAAAGGCCTTGAGAGAATAATGTCAGGGGCATGTTTATCTTACACGTTATGGGAACCCTTTTTAGTGCTGTAAAACAACTAGCTTTGATACCCCAAAAAGTGTTTGAATTCATGACTAAAATAAATTAGATTTTAGGATTTTAATGACAAGAGATCCTAAAGAAACAGATAAACTAGGTGTTTTTGAAATTTATAAGTGGTTTCTAGGCCTTTTCCAAAATAAGAAACACTCTTGCTCAAAGTCAAACTTTTGAAGTGTTTTTCTGTAAACATACTTTTTAAAACGCTAGTTTTTCTCATAGTCTACAAGCTATTATCTCCACCAATACTCCCTTTCCACAGTTGAGCTATATATCAAATCAAAGCTTATGAAATGGATAATCATAATCATTCGTGACATAGAATTTGAAAAAATGTGACTTGTGTCTTATTGTGATATGACGGGTCACTGATAGTGTTTGTGATTGTTGTTTGAAGGCTATGTTTGTGGATGCTGAACCCCAAGTGATGACCAAGTTCCTAGAGGTCTGTCAGAATCTATTCCATGATTTACCTGCTGAGAACAGGAAGGAGGTGGAGGCAAGGATGAATTTACTTCAAGAGAGATATCAGGTTTGTCTGCTTTCAAATCTTCCTAGATACTGTACATTTGGGCAATTTCAAATAAGCAACACAGGTATTTTACTTTTTTTGCTCACTTGCTCTGCTTTCAAATTTAGATAAGTCTGCATTGGTTACCTTGGTGTTTTTCTCCTCTTTGCTTCATTTTTCTAATAAAAAATGTATTACTAAAAAATGTCCACAGATGGAGAAGATAAATTTGTGAAATACCATGGTTTACAATTTTCTACATGTTGCCAGTTGTCAAATTTTTGCTATTTAGTTGCTGAAAGAATTGGGTGATACAGTCAAACCTGCTTTGGTGACCACCTGTCTACAAAGACCACCTGTCTACAACAAGCACATTTCTTGTTTCCCTTGAAAATGGTTTCTCATTGAAACATGTACTAAAGGAACTTGTCTACAAAGACCACTTTTTGTGTTTCCCTTGGGCGGTCACTGTAGACAGGTTTGACTAGTTGATTTAGTGGTACAATCATGATATTTGTCATAACTTGTATCCTCGACACAAAGCAGTACACAAGTTTTCAATAACAATTTAGAAAATAGTTACATACTAGCAGTTATTATCACCATGTCACTTTTAAACAAAAGTTATTTTCTAAAAATTCATGAAAATGTATTTATTTGGCTCCTTTACTTCACACAGTCTGTGCACAAGGAAGCCCAAAGGAGAATGAATGAGCTGCAATTTGAAGATGTTTGTAGTGAGCTTAAAGACCAGTTTGATGCTGCTGAGAAACAGCTTCATCTTGAGAGACAAGCTCTAAAAGCGGATCAGCCTCTTCAGAAAGTTCTTCAGCAACATCAGGTAACCTCTCGGTCTGAATACTAAGTTTGTTATTTTGCTTCTGAGTTTTAGACATCTAGTAAGATATATTTTATTGTCAAGATGAGGTTGTATTACCTTTACAAGCAAACAGGATGATTGGTTTTTAAGCTTGAACACACCTTACAAGAGTAATACAATTTTATTTTCTGTGTAGTTGTTTGATGAAAAAATATCTCTGAAATGAATTGATGTTCTCATGGAGTGGGTTAAACACTCTCCTTGAGAGGCAAAGGTCATGGGTTTCAAGACCTTGTGAGGCCCTCATATCCTTTGAAAAGACATTTATTTCCATTTTAATACCGTTGTTGTTAGTTTTATTATTATCAGTATTATTATTTCTTTGGCATGTAGGAGTTCTTTCAAGAATCCCACTTGTTGACAGCCATAGCTGGGAGGGTGCATGTCTTGGATACTCTGCAGGCTCAGATGGCAAAGTCAGACCCTCAACAGGCTGTACAGATGGTTCAGGTCTTCACTCACAATAAACAGAGATACGAACAAGTGCTAGATAAAGCTGAAGGTCTGGAGAAGAGACTTATGCAAGCACCCAAGAGATGGTGTCAGTATGAAGAAGAGTAAGATGTTAATTTGTCTCTTGTTGTTGATATGACCATTAAGGAATGAGTAATGGTTGAATTTTTGTTCTCACATGAAAGCGTAGTAACCAATGTTATATTTGGATAATTCTGTACTATAATAACGGAGACTTCCAAAACATGAACATTTCACAAATTTTGAACTACAGTCATTTTCATGGCAAGATGCTTTTTTGAAATGTAATATTTAATTACTTCCCAGCATGTAGCTTTTGCAAAACTTAACCACTCAAGAAATATGTGAACATTTCATGTCCATCATTTGTGGTTGTACAGTAAATGTCTTCAAATGTGTTACATATAGTACTGAATGTATTATTTAATCCTGATTTCTTTCCTTGTTCCAGCATTGTGAGAGTGATAAGCTGTAATGATGAAATGAGACTCACCTTACAGGCTTTGGAAGAGGCAGACACTGTAGATGACATAGAACAAGCAGCAACTAACATTCAGGTAAAGTCCTCAATGAGTCAAAGCATTCAGAGACATTTTTGAATATTTATCTACCTTGTATCCCTTGTTGAACATTTTGTTATGAGGGCTAATGTTTAATTATTAGAAATGAGAATTACTAGGTTTGACTTTCAAGTAATACTGTAAAACCAGAACTTATGCATGCATTAAATATATGCAAATAGCATGAGTGACTAACATATTCATGAACATTTATTGCTGCAAAGTACTTGAAACACAACTGGCACAACATTGAATTTTAGAATTTGCTGAAGTTTCTTGCAATGTAGATCACTGCTGTGTACACTTTGTGAAGGATTTATGTTGCAAAAAATCCCAGGTATTACTTTAGTCCATTGGGAAGTTTTAAATATATGATTTTGAATATTTTTACCATCATTTTAGTTATTTGTACAAATATTATCAACTTGATCCTCTTTTAATACCAGGACCTTCTTGATGCCAGTCTCATATCTCAAGACATTCTTGCTCAACTCCAAGGAGATCTAGCAGAGTTAAGTGAAGATATACCAAGAGAGAAAGCCCAGGAGCACCAAGGAAGGTTGGATCATTTGTCATCTGAGCTCGTCACCCAGCAGACATCGCTAGAGAATGCTTCGTGTAGGGTGTCTTCAAAGAAGATTTGGCTTGAGTACAGGGATAGTGGTCAGGTATTAAGGAAAGAAGTGGAGGATGTTAGCAAGCAAGTGAGAGAAACTAACACTTGGCATGGTGTCCTCACGTTAGACGATTGCTGTAAGAGGCAGGAGGTATGTGTGACACTATATTGTATACTGGTTTTCCTATTTAATTTGTTGGTCCCTACTAAAAAAGTAAGTAAATATAATATTCATTATTGTTTAATATATTATAAGATTATTATAGATTGCTAAGCAGCCAAATAGGTAGGACTCCAGCATATCGAGTACCATTAACACTGGGGTGGAGAGTGGCAAATGGAGATTAAAGTCTTGCCAAATGACATTTAGTGCTGGTTTGGATTCAGAGCCTCAACCGGTTGACTGAAAATCAAATGAACAAACCACAGTACCATTGCAAATCAAGTGAATGATTGCTTGATTTATTCCAGGCTTTAATACACCCAAAAGTTTGGAATGAATAATTGTAAGTACCATACTAATAATATCTGCTTCATTAGACAGTTTGAATGACTTTTTTCATGATTGTGAAGATTACTATGTTTGATTGCAAACTTCTGAAAAAATGTAAAGAGTTGGAATCTATGATTGATTGCAGGCTTTAGAAGACACAATGAAAGGTTTAAAACCAGAAGTGGAAAGACAACTTCAGAATGGACGATCATTCCAGAGAGAGCCAGAGTGTCCAAAGTATATCACTGAGCTGACCATCACACTGGACAGAGAGTGGACACAAACCATCGAGGAAACTAAGCAGCAATCACACAAACTCAAGGTATTCACATCACTTATTTTGGGTTATGTTGAAAAAATATAATGAAATATGTGTTTAATATCAGGGCTATTGCTTAACTTTTTATTTGGCTTGCCAGCAGGGTAATTCAATGTTTAATTGTCAGTTACCTTGAACTGCTTCGAATCACATGAAACAAATAAGAAAGGTGGCATTTTGTAGTTGTAACCCGGGCAACAAAGATAGGGCTTGTAGATTTCCTGGTAAGATCTTAGGTAGTCAGTGGCAAGTGGGGAAACTCCTTGTTTTGAGCCCTACTTATGCTTTAGTACATGTGATCAATCAAATATCAAGCTTGGCACTACTTGGCACTAAACCCATTGGAAGTAAAATGCTATTATGAACATTTGTAATAAGGAATTAAATTCAGTTACTATTTAGAGCTTGATAACTCATCTTATCTTGTAATAATTACATACCTATCTGTAGTATGTTGAATGAATCTAGTCTTCCGATTGGTCAAAATTGGAGTCGTGATTTTAGCCATGCCTGTAGAGAAACAGAACTATGCCCGTTGGCCCGGGTAACGAGCAATAGTTAATGACAAAGATGCTCATAGTTTCTTTGTGCGAGTGTGGATACCATACAGTGTGTCTTTGATTCCTTAATGATCGTAAAATTCAGGCAAAATTTCTAACGTAGATTAACAGACAGTGTCTCAGATTATCTGTGATGTTTTAACCAATCTTTACTCACGAAAAATAAGGCAAGAATTCAGACTATTTTGGGATTTCTGTATATAAAAGATGTATGTACTGCTTTAATTATTATTATTATAGCTGTTTCTATACTGGCTCTCGGGGAAGTTAGAAACAGCTATGTCTCTCATAGCAGTCAATATATTTATACTATTAACAAATCTGATAAACCAAATTTCATATTTTTCTTAATTCAATAGGTATGTTCTACAGTGTTTCCTAAGTATGAGGAAGAGAGGAAGCATTTTGATGAAATGATGTGTGACTTTGAAGCTGAGATCAGTAAATCAATCCCACCCCCTACACCTGGCAAACAGGCTGTACAAGAAGAGGTCTCCAAATGTCAGGTAAGTTGGATTGGATTTATTCAGACAATATAAAACATACACAGGGAAGGCAAGAAGGATTTGAGATAGCCTATACAAGTCTGCTTCCCAGATATGAAGAACAACAATACAAGTGATACTCAAAATCTGAATGCCCGTAAATATGTTGAGTTAATAACTTGTTTTAATTTGTTTTTCCCCTAGGAAATCTCCACATCTCATGACACTTGTAAGCCGATTCTTGCCATGCTGAACCAACTCTCACAGCAGCTTTCTCCTGTAGCGCCTACACCTGTTTGTGAGACTATTCAACAGGACATCATTGACAAGCAGACCAAGTGTTCAAATGTCAAACTGGGGCTTCATAAGAGACTAACAAGGTAAACTGCATTAATCACCTTGTGTTCATTATGTTTGTTATTATTATTTATGCTAAATGAGTTTGTAGTTTACAGGAAGTGTAGAGTGGGAGTATGGAATGCACGCTCCATGATGAGAAAGATCTCAGACTTCATCATTACTGAAAATCTTGATGTCTTCACCATCACGGAGGCGTAGTTAATCAGTGACAGCAAGTTTCTTAATCCACCCCGTAAAGGGAAAAGAGAAGGTGGAATTTGTGCGATTCTTTGCAACCTCTATTGTATCTCTCTTTGCCATCTATCGACCTCCCATTTGTGGTATTCCGGCTAGCCATTTCTTCACAGAGTTTTCCAAACTCCTCGAATCTGCAAACTTACTCATGACCCATGTAGTATTGTGTGGCGATTTCAACATACATGTAAATAACTTTAGATCTGTAATCGTACAAGAAGATGATGAGTCTGTCAAAGAGGTGAAAGTTATTCATTCTAGGCCATCAGACCATGCAGCAATAACATACACACTTTGTATTTCACAACCTCCATCTACTGTCAAACGTTTTCAAGTGGGAAAGCTCAGACACATTAATTGTGACAACTTTGAGTCAGACATTATGCAGTCATTTGCAAGTCAAGCAAACTCAGATGAGATGGATGTTAATCAGAAGGTAGACATGTATAACAAAACTCTGTCCTCCTTTCTTGATCATCATGCCCTAAAATGAGGCAGAATGTACAAATGTGTCCTCATGCCCCGTGGTATAATGATATACTCAAAGAGTTAAAACAAAATCTTTGTGCCAAGGACAAAATCTGGAGAAAATCCAAGCATCGCTCTGCTTTCATGAAGGAAAACTTCAGAATTCTACAAAGGAGTACTTCAGCACGTTGAAAAGATTCAGAAGAGACACTATCATCAAACTATTTTCAGTGCTAGCACACAAGAACTGTACAAAGAAAATGACAAAATGACCATAGAGAAAGCCAAAGAATTATTACCAACACACAAGTCAAAGTCAGATATGGTTCTTAGGTTTTCTTCATTCTTCGAAGACAAAATGTGCCGACTAAAAAGTTTTTTTCACACCATCATTCTGGCTTACTTCTAAGTAGACAACAAACTGTCATCTTGAGAAGTTTCCAATCGTTTCCGAAACAATTGTATTGAAAGCCATCAGATCTCACAAGATTAAATCTAGTTCTCTTGAACCTCTCCCAGCATCTGTCTTCAGTCGATGTATTAACTGTCTCCTGATATTACAAATGACTCTTTGAAAACTTGTGTCTTTCCTGAACCTCTCAAAACTGCTCTCATCATCCCGACGTTAAAGAAATCATCCCTGCAACCAGTGAATTTAAAGAACTATCGACCAATTTCTAACTTGTTCTTCATTGGCAAGGTGATAGAGCGGGTAGTCTGAACTCAACTCATGACCCATATTGCCAATAACTCTCTTCTTGCTCCAAGACAGTCTGCGTGTAGAGAGAATCACAGCATAGAGACAGCTCTATTACGAGTTCAGAATGACTTATTGCTATCCCTTGACTCTGGAAACGAAGCGCTTCTTGTCCTTCTCGACCTAACCTCTGCTTTTGACAGGGTAGATCTCCAACGCTTTGGTATCTTGGGTACTGCAGCCAAATGGTTTGAGTCGTGCCCCAATGGAAGGAAGCAGCAAGCTATCCTTGACTGCATTACTTCTGATCCTACCCTGCTTGAATGGAGTGTACCTCAAGGGTCTGTGTTATTGGCCCTCTGCTTTTCATCTGTTACACAACTCCCATTCAGGACATTATCCACTCCCATGGCTTCTCTTCAATGATGTATGCAGATGACACGCAACTATACATCACTGTTAAACCTAGTGAAATCAACCACATCACACAGGAACTGGATATATGTCTTCCAGAAATCTGTTCTTGGATACAACATAATTATCTCTCCTTAAACGATAGTAAAATAGAAATTCTATATCTGTCTTCTAAATTTAGACAAGCAAATTAAATACACTGGTTCATTTTTCCAATACAGTTTGGTGTTATTCTGGACAACCATCTGTCCCTGCGCAGCCACATTAATACTGTATGCTGCAAAGCATCATTTGTTCTATAATGGAAGAATAGGCAAAGTCTGCAGATTTTTGAGCTGGCCGAATACCGCCCAAAGATTTTAAAAATATCTGTTTTTACTAGCTGTATGTGCCCCGGGGTGTATATGTGAAAGCCCCATAAACAGTGAATGCAATGGTAAAAAACTAACCTGTGTGAGAAATAATGGAAAGGAAAGAGGGGATATAATGAAGTAAATACTAAAGGAGAGAAAAAAATTAAAGGTGAGGAGAAAGAGAGCTGTGAGTGAGAAAGAGTAAATTGTAGACATATAATATAACACGTTTTATATGTATATTGGAACAAGAAGGAAGCCAGCATTAGGAAAACAAGATAATAATTATTATTTCATTTGTCACCCTTTATCAATTTATCTTTCTTCACCGTGGATACTTTTTAATTGGTTAACCTTTCATCATTATATGTATGCAGCCTAAAGCAGTTGTCAGGTGACTGGGATAGTCTGGACTCAAGAAAAGCAGAGTTTGTAGAATGGTTGGAGATGTATGGAAACAGACTCAATGAAGTAGAAACATCACTTGAACACCCTGATGAGATATACTCTTCAGCAAAGGTAAATTTGTACTTGATTTTACAAATTTTCCCATTTATAAAATGTTTTTTTCTCTAAGCAATAGATGTTTAAGTGTACATGTATTTTTGCATTTTATTTTCATTGTACATGTTATATGGTACGTTAAAATTAAATGATTGAATTACATACACTGCATACGCATGCTGAAGTTAAAAATTATGACTTAAAGTTAATGAATTAATTCTTCAAAAGAGTGTTATTTCTATTTCTGTGCAATATCACTTCATGGATCACAATGTTAATAAAAAGCAATGAGATACATGTATGTAAGTACTTTACACAGATTTTTTTGGTTGCTCTGTTCATGCATCTATGATATTTGTGAATAATGAGATATTATTTTTAGAGGATAAGATTTTGGGAAAGTAGGTCAATATTCAAAGGTCTTGAGAGGTTAATTTCTGAAATAACAGGTTTTATCCTTGTTATCATGATTTGAACTTCAAACTTGGTGACAGTGTGTGTCACCATAGGAAGACCATCTGATTAGATTTTAGAGTAAGTGGATCAAAGGCCATAGATGTCAATGGCTGAAATTACAGGTATCAGCTTTGATATTGCAATATCTCAAGAACAACTAGAGATATGAGCTTTGGAAATTAAGATAGATTGTATTACCATAGGAAGACGATCTAAAAAGACTTTAGGGCAAGTAGACTAAAGGTCAAAGGTCATAGAGGCCAATTTTTGAAATAAGAGGTACTAAAAAAAATACCCTTGTTATCACAATATGTCAAGAACTTTTTGAGGTATGCATGAGCTTTAAACATGGTGATAGTATTACAATAGGAAGATTATCCAATTACATTTTGGGGCTAGTAGGTCAAGATCATAGTCGTCAGTTGACATTTAATTATAGGCTTTTATGTTTGCATCATGATATGTCGTAAGTAATTCCATCCATTTCCTTACAGGCTTATAAGAGACACAATGTGAGTGTGTGTGTGTGTAATTGGGTTTTTACAGACGTTTATCAATCAGATATGATTATTTACCTCTGGGGACCAACCTTTACCGTCACCATCCGAAAAAGACACAGTTGCATTTGTCTTCTTATATTAAGATTCAATGTCCTCAAAGTAGCACTTAGATAAATAAATTGAACATGTATATTCACAGAAAATGTACCGCTAGTCTACTGCTCATTTTTTAAATTTCCATTTAATGTACCTTGATTGTTTTCCTTTACCACTTTGTATGAAACAGGACCTATTTTCTGAAATAGATGCCAAGTACCTATGCCTTAAAGACCTTGAAAAGTGCCTGTGTGAATTGACCTCCCCATACCCTCGCTCTGTCGCCATCCTTGTTCTGGAATCAGATGTAGCCAGTCTCCATAGCCAATTGGAGGAGCTCTCTGATAGGGCCAAGGCTCTTGATCTTACATTGTCGGAGCAGGTGTCCCAGTGGAATCTGTATCAGAAATCTGTGCAGGAGATCTCAACCTGGCTGAGTGAAGCAGAAAAGAGACTGAAGAATATCTCTGATCAGGCCTGTGATACACTCCAAGATGTTCAGCAGTGCAATGCACAGGTTCAGGTGAGATTTAATATCTCTGTATCTGTGTCATATAGCTGGGGGCTGCTGGGATGACAGTCTGTTTGATCTTGGGTCACAGTGAGACCACTTATTCTGTTCTAGATACATGTAGGTAGCTTAGCAAAATGCAGTGGCAGGAAAAGACACATCCAGAATGCAACTGCATAATTGTTGAAAATCAAAATATTATCACACAGAGGTATAACCTCATCATTAGAATATGGAGATAATAAATGTAAATATCATCTTGATCAGGCTTAATGTTATTTAACCTTTCATTCTGATATGTAAACAAAAATTTAAATTTTGATTAACAGACATTACTACCTATCACACATTTTGTGTCCCAAAAGTGCTTTTTGTGCCACCACATTTCACTTAGCTACCTTAGCTGTTCAAAGACATCTGGTCCACTGCATTATGTTATTAATCCATAGTTCATAATGCTATATAATTTGCAGAATTTATTAATCCATTGAAATGAATAGCTAAATTAGAGATGGTGTTAGCATTTCAGATGTTGAGTATTTCAGGCCTGATAAAAACCTGATTTATATCGGTTTCTCAATTTTTTATTTTTTCCAGATTTTTTTCTTCCTGATTTTATCCTGATTTCCCCCTTATTTTCGCTATTCTTCCCTATTTTCCCCTATTTCCCCCTATATTTCCCAATTTTCTTACTCAAAAGAGGGGAATGTTGTTAGATGCCATTTCCCCCCTGAATCGGCGTGGTTGAGGGAAAAAAAAACTTTTTTTTTTAGTGCTCACTATCACCCCTGGCATTTATGAAAGATGAATTTAATGTTGATAATTACTTCCTCTCCTGCATTATTTGATAGATTATAAGGGAACAGTTTGAAGAGAAACAAGCAATAATGCTAACAATTCGAGAGTGCTGGCCTGAATCCAGTGAAGATAAAGAGTTGGAGCACCGTTGGAACACCCTGGATGATACGATCCTTAAGACCCATGCTCAAATTGAGAAGCTGGTATCCTCCTGGGAGGAGTACCATCGTTTATCTAAGAAGACAGAGACATGGATGGAGGATATGAGCAGGAGGTTGGAAAAAGAGAGTGGTGAAGTTGTTGGAAACACAGATCAACTCAACAGGAGACATCAGCTTTTACAGGTAGACTTTATTCAACTAAAACAGCAAACAGATGATATTTTTACACTTCTCTGTCAGCAGTATAAATAGAATAAATAGAATTATTAAATGCTTGAAATGTATGAATTCAATTGTCAAGTTAGTGTAGATGAAGCATATTTGTATTCAACTCTAATTATTATTATATAGCATTACATGCTTCAGAGTTCAATATATTGAAATATGCATAGACCACTTCAGTATTTTCTAAGTGATGTTGTATGTTGTCAAGGCTGTAGGCCAAAGTTGAAATCCAATTGCAGAAGGGGAAAGTCATACATATGATTAGGAGGTGAATAACAAGTTACATGATAGCTCTCTAGCCAATAGGAATAGTATTTTGTAAGTCAGGCTCCATTAACATTGATATGTACATACACAATATCTTCTCTTTTTGTATCTTAAAGAATATGAAAGATGATTGCCAAAGTCAGAGTGCCGAGATAAATGAGGTCTTGGCCTTGAATCAAACCCTACGTCAGCACTGTTCCACAGCAGGCAAGGAGAGACTAGGAACAGAAGCAAACCATGTGTCTTCAGAGTACAGTAGACTACAGGCACTACAAAACACTGCCATATCACGTCTAGATGAAGTGCTGGCTCAGAGGCAGAGGTTTAGAGACGACGTGGGAACACTGTTAGATGTGCTTCATCAGCAGGAAGTAGCGATAGAGAATCAGAAAGAACTAGGAAGAGATGAATTGAAAGACCGCCTTGTTGCAATCAAGGTTTGAATTGAAATGTTTTGATGTCACATTTAAAAAATAACTATAATAAGTTACTCAGGATGGTATAGATGTAAAACTTAAGGAATTAGTTCTTTGTCAGCCTGTGACAATGTCGATGTCTGATAATTGTCATAATTGTGATATAAAACCACAAGTTAGACTAATGCTGATTATGTTGATGGTCGATATGTCCTGAAGCAAAGATGAAACCAGAAACAAGACTGTAGGATGCTTGTTATTGTACTGTTTTATTTGTTTTAAATAAGACTTTAAGGTGCTTATAAATACTTAATTTTTTATCCTGAAAAAGTCTCTAAGTTGCTGAGAATTGTTATGTTTTGTCCAGAAACAAGACTCTGTCCTTGCGGAAGCATCTCAAGATTTGAAGTCCTTGGAATCTGAGCTGGAACCCATCTGTAGGCACTGTGACTCTGGTGAAACCCTCACCTACTCCCATCAAGTAACAGGTCTCAACAAGAAACTGGAGAAGGTGCAAGAGATTATCACAAAGAGAATCACATATGTACAGTTCTTCATTCAGTTTGAAGACATCCAATATAAAGTTCTTGGCAGGTACTGACACACATTTTATTATTTTTTTCACGGATAATGGGTTTCTGGGGATACTTAATCTTTTTATGTCTCTGTTATGAAGTACTGGCGACATAATGTTTTCGGGTTGTCTGTCCGTACATCCCGGTCTCGTAATAGCGTTATCTCAAGAACCGATTGATGGATTATCGCTAAACTTGGGTCATGTATGTATCTTGCAGAGCCAATGAACTGATTAGATTTTTAGGTCACAAGGTCAAAGGTCACAGGGCTCATTATGTATGCACAAATAGCTTGTGAACACATTCTCATTCGAACTGATGGATGGATTACTATCAAACATAAACATGTATGTATCTTGCAGAGCCAATGATTTGATTATATTTTAGGGTCATGAGGTCAAAGATCAAAGGGTCATGCATGTTTATGAAAAATTCCTTCTGTATTGGTTTGTAAAATCGCTCTATGGCAGAGGCATCATTTTCAAATGCGCACAGTCGAAGATCCATCTAGTAATTACTTAATTTATAGCATATATGAATACTAGATACATGTAGAAAGCCCCAGGATAACGGACAGACTTAAATACACAAGTGGTTAATGGTAAAAAACGTTGTTGATTGAATTTGCTGTAAGTATAAGTCTATGATTGAAGTTAAAGTAAGTATATGGGTATGAACCTATGCGAAAATACAAATACAGTCAAGTACAGTCAAGTTTGTCATAAGATGGTCATAAGCATTATTCATCTTTCTGTAGATTTCAAGAAGCTAAACCTGTTCTTGACAAGGAAGATGCAACAGATTCTGAACTTATTCAAGAGCTAGAACATCTTGAAGCCGTAGAACCAGTCCTAGAGGAGTGGAAAAACAAGACTCAAAATATGGACCAACTTGCCAAAGACTCTCAACTCACCATCAGAGCTCCTGCTAGCCAAGACCCCCAGGATCTGCCTAAACAGAGAACCGAGTCTTTGACCAGTTTAGACCATGGTCAAATGGTGTCCACTCACTCTTACCTGACCAGGGGACTCCGATCAAGGCTGGACAAGATGGTCAATGTCCACAGGAAGCTGGAAGAGTTTGAGGCTAAGCAGAAGAACCTTAAACAGTGTCTGGAAGACTTGGAGAGGACAATGTCCACAGTGAAAGACGTGGGACAATTGAGTGATCTCCCTCCAATTGCTCAGTCTTTTGAGGTACTGGCCCTTGCAATTATTAAAGCTATTCAAATAGCAATAAATATAGCATTATAAATGGCAATGTGCCTGTAGAGATCAGGTAGAAAACTTTAGTAGTGTAGTGCCAATAAAAAAAGTGATATTTTTCCATTCATCTTTTTTCCTTTGACAATTAACTCTCATATTCAAATGGAATTGGCAAAAGTTATTTGTGTAGCTCACCAGGAACCTGTAAATTGTCAGTAATAATCATGTACTATTGTCTTCACAGGAGGCTCAGAAAGAATTAGCCAGGAATCAAACAGATCTTGATAGATTGACCAGACTGGGAGTGGAAATCCTGGAACAAGATCCTAGACTCATTCCAGTCATTGAACCAAAGGTGAGCTCTGTATTCATGCTTTTAATATTGCTACTATTGTTTGCCAAGCTCGTTTGTAGTTTCAGATAAAACACCAATGACATCAGAAATTGGTTTTACATTACAATAGAATATTCTGTCTGCCAATGTGATAAGACCCTGATATTCTGTTCAGCTGATTTTTTTTGCCCAATTGCACATGTTGTCTCAATAATGCTTTGATACAAGCATCCCTGGAAAATCTCATATATGTATCTGTTATTCAAATCCTTTATACAATTCAAAATCTAATTCACATAAGAATGATGATAAAAAAATTATATTTTAATTTTGTTGGTTGTGTTCTTACAGGTGGATAAATTGAGGGAGGATTGGAATAAAATGGATGAAAGAGTCTCCATGGCAACCAAATGTGTTCATACCACTATCAAGCTGTGGACAGAGATTGATCATTCACAAACAAAGCTACATTTGACTTTGGCAAAGGCACAAGATGTATGCCAAGAACCAATCCAATGTAGTAACAGAGAAGAGACAGAAAAACTACTTAAGTCACATGAGGTATGGAAATACATGTATTTGATATATTTATTTACAATGCAAGTGCAATATCATTACCAGAAAATGACACATATAGTATCTAACCCTGCATGACACTTAACATGTCTAGACAAGGCTCGACATCATTAAAACAAAATTAAGGAGTTAGAAGGAATGAAAAAACAGATATTTGTTTCGGTCTCTTGAATTTAAAAGTGACATATGATAAATCGTGATATTTTTGAATTACATGTGCAAAAATAAAAAATATATGAGAAAGATGCTTGATTCCTTTGCTCATCTGTGTGTTCTCATACATACTTTTTATTGGAAAAGGGAAACGGAGAGCATAAGTACTCCTCAAAGTGTTTTACATTTATGTGTGATATTGTTTAACAAATTGGAAAATAGAAGTGTGGTTATTTTCAAGAGTCTGGTGTAGTTTTAAAATGCTATTACTTCCTCTCACAGCTCTCAGTTTAAGACCACTGACGGGGTAACTTGTGTAAATAGTATGTATTGATGGGTCCAAAATTGACATAAATACTAGTTTACCACACTAATGTTATCACAAAATTGACTTAAAATATTGCATTGTATTATCTCTTTCTGTAAAGGCTGCCTCGTTAGATGTTGAAACAGCTAAACACCCAGCTAGTTGTTATGCAGAATCATCACATCAGATCCAGAATCTCCTACCAATAATCACCAACACCCCTGCAGTTACCTCTGCTCCAGCAGAAGGTGCAATGCTACAACAGTGCCAGGAGCTTCCTGGGAGACTGGATGAGGTATCAGCCATGCTGGACGAGAGGTTGATGAAGCTAAGAAGAGGGAGAGAGTTGTGGGATTCAGTGGTAGAACGAGAGAAGGTACTTCATTCATGGTTAGGTGTTTCTAAGATGAATCTTGATGAGATATCTAGCACCATGGATGACAGTGAGAGAGATGATGGCAAAATCAAACTACAGCAGTTCAAGGTAAAATTATGACTCTCTTAAAACTTTAAGGCCTGAACTTTCTCTTGCATAAAACTTTTTTTCGTGAAAATTTCATGCCATAAAGTAATATAGAAAGAATGCAGAGTTTTTGCAATATGCAAATGATGGCATTATATTTCCGGTTTGTGAGCATTCCATGTCACAACAGTTTCTTGTTTTACAATTAGTTATTTCTAGGTTAGAATTTCTATTAAAGTTTCTCATCTTAGATGCACCCCCTAATACACTTTTGGTTTGTTACTGAAAGCATTTAATTCCTGTCAGACAGTTGAGCTACGATCAGTCCCATTTAAGCAATATGATGAGAACTGATTAATGCCTTTCTAAAAAAGAATGAAACATGTTGTTTGCAGATATACATGTTCATACACATCATGGCTTGCTCATTTGATATTTTCAATTGTTAGGATGAAGCAGTAGACCATGAGAGTGAGCTACAGCAGCTGGCAGCTAGCCTGGCTGAACTGAAGTCTTTTAACCCTGATCAAACAATCCCTGAGGTAGAAGAGACTTTCAGGAAAGTTGAAGCGGACTTTGTTCAAGCCAAACAGGTTTGTTGGTGTCCTTGTATTATCAATCAAAGAATTTGAAATATAATATACCGGATGATTAAAGCTATAGTGTGTCTTATGATGAACAAATCAATACTATTATAAACCTGCACATGTAGAGTATACTGTAATGTATTATGTTCAGCTTTAAAAGGCAATACACATTTGTATGATGTAATAAAGAGTTTAATGCTAAACAGTAATGCACATTTATTGTACTTAGTAATATGTTTCTAGGCATCAGTAATGTGTTTCTAGGCATCAGTGTTTGATTATCCTGGTTTTGTCTATGTGTGCAGACTGCTCTTGAAACTGAAAGCAACCTCAGTGAATTCACTTCTCAAATTGCTACTCTGAGAGGGCAGCTATCTGAGCTGATGTCATGGTTACAGGACCAAGAAACTACTGTTGCAAGATGCAAGGATATGTTTCTTGATGGGGAGAAACTGGCCTCTAACCACAAACGATGTCAGGTAGGAAGTTCGTTGTGTACAAATAAAACAGAGTTATGATGATGATGCTACACACTTTTTTCAAGGGCTAAACAGTCATCACATTGAGTGTTTAAGGCAAACTTCTGTAATAAGCAAGTTCGTAATTAGGATTTGCGCATGTGCAGATAAAGGTCATTCGTTCCCAAATTGTAAAACCCTTGAGACGAATACTTGTATCGTGCTCATGAAAGTTATGTAATTAGTATTCATTTATGTACCGACAGTACATTTATCTGATATACAGGTGGAAGTATTCTTCTCAAGAGGGCAAACAAAAGGTATTCATGAAGCACCTCCATCACTTCGACAGTGATTATTCTAAAATGCACAAGTGGGACGTTTCCATAGTGTAAAGATCTGTGGATATTTGGGGGTCATGCCTTCTGAAGCTAGTTACGAACTGGCTTACGAACTGGCTTATTGCTTCGATATATTCTGAAGTGATGAGAAACTTTACTTTGAATTTTTTTTCAATTACACATACTTTCAAGTCGATATTATTCTCTGTGTAAATTCTTTTCACACTAACTATTTGCTCCTGAAGCTACACACATGTGGTGAGTAAATATTAATCTTGATTTTGCATCTGCTTGATATCAGTTTCACTCTAATTTCCAGTTGATGATAATATTTCAATAAAATGAACAAAGTTTACAAATTTTGTTTTTAGCAAACTTCAATCATATTTCACATTGTTATATCTAAAAAGTTACAATTTATATAGTTTCAATTAATATCAAAGTAGTACCAGGTATTCTTTTGCTTTGGTAGCTCATTGTAGAATTGTTGAATGTCATTATCATCACCACTTTTTTTCTTTGATGATAGGACATAGAGGCAAACGTTGTTGGTAAAAGAGCTGCAGTTGATAGCTTGAGTCAGCAGGTGAATTCTATGAAGGAGAGGTTTCCCAAGGCTCATACTGCATCCATTGAGAAGGAACTTGATTCGGTACACAACCAGTATCATATCTCACTAGAATCATGCACACAGGCAAGAATCATTCTAAGTTCTATTTAACAATTAATTTTTTATTAAGAGAGTTTTTTGTTTTTGTCAAAGTAATTAAACATTGATTCCTTTATCATCATGGTCTTACACTACGGTCGTCGCTTTGGCATACGGTCATATCCCACTGCTGCCACTATGTCATTAATGAAAGAGTCACCAGACAATTTGATAGCATGGGTTCATATCCTATTGTTGGCACCATGTCAGTAGTGAAAGAGTCACCAGTCATTTTTATGGCATGGGCTTGTATGCCGCTGCTGCTAACAAGTCAGTAAGGAACGAGTCATGATTAATTTCAATATCATGAGGTTTATACCACACTGCTGCCACCATATCAGTAATGAAAGAGTCACCAGTCAGTTCTATGACATGGGCTTGTATGCCCCTGCTGCTAACATATCTGTAATGAAAGAGTCACAAGTCATTTCTATGACATGGGCTTGTATGCCCCTGCTGCTAACATGTCTGTAATGAAAGAGTCACAAGTCATTTCTATGACATGGGCTTGTATGCCCCTGCTGCTAACATATCTGTAATGAAAGAGTCACAAGTCATTTCTATGACATGGGCTTGTATGCCCCTGCTGCTAACATATCTGTAATGAAAGAGTCACAAGTCATTTTGATGGCATGAGTTCATATCCTACTGATGCTACCTTGTTGAATGATCAGATAGTTAGCTAAATAAGAATACAAAGTGTCAATGTATTGTAATCCATAGTGTGAGTGTTTTATTCAGGTTTCCCTCTATCAATTGCTTCCTCAGTACAGATCTAAATAAAACCTGTTGGTGTTAATTGAGTACCATAAAGATAGCAGTTTATGAATTGTAAATAACAAAAAATCTCAGAAGATTTGAAGTATTTCAGACATTTTTTTTCTCCATTTTGTCCCAGTTGTGAGATAAGAATATAAAGAAATAGAAGCCTTGATTACTCTTGTTTGACAATCCTTTCCAGGTCCTAGAGAAAATATCATCAGTACTTCAGGAAGAGACCATCAAAGCCAACAAAGCTATGTCCTCTTGGTTGGATTCAGCAGAGACGTCTCTCAAGCAATCATCATCCACAGAGGGCTGTCTAGATGACATCAAGGAGAGACACAACGCTATCAAGGTAGGACATTTTACCATTCTTTTCATTTTGCTTATAATTTTGTATAAGAATAATTTTGATGACATGATGATATTAAACACAGCCACACCAACAATAATGGCAACAGACTAAACAAACAAATTAAATTACCCCTAATAGCCAATATTGTGTTGATTATTTGTTGGTCAGCACTTAGTTTGGCAATGTGACTAGGCATTAGCTAATACATCTTATGTAGCGAAAGCAGTTGGTATAGAAAGTTCAATTGAGACTTACCTAATGCTATAAAACTTTAGTATGAATGATATGAGAGTTACTTATACTTAATGCATTATACCTGTGAGTATGATATGCCAAAAAATCTTTTACCAATGAATCTGCATCATTTATATTTTGTCCAGATCACTATATTATCACAGAAAATTATGTAGAGTTGATTTGTAGAGAAAAAAATCTTATCTATGTGAAAAAGGGCAGGTAACATATGATTTTCATATATGATGTTTAAAGAAAACAAAAATACTTGGTATGGATTAGGTTTATTAACAGGGTATATCCGAGGTATTTGGTTAATTGGTGTTTAATAATAATAATAATATTTAATTTTTTTATAGCGCTTAATACAAATGTCTCTAAGTGCTGAATATGAGTTAAAGCTATGTGTATCATCACTTCACTTCATATTCCATATTTGAGCTATTGAATTAACACGATGATCAGATATGCTGCAAAATTAAAGGTAGTAGGTAACTTATGGATGAAATAGCTTAGATTAGCCCAATATAAAGCACAAATTGTAGCATTGGCTACCATTACCATGTCTGATTATAGCATTGACTACCATTACCATGTCTGATTATAGCATTGACTACCATTACCATGTCTGATTATAGCATTGACTACCATTACCATGTCTGATTGTAGCATTGACTACCATTACCATGTCTAATTTGTCACAGGACTTACAATCAAAGATGCCAGAAGGTGAGCTTCTGTGGAAAGGAATGAAAACCAAAGGGTCTCATCTTGCTCAAATCCTTCTTGATGATCAGCTGACTGCTCACAATGAAACCATAGCAGCCCTTGATGACCGCTACAGGTTGCTGACCAGTGAGTGTCCAGTCAAGGAGGAGGAACTTGGTCATTGTGTAGAGGTATTGGAACGGTATGAGAATAGTGCCAGGGAGATCAATGATCAGTTGGTTCAAGTAGAAGAACAGACCAAAGAGTTGGTGAAACCATGCAAGGATACTCAGAAACAACTCACTGCAGTTGAGGTATGAAAAAAAATGTTTAGTTTTCTTGTTATTTACCTGTTTTTTATCTGGTGATTAAGATTGTTTACTTGGTGTTTGTACTTAAGATTGGAAATGTATTATTTGTATGATGTACTTAAACTTTTGTTAAAGATAATTTTTTTGTAGAGTGTCACAGGTGTCAGTACCTTGCCGATAATGGCGCTGTATAAATAGCCATTATTTTATTTTTATTTTTAGTAGCACTATATCTGCTTTAAATTTAATTCATGTTTTTACCTTTTGATATACTGTGCACCTTGTAAATTTAATCAATGACTTAACAAGGGAAGACATTATTAGCCTATATAGTTCATGTGTGTGGGATAAAGCTTTTAAAACTTACAGATTAATTTCTTAATAAATGATTAACCTATATTTTAAAATGATTGTGGGTTTAAAGTGTAATAGATCATTAAATTCTACAGATTAGCACAGTTGGCTTCAATGTTATTGATTTGAAAGACAGGTTTTGTAAATCATCTACTATTCATGAATATTTCATTATTTTTTAGTCATTGCTGGAAGTGATGAAAGGTGTTCATGTAGAAGAGCTACAAGACAAGACTGATGCTGTGTGTCAAACAATAGAGAATTCTTCGGCCCCACTTCACACTCAACAAATCAAACAAAGTCATCAAAATCTGCTCAAGAATTTAGAGGTATACTTACAGTCAGTACCTTCTTTTAATTGAAAAATCTGAAGGGAAATTGTGCAATACTAACAATGTCCTCTGATAGCGTTAATGTAAGCACAAATTGGTTGGTATGGGAAATGATCGGAAATTGGTGATAAAATGAACATTGAACACCTAATGGAATGATGCCCTGCAAATATTTTTGCATTAGAAATGAAAGTCGATACCGTACATAAAGCCTTTGAGAACCTTCACGATATGACTTAACCTTTTTCTTATTGGGATGGGCTGCTTTGTGTGTGCTTCATTGTGTCTGCATGTGGAAAGGAATGGAGCCTAATTATTTTGCTCTAACACATATATTATTGTGTGTGTGTGTGCTGCTTACCATCTAGAACTTACATTATTATGTTTGTGGTTGTTCTGCAGGAACTTCAACTCCAACTTGAAGGCAGTGTAGATGCTGAGAAGCAGCTACACTGTGATCTAGATGATGTAAGACAGAAGCTGGAGAAGTCTGAACAGTTAATTAGCAGCTGTGTTGATCCTACTGGAGATAGGAATGTGTGTGAGGATAAATTGCAAGCTATAAAGGTAATTTCAGTATTAATGAAAATGAAGAATAATTATGATTACAGATTTTAGCTTTTCCTCTTTCACTCATCAGAATGAAACACATTAAAAAAATTTGTAGTGCTAGTCATTTTTCTTTATTAATGGAGTCTTGGATGAATATTATGTAACCAACATTGAATGCTACTCTGATAAATTTAACTTGTCATTGATGGAATGAAGGATCATGTATCTTATTTTATTGTTTGATTGCCAATGTTAAAAATATTACAGTTATATTTGTAAGTTAAACTAAATCCAAATATGATGCGAGTAATTGCTCATGTCATCATTCAATCATTCTTAGCTGTAAATATTGATGTTATAATCATGTATGTTTTTTATATGACGAATGAAATGAAATGAAATGAAATGTATTTTTCTTTTACAGTCATTGGAAGATGAACAAGAAAAGTGTCAGGAGAAGCTGATTCAAGCACAGAGCATCCTCCCCAGTCTCTTGCCATTCACTACCCCTGCTACCCAAGATACCATCAATGGACAACTCTCTACATTAAAGAGGGAGATAGACACTCTTTCAGAACAGCTGAAACAAGGCAGACGTGATGTTTTAAAGAGCATGTCTGATTGGTCAGAGTATGAGGCATGTCATGCTAGAGTTAGCCAATGGTTGGACAGGATAGATGAGGCAGTGGATGAAGCAGCTGAACTAAGGAACACCTTAGATGACAAAGTTAAACACCTTGAACAGTCAAAGGTATTACCTTTACCTACCACATCTATTTACATTATTGAATCAGTATGAATTTACCTGTCTATATTCTGGACTAGAACTCAATTTTTTAATTTTTTGTTGGCACTCTCCCAATTTCTTTTTTAATAAAAAAAAATCATGCTGTCCCTTCAACATGTTTCCCCTAATTGGTGTATAAAGATGGGCGTTAAAACCTTTTTACACATGTCATGCTACCTGAAAACTTCTAGTCATTTTAGAATAGAAAAGAAACTACATTTCTGGATGAGATAAATATTGAATAGTGCTATCACTTCTGACTATTGTCATGCATATTCAAGATAAGAAGACCTTGAATGATTTAATACTTTATATAAGTATATGTAAATATTATCTGCGAACCTTTTATCACAACTGTTTATGTATTAAAAGGATCTGATCATACAATACAATCACAAATGTTGTGTTTTGAAACAGTATGTACACCCAGAACATTTGAGTTTATTAACTCCTATCTGTTGTTTTCTGTTGTGTGGTTATATACATGTAGATACTACAGGATCGCCTTAACTCTGAAGCTAGCATCGTACAAGAGCTGACAGACAGGGCTAAGGATGTCACATACTCAAATAGTCCTGATGTTGAGGAACAAGTTGACAGTCAGTTAGCCCAAACTGATAACAGATACCTTTCTGCAGTGGACAGGTTGAAGGTATGCGTTGTCAAAATAACAAATGAAGAAGTATTATGTAACAGCAAATGTGGTTATAAGGGGGATGAGCTCAAGGCCTCCACAAATATTTCGAGCCCCCTGCCCCCCCCCCAAAAAAAGACAAATGCAAAAGAGAACCAACAACACAGTACATTCTTTATCTTTGTTCTTGAGTGCTCTAGACTGGCTGCAGCTCTATAAATTGATGGATCAGTAAACTAGGGAGATTTGTTTCCAGTGAAAACTTCAGTGACAGCGACATCCCAATTTTGAAAAATGAAGATTGATAAAAAATAAAGAGCAAATTAGTCCATAATGATCTAATGCAATCGGTTTTTTTGACTCATTTTGCAGGACATCATTGGTAACCAAGAGAGAGCTTGCCAGGACCGTGCTAACTTTGATTCAGCAATGAAAGACTTGGAATGTCTGATAGATAATATCAGCGAGGGTCTAGCAGATACCAAGGAACACACATCTGACATGGAAGGTCTGGAAACAGCATTGCAGAAAGTCCAGGTAAATTAGCATTGTCTTTTGTAGATATGTAGATATGATTTCATACCAAAATGTTGGTATTGATTCTGGCTAAACAATGTAGGAATCATTTTTAAGAGAAAAAGACCTGAATATGTTTGAATGGGATACCTGCCCTTGCAGAAGACTTGGGAACAGCACCCCTACATTGCCCCACTGCTCCAATAAATCTTATGTTCCTGGAGCAAAAAGGGATGGGAGCTTGGTCCCTTATTGCAAGGCCCTTACTTTCAACGGCTCATGTGAGCAAAAGTCCACTGACCTCTTGTTTTTATGTATCTCTTATAATGTGACACATTTATTTAACTTTTAATGCAATTTTAGATCTTTGCAAATTGATAACTCTTTCTTCAGGCTCTGCGAGCTCAAATCCCCATTGGCCAAGCTTTACTTCATGCCATTGATGAAGGTGCCCAAAGTACACTGGCCTCCACCAAAGCCCCTGGTGAGCAGGCCATCAAGGACAAAGTCACAGCAGTAAGGGACAATTGGAACCAGACGGTTACTCAAATGACTGGTGATGAGTCTAAGCTATTAGAGAAGCTGGCAGGTTGGAAGGAGTTCATGGGGTTGATGGAGGGATTAGAAGACTGGGTGAGAAAAGCTGAGAAAGCTGTGGAAGAGATTCAACAACCTCAAGATGACCTCGAAGGAAAGCTACAAGTCCTTGACCAGTGCAAGGTCTATATTTTTCTTTGTCTTTCTATCAATGTATTGTAATTTTCTATACAAAAATGTACAGAATAAACAACTAGGTGATAATTTTGCTCATGAAGAAGAAGAAAAAGCAGAAAAAAGAATACCGGTAAGTTGAAGAAGAGGAAGAAACAATAAGGAGAAGGAACAATAATAATAATACGAAGAAAAAATCAAGTAGATGAAAATGAAAAGGAAGAAGAAGAAGGAAGAGAAGAAAAAGATTGTGAAACACAGTTGGAAAAGATGGGATGAAAATTTGCTGCCCATGTGTGTTATCAAGTGCACTTGTATTTGGAACAAAAACATGTTTGTGACATTGCAACATGAGAAATAACAGGCTTGTAAAACTGCAAAAACATGAATAATTTGACACTTCTAAAAGTGAAGAAACTTAATTCTTATGACAGTTATGAAATCTACATCCTGTTGTATTTTGTCATGCTTCTAATATATGCCCGTTTTCTTTGGTTTTCAGATCTTGAAAGCTGAATTTCTCCAACATGAACCCCAGGCGAGATTCCTCGAGAAGAAAGGCCACCACCTTGGCAATGAGACACAACTCACCCATGCAAATCGGCTTAATACCAAATTCTTTCAACTCCAAAATATAACAAACGTAAGGAATAAACTTGGTCATGCTAACCATTCTAACCTCAATTTTAATTCAGATTAATGTGGGAAGGTGTTAGATTCCTAACCTCAATAATTAGTAGGAATTTTATTATTATTTGTTTATGTGGTTGCCAACTATTTTTCAAGATCAGTCAGACCATGCTCGTATCATTGTTTGCATACTCATTTGATGCAATTGTATTGCTGTAGCAACTGACTTCAGTTGCCTCTGACTCGACTGAGTGAGTACTGGTAACAAAGAACATGTAGTATCATTTTTGTTTGGTATTTTTGCACAATTGACTGCTCAACAGACAATGTGTTGGAGACTGTTCAATCTTTGATGACGTTTCTATGGTAGACTGATCTATGGAAATAACAATTATCTTATTTACTCATTAAGGCGTTGAAACGTTATAAGAACAGTTTGTAAGAACATAAATACCAATAAGAACTGATCAGTAAAATAAGAGTTTGAAGATCAAGAAATAAGTTTTAAAATTAATTTTTTAGGGGGGCTGCCGTTGACTAAATTAAAGTTGACTTTAGTTGACATTCTTAAGAGATATGACAGTTTTGGAGTCACGATAAGTCTCTTTGTCAGGGAAGTTGTTGCTCATCTTTGCAAAGACGGTTTAGTGAAACACAAATCAAGCAGCAGCGTTGAGATGTACTTATGACGGTTTTGTGAAAAGAGCCCCAGGTCTACGTATTCACACAAGCATCCACTTAGCGCAAGCAGGAATTTTGCAGTCTCCTAAACATTGTTGTTCAGTCATGCGTGTAGAGATACCAAACAAAAAGGTTTCTTTTGCTCATTCGGTAATGCGAAATGATCAGATGGGACTGGATCATTAACGATGCAGATAGCGATGCAGGACGATGCAGAACCTACACAATGTCAGTCAGAAAGTGAACAAGGAGAAGAGCGATACATATACATAAGGCCACCGAATACTGCTACCTTTGGTAGGCTTATAATAGTTTGAAGCTGTCATTCAAATATGACAAATTACACAATATCATCAACATCTTATGATCTTTGCTTTATGTACCGTATCATTTTACTTGAATAGTTACCTAAACAAACTTGACAATTATTTTGTTCCTGATATATTTCAGAATGCTGATGAAATTCTGCAGAAAGCTATATTAAATCATGAGAAGTATCAAGCTGGTCTCAAGGATGCTACTGATTGGCTGGACTCTCTTGGGTCAAAGGTCAAGCAAGCTTCATTGATATCAGTCAGCAAGGCAGAGCTGGAGCAGAAGCTGGGTGCACTTGGAAACTTGAAGAAGGAGCTCATTGAAAAGGATGCGATCGTAGATTTAACCACTCAGAAGGCTCATCAGGTCAAGCAGTTCACGTCCGCCAATGGCCAGGCTCAAGTCGATAAAGAAATTACTCAACTAAAGGTATTCTTTCAGAGACTTGAGACAACTACCTTTAAATCCCTGAAGAGGATGTTGCAATTCCTCCAATTTTTATTTCATCTTAGATATAGGTTTTGAGTTACAATTTCCTTTGGATTTTAGGTTAGGTTTATTGTTAGGGTTAGGTGTAGTGTTTGGTTCAGTGTTGAAGTTAAGAAATTTGGTGAGATATAATTTGACTGTGGAGTGAATAGTTGCCAGAGCAGGTATCGTACATCCATTCTCTTCTAAAATCAAAATCCAAATACACAAAGGTTATCTAAAATCATTAGAGTGTTTCCATTTGTCTTTAATTTGTGTAGGACACCTTGTCGTCATTGAGAAGTGAAATCTCTGATTCTCTTGGAGCATTGAAGTTGGTGTTGGATCAATGGAACAAGCTTGATCAGGACTGTGAGGAGCTCGAGCAGTGGTTGAAAGTGACGGATGATGTCATTCAGAAAGGAGGTCAACTCCAATCAACACCTGTGGAAAAGAGAGCTCTAGCTGATGAATTTGAGGTAAGTCATTGTAAATTTGTAATTACATTATTGTTATAATACTGCTAATTATGATGAGAGGTAAGTAATAATTTATCACTTGTTTTGTGTACCGACGTACAAGCATAGACTAAAGTATACAAAATACATAGATTTGCATACTGGGATTGGGTATTTGATAATTTTACTTGTAAAATGGAATAAAGAAGTGGCATTATTACAGGTTGTATTAGCAACTAGATGGAACTGCAACTGCACGCAGTAGAAAATGATGCCTCCGCCATAGAGCGATTTCACAACAGAACCAAACAGAAGCAATTTTTCAAATTTAAGTTTAATTGTAATCCATTTACATGTTCTCAGAATATCGTGATTACAAGCTATTTTTCATATACATGTATGACCCTTTGAACTTTGACCTCATGACCCTAAAATCTTATCAGTTCATTTGCTCTGCAAGCTTTCCCGAGTTTGATAGTAATTTATCCGTCATTATTGACAATGCATTCACAGTATAGTTTTGCATACATAATGAGCCCTAGACTATTTAGGCCTGATAAAAACCCGATTTAAATCGGTTTCCCGATTTTTTTTTATTTTTCCCGATTTTTTCCCGATTTTTTTTTTCTTCCCGATTTAAAAAAAAAAAAAAAAAAAAAAAAAAAAAAAAAATCCAGATTTTTTTTTTTTTTTTTTTTTTTTTTACCAATTTTTTTTCTTCTTCCCTATTTTATCCTGGTTTCCCGATTTCCCTCTTATTTTATCTATTCTTCCCTATTTTGCCCTTTTTTTTCCCTAATTTTGTCCCAATTTTCTTACTCGAAAGGGGGGAATGTTGTTAGATGCCGTTTTTTCCCCGCGAATCCTCTTTTTTTTTTTTACTCAAGGGGGGCGTGGTTGACGGGAAAACAAAAAACCTATTTTTTTTTTAGTGCTCACTATCACCCCTGACTATTGATCTTTGACCTCATGACCCCAAAATATAATCAGTTCATTGGCTCTGCAAGATACATATATTATCCAAATTTGGCGGTAATCCATCAATCGGTTCTTGAGGTAATGCGATCACAAGCTATTTTTGCATACATAATGAGCCCTGTGACCTTTGACCTTTGACCTCGTGACCCCCAAAATCGAATTAATTCATTAGCTCTGCAAGATACATACATGACCCACGTTTGGCGGTAATCCATCAGTCGGTTCAGCAGATAACGTGATCACAAAATGGGACGTATGGACGGACGGACAACCAGAAAAAATAATGCCTCCGGCTACTTTGTAGCGAGGCATGAAAAGTCATTGATATATGAGTAGAACATGTATATGGACATGTAGAAGTGTAAATGATAGCAGTGAAATAATTAACTGAAGTAATGTTTTAAGCTTGAACGCCACTGTAATCTGCACATGTACATGAAGTCATTTTGTCTGGATCATTAAATTAATTGTTTTTTTTTCCATTTCATATGCAGACTCTTTGTGAATCACTGAGAGACCATCAGCCCATGGTGGAATCAGTCAATCAACAGAGTGATCTTCTAGGTAATGATGGGATCAGTAACCCAGAGGTTAAAGGGCAGGTCAGCAAGTTAACCGATATGTATGCTGACCTTCACAAAAAGGCACAGGTATGTACTGACTCTTGAATTACTTTGCTCTTCCAACTGATACTTTGATGAAAATTCATTTATGACAAGGCTCAATAATATTTAAGTAGGCAGTTGATGTAATTTGTGATGTTCCATCAGGTTTCACTATAAAGATACTATGTCCCTTTTGCAGCCAACATCAAATTCTGTAGAACTTTGCAGGAATTATGAATATGTCATATGTCCTATCTGTGAAATCTGTTGGGGGAGGCGTGTGACGGACCACTTCAAATGGCCCCTGAGATGGTATCTTCATTCATTCCGTGGTACAGTCAAACCTGTCTGTAGCTACCGCCCAAGGGAAACACAAATAGTGGCCGATGTAGACAGATTGGCTTTAGCGGCCATTTTGATTTTGAAGAATTGATTGACTGCGCGCCGCCCACTCGCAAGGCCTCTTGCAAACCTGCATGTGCGCGAACAATATTCTGTGACTTTATAAGGGCTCCGTCGAGCGAAAATGAGGCAGAGAGAGCCGATGGATAAATTGTTCAACGCAAATTTAATTTGTTGTTGTTTAAAATTTAATAAACAAAGAGTGTACTGTTTTTAGTCAAAATAAAGATATGAAATGATTTAACATATTTTTATTTGTCCGGCATTTAAAAAAAAAGCATATTAAAAATTATTTAAAAGAAATAAAAACGAGTCTGAATAACTGATTGACAGACAGCGCCCCGCCCACTCACCAGGCCAGCCTGTGCGCCAACAAGTGAGGCCAAGTTTATGATAATGCCACTGTATTGTTATATTTTTAATAGGCACAGCTAGCCCATAATGAAATGTGCAAGAAACCACATCCTGTCGGTAATTAAATGTTTTGATTGAAGCTTTAATAAAAGCTTGGGGGTAAATAGTCTGTTTGGTGTAAATGATGTTAGATCTAGCTTAACAGGCTGCCGCTGTGTCGCCAATTGCCTAGCTGCGAATGATTTGCTCAAGTGCTGCATTGCTGTTGCTGGTCGCTACATGGCTGGCACTAGGTCATTGTGGGGGCATTTTTGGTGGTTGCTGGTCGCGTTAGGCAGGTGGTCGTTGCATGTGTACAGGTTCTTAACTACATGAAATCTCACTGGGGACTTTAAGTGGTCGTTATGGACAGGTGGTCATTTCAGAAAGATGGTCGCTTAGACAGGTTTAACTGTATTACATTTATTACATTATTACAAGTACATTGCATATTACATTACAAGTATTATCTCCAATTTACCTTTTTTCTACATTTGGTGATCGAAACATATGCCTTCGAATGTGGGCATCTTTAAATATGTACATGGGCTTAACTGCAAAACACCCTGCCATTTCCATTATGGTAAGAGTTAGGAAAGTAGAGTTAGTGTCATTTGTTAGGTTTATTGTTAGGTTCAGGGTCAAGCTAAGTGTCAAGATTAGGGTTATTCAATTCAATTCAATTTATTTATGTTTTTAACAAAACATTACAAATCAATTACTGGTATAAACATTTACAACAAATTTAGGAATACATATTAGAAACAGAGGGGTCCAATAAAAAGCAATGCTTGTTATGGTTACTTGTGAGATGGAATATTTTGCCGTTATTGTAAATGTAATATAACATGGGTTAATTCTTTCCAGGATGCTAAGTGTAATTTAGAGAGGATAGCTGATGACCATGCAAAGCTGGATGATGAGCTGGCAGTGCTATCATCCTGGATACAGAGTAAGACCAAAGAGATGGAACCTTGCTGTAAAGTAGCATCTGATATGGAGATGAACCAAGCCAGGCTTGATATGGTCAAGGTGAGTATCACCAGCAGGATCACCATCATGGTAATCTTCCTCCTCATCTTCTTTATCCCCACAAATATCATCATCATCTACACTATCATCATCTACATTATCATCATCATTATCTACTTTTGAGTCTCTTTGGTGGGGAGGATGCAAGGAGAATGAGAGAGTATGCAGTCTTTTTTTAAATACCATTCTTCATCTAAATCTGTAGACAATTCCACATCACCCAATCTTCCATCTCCATACATGTCATATCTGCACATGTATTTCTACCTTGATTCATTGTAATTATTATTTTTTGGCAGGCCATCTTGGCATCTCTACCAGAAGGGGATGCTCTTTTAGACCAAGTCACATCTCACTCGGATCAGGTTCTACCTGACACCAGTGCTAGACCAGGCCAGGACCGCATCACAAGACAGGTTCAGTCCCTGGACCATGAGCTGGAGGCTCTTAGAATGCTAGCCCAGGACTCCTGCTCTAACCTAGAGCAGTATGCATCACTTTGGAGAGAGTTTCAAGAGAAAGCAAGGCGCTTGTCATCTTGGATGGAGGGAGTCAAAAAGGATGTAGGCAACATAGAAGGAGAAAGTGAGAACCTGAAGGAGAAGAAGGAAAAGCTACAAAAAGTTAAAGTAAATATACATTTTTTCCTTACATACATACTTTTTTGGCAAGACATTGATCCACATTTTCCACTCTCCATCCAAATATTAAACGGTTACCTGGCAGGATTTATTCCTTCAAATGGACCGCCCTGTTTATGGCTGCCAGAGCTAAAGCTAGGGTAATAATATCCAAACTTCTTTGTAAGCACCTAGGAACGTTGTATCATAATGTGAGAATAATTTATCACTATTTATTATTGCTATTTTGCTATTATTATGATTATTATGATTATTATTATAATTATTATTATTATAATTCATCTTTTGTTTTTCAAATTTGTAGGAACTGATAATGGAGAGTGAGGACAAGCAGCCTTTAAGAGAAGAAGTGACCTTGTTAGGTCAGGGTCACATAACCTTTAACCCTAACGTTGCTCACATTAGCAGTGAGGCCACTAAGTTAGCAGTACAGTACCAGACTCTACATATGACACTCAAAGTAAGTCTTGGCCCATTTCATAAAACTTGTTATCTTTAATTTCAACATAATATACCACAGCTTTATGACAACATTGCCCATAGCCAGGGCTCAACACTTAGAACAGGTGCCCAGACATTCGGCCTCCTCTCCCCTTTAGATCCAGACCCCAAACATTTCAAAATTGTTATTATTGGACTTGTGTAAACAGACCTTACAAATCTGAATCTAGACCTCTTCACAAAAAAGTTAATCTAGACCTCTTCACAAAAAAGTTAGATTGATTCCTGTTTTAGCCAATCAAGTGCAATGTTTTCAGTAGCTTAATATCAATTATAATTGTTAAACCGGGCTCAGAACTATTGCATATTGTATTCAACAAACTACCTCAAGTGTTCTAGGAAAGAATACTATATTTGTCAAAAATAGGGCTGTCATGAGTTTGTACTTTCTCTATACTATAAATTTCCTTTAAATGTCTTCTTTTAATGCAATTAAGACTTGAGTACTCCTCAGTGTATCCAGATAAGGACCAAGAGGAGTTGTAATTAACTATTTCTGTGTCTTGGGTGGCCCTAGAATTGGAGTTTTGTACAATGTGTACAGACAAGAAATAATTTTATTTTTCTTCAAACAGAACAGAATATGTCAGTTTGTTCTTGTGGAAGATATTTCATGTATGATATTTATAAAAAAAACAGCAATATACATTGTAAGTCAAAATTTAAGGCAAGTTTATGGATGGCAATTGTCCATAAGCATGATGACAGTCAAGGGGTTAAACATTTTTTTTTTATTTCTTGCTGATCCGTTGTAGGAACTGGAGCATCATCTTGAGCGGTCAGTTGAAGATGAAAACAAATATCAGATAGCAAGCAAAGATTGCAAGGATTGGCAGAAAGCAGCAAGTGAAAAGTTAGATGTATGTGATGACCTCACAGGAAGCAAAACTGATATACAGAACAGACTACAAGTTGTACAGGTATGCCTCTGAATTGTTATCTATGTGAAAATAAATGAACCTTGACCATTGAATCTTGAATTTTGATTTCCAAATTGTGCCTTCACTATTACGAAGGAGGCGTGATGGCTCAGCGGTACAGCAGTAGTGTGGTAGCTGGGAGGTTCCGGGTTTGAAGCCAAGTCAATGCGCTAGTGCCCTTTTTATTAAATGTAATGTTAATTGTTATTGTATGATTGTGTTAAATGGGGGCACGCTACAAGAGTCCTATCTCGCACCCCGGGGCAACGTGTCTAACACGGCTGGTTGCCGAAGATCAAGATACATTAATCTTGATCTAAGGAGACATGAACAAACGAGTGCTATTTTGTAAGACATTATTCCTCATCACCAAGTCCCTCCAAGAGGACTTACGGCTTTTGTTTAATTTACCTGACTGCCAAGAAAGCATGTGTATGCTTGTAAGTAAAAGCAAGCAGGGATCTGACGGATTTAAGTCCTCTAATTTGAAATTATGTTTTATTTGGACTTACATTTATAATGAAAGGAATCAAACATTTTTATTTTCATCTAAATTGCTCACATGTCACTTCTCTTGTTGGCCAAGCAATCCTTTGCTTTTATTTCTCAACACATTATTAGCTTGTTGACGATTGTCCTTGTTTGTTTCCATAGGAATTGATGTCGAGCAGACATCGTGGTCAGAGTCTTGTACATGCAATGGTCAGTAAGGCAGAGAAAGCTCAACAGCACACAGCTCCTAATGGTCAAGACTTGATGGAAGCAGAGGTCAAAGGAATGACATTGAACTACAATGAACTGGTGCAGAAAATGAACAGTACTAAAGACAAACTGCAGGTGAGAACTTAGAATGAATAAAGAGTATTGTGTAACTGATCATTAGTATTGTATAATTTTCTATAATTTAATTTTCTTAATTATACTTCTTCATGAACTGAACTTGTGAATTACAAAATAATAATAATAATAATACAAAAAAAATTATATAGCGCTTGTGACATAAAAGCTTCAGAGCGCTGTACACAAATCAAAATTACTTCAAGAAAAATCAATATTACTAATGGAATTAACATCACTCAAATTACCAGGAAAACTAAATATTACTAACATAACTTAACAAATTGATATTGCTTAAATTACCAAGAAGATCAAATATTACTAATATAACTTAACAAATTAACATTACCTAAATTACCAAGAAGATCAAAAATTACAAACATTACTAACAAAATTAACATATAATATCATTACATGTGTATCAATAATAGCAATAATTTAAAAAGACATAATGAAGGCATTGTAATACTTATTTGAGCTTATTTTATAGTTATTCAGGTCGTTTTTTTTTAAATAGATAAGTTTTAACCCTTTGCCTACGGGAACTGGGTGACTACTGTATGAAGCTTATGGGAATGAATGAATTCAGTAGACAATGGGTAAAGATTCTTTTTGAAAATGTCAATGGTGGGTGAGTGCCTTAATAGTGGAAGTGTAATTCATTGTTCCAATTTCCGCTCATACTTGAGAAAGGAAAGGATGTCATAGTTATTTTTATTATATATGTTTGACAATAGATTATTGCAAGAGGTTTATTTTCAAAGCTCAAAACCTTATTTACATATTCTCATATAAAAGCATAACATATACATGTAAAACAAACATTTAGACTTCAATGGGGTGTAGCTAGATGGCACTGTGAATTGTTAATCCACCATATTCTAAACAATGCAAAACATAAAGTTTAAACACATAGATTATATGTCCAACTGTATATCATTTTGAAATCATATTTGTTTGATATGTGCAACTGTAGATCAATCCTAGTGTTCAGCCACTTCGTATTCACTGTGTGCATTTCTTTAAAATCTAAAAATCGTAGACACAAATTCGATCGTAAATAACTCAATCCATACCTTACCATATCGTGGATACGTAAAAACCCGTAAAATTTTGCAGGCACGAAAAGGACCGAGTTTTTTAGCTGTCAAATTTGTTTTGATGGATCATAAACTGAAACTAGATGATTTATTAAATGAAAGCGCAAACAAGACCGACGAAAGAAAGTGTTTCAACATTAATCTTTATTTTTCTCTCATTTTTTTTTGTTTGTTTGTCATGATTGCCGCAAATTTAATATAGTTTTCATGAATAGAGGTGTGAAATAAAGGCTAGGATTGTGATTATTCCGGCCATTTATACTGAATTTTGATAATCTTTTTTCAAAGTAAAGTTTTCACAACCAAGTCTAACTTTGAGACGATGTGAGAGTGTTGCTCGCGGTTCTCAATCTCCGCTTTGCAGGCTGGCCGGGCGCTGTAGCGGTCGCGATAGGAGATAGTTGCAATTGTTTCTGGGGCGATTTGGGACCATTTTCTTTCTTTTTTAAGTCGCCCCCCGAAATCACATTTTTGGCCTGTTTAAGCGGCTCTTTATGTTATTTCAGGGGTGAAATCGTCCGCCACCCCAGTGTATTTCTTTCCCTGCTGAGAGAATATATATACGAAAATACACATATGTACAGTTTATGTCGAGATGTAAACAAACCACAGACAGAGACAAAAACAACATGCAAAAGTGCGGAATTAAGTGGTCTATGAATTCAATAACGGAAGGATTTTAGGATTCTCATTGTAAAATGATTTGTTAGGGCTCATTCAGTCCACATTTAACTTGTGTCCAGTAAGTTTTTTGTCAGATTTGTGAATATTTAGTGCCGGCGATGTGAAGTTTCTGAAAGAGGAAAAGTTTATTCTCCAAGACTGGGCGCAAAAAATAAAAAAAGACCGGTGCCTGGGACTCACTTTTTTTGTTTTTCTGGGCGCCAAAAGGCACCGGGTGCCCGCTTACAGAATGGCTTGATTTTATGCAAATGTATTTGTTTATGTATTCAATTATAGATCAATTTAAAAGAATGGGAGAGTTTCGATGCTGGAAAAGACAAACTGTCTAGATGGTTGCAGGAAGCCTGTTCCCAGCTATCAGATGCTCAACAACCAAAAGCAACTCTGATAGAAAAGAAAGCGCAACTGGATAGATGCAAGGTATAATACCATGATATATTGGTACTCTTCACTCAGACTCTACTTTGTAAACCACCTAAAATTGATTCAAACTACATAATATTTTGTTAAAAAACTGCACACAGAAAATGCCCTGTATGATGTAGGAAACAGTAATGTGTGGTGCTCTAAGTTTGTGTTCTCTTTTTTACTTATAAATTTTTAGCTTTTTTCCACATTAAAGTGAAGGAAATGTGAATGAAATGTTAATTTACTGCAGTATTATCAGTTTCCAAATTCGAATTTAATTGTTTTGAGGATGATAAACATTTTGCATAAAGATGTTTTTCTGCAATGTATCTAAGGAGGAAATCAAATGATAATTATGGCTTTTTGAGACTGAAGAAATGTAACCAAGTTGATATTTTTTTATATCTTTAATATCTCAGTGTATTCAGCAAGATATTGAGAGACAACGTCATGATCTTGAAAAGGTCACTGAGCATGCTCAGAAGCTAGAAGAGGAGAGTCCCAATAATGAATCAATCAAAGTACCTCTTGCAGAGCTAGTGAAGAGATTTGAGAAGATTGAAACAGATTGCCAGGTAAGACACAGGGATCATCTGTTGTTTGCAGTTTACCAAAATCGTTGTTGGTATGTTGATATTTATTTAACATCAACAATACCCTTTTCAAGTTTATACATGGGCTATGGAATGCACTCTAATTAAATGGTACTTACATAATATCTTGTTTTGAAGGAATCGATCTTCTTAATGTTTTACTCTGTATGTTTGGGGTTTCTTGTATCATCATTCCTCAAGACTTCACTGTAGAATTACAAAAAGCTACACTATGTGCATTGCATGGACATGTTTGTATAGGAAACACCTTAGAGGAAACAAGCTTACATATATATTAAGGAACAGAAAAGGCAAATAAGCAAGAAGTAGACATTGACATGGAATGATGTCTAAACATCTAAGAAGGACTTGAAAGGCAATGAAACATGCAACGTAAGGCTCAGAATAGTAACAGCTGAAGAAAAGATTAGCCATATGATCGACTCTGGTGAATGAACCAAAAAATTCAGCATAAGTCTAAGGAGTACCAGACCAACAAATGACAACATCTTATCTGCAATTATTTCCTTTAAAAAATAAGTTGTTGTTTACCCATATTTGTTGCCTACCCATGTTTGTTTGGAACAGGAGTGTGCATGTAAACAGTCGGATATGATTCAAGAACACCAAGCATTCCAGCAAACACAGAAAGTTTACACTCAGCAACTGAGAGACCTGAAACACCAGCTATCCACCAAGGCAGATCCATCAGGCAACATGGAATCCATACAAAACAAGATAACTACTTTGAAGGTTCTACTCATATCATCGTTTTGTTTTCCTTCTTTGAAATGTTTCCTCTCTCCTCTTTCTTGTTCATTTCAGATACTTTAATTCTTTGCATTAATGTCAGTCTTTTTCTCTTCCCTTTCAGTCTCATTCAGCCAATATCTGCCTTATTTAGTTCTTTTCAGCCATCTTCTATTATCTTTAAATTGCCTTCAGTCACTTTTCTCATATTTCAGTCATTCTCAAGCTCTGTCAGTCAATTTTAATTTCTTTTGATTTCCTTCAGTCACATTCAGTTACTTTCATTCATTTTCAGTCTTTTTCAGGCTCTCTCCTTTTCTTTCACCCATGATCATTCTGTTTTCTTTTATTTACCTCCAGTCATATTCAAGTTCTTTGAGTTTCTTCCTCGGGGCTTTACATTTCTCATATCTAGTTTCACTCTTTAAAAAAGACATTCTAAGAAAATCACGAATATAGCCAATAGTGTATCATTAGAAACAAGGAAGCTTACATATGACAATCATATAAGTTTTAGGTCAACTGCATATCAGATGATTTAGAAAAATCACCTCTCAGAATTTGGGATATACGAGCAGTTCACCAGAAAATGTAGTGATGTTTTGACCGATCCTGCATACGACGCGCTATAACGAATGAACATATTGTCAGTGCAATTATTTTTCAATAATAAGAATCTGATTGATTTTAAACATGAACATATTTCACACCAATTTAAAAGGGAAGTGATGCTGATGCTGATAATTATAACCTTTTGCTAAGAAACATTCAGGGCAAGGATAAATGATTGATTGAAGAAATTACTGAATTATCAGCCCGCTTTTGAATAAGTGAAAAAGAGACAAGCACTAAAACTGTGTGCATTGTAATGGGACATCGTCTGCTTATGCGAATTTGGTCCCTTGTGTGACGTCACAAATCTCAGCAGTGTTGATAATAATCGTTACTTTGAATGTTTCCAAGCAGGGAATTTTTATAACCTGGTTTGATCTAACCTTTTCTTATTCAATATCGCAATACAAATTAAATCAATATTTAAAATCAATGAATGTCTACTTTAAATGCCCCTTTTCAGATACTGGTATGTATCTGTATATAAATTGCCACTAATTTTTGTCAAACTATCTGCTTCCATATGCTACCTTACCTTCTTAGGATCTCCAAATTGGAAAGGCAGCATCTGCTGAGCTGCTCGAGTCACTCTCTGCTTTGGGGGAGAATGTGAAAGAATCCACTTCACTTGCAGGACAGGAAACTATCCATCAGCAGGTGGAGAAATGCGGTGAAGACCTTGCAGCCCTTGATAGCAGCATGCACAAATCCAGTGAGAGGCTACAGGAATGTGTAGAGAGGTGGCAAGCGTATCAGGCCAGAAAAACTGAGATTGAGTCAGGTATCCAGCAAGCTAGAGAGGGATATCAGCAAGGTGCTCAACCTCAGGTAGACCTGCCAGCTAAGCAAGACCACCTTAGGAAGTTCAAGGTATGGTCATTTAAATCACATGGGGTATATAACATGGTTAATACAACACCAAGCAATAACATTTTGGGTTTATTGAATGATGAATTTTAGGCATGTGGTTATAGAAAAATGTGATTTCACTTCTTCTTTCTGTCAGATATAATCCTGTCATAAAGGTTCTCAATAAGAATTTACTTTTAAACCTAGTATAGTCAAACCAGTGTAATAAAAACCGCTCAAGAAAGACAAGAAAAGTGGTCTTTATAGTCAGATCAGTCTTTATTCATAGGTTCCTTTAATTCAGGTTTCAATAAGAAAGACTGGTCGAGGGAAATGAGAAATATATGCAGGTGGTTGCCAAAGCAGGTTTCACTCTATATTTAAATGAGATTTTTCTGAATCATTTTCAGGGTGTGCATGATGAGCTAACTAGTCAAAGAGTATGCATTGAAGCAGTATCCTCTGCTGCACAAGCCTTACTGGACAGCAGTATGGGTAACGTTGGGGTTGTGAGTGAAGCTACAAGAATCACATCAGAATACCAGATGATATTACTCAAAAACAAGGTAAGGAAGTTTCCAGCTTTTGTACCAGCAGTGAAAATAATGTTAGTCATTTTTGTTAAATCATTTCAGTGAGATACTAGATGGGATGTATTTAAATATGTGGTTAAAAGTTGATGATGCCATTCATTTTACAGCCCTCAAATTCGATTTAAGTGGTGTTTAAGAGTGAGCTCAGATGCACTCAGTTTCTCTGTAACAAAATGTAAGCTACTGCAAACAAAACTAGATTGGTTTCATTTAGAAACGCAAACTGTAAAACCAGAAATCTTTGCTTCAACAAATTTGCTGATCGTAAAAGTGCATTGATGTATCAGTTTTATTTCAATCGCTTCTGGCCATGAACCTGTTGTAAATCTGAACCACTCAAGCCATGTGCTAACATTTCATGATGTATTTGATTTTTTTTAAAAGGATGCTGTGAAGCTGAGTGAATGTATAGCGAGAGAACATGAGCAGTACTTGGCCGCCCAATCCACCTTCTCAGATTGGCTAGATAAACAGGAGTTTTGTCAAAGTCTGGCTGGTGATAAAGACACTCTTGCAGAGAGATGCATTAAACTCAAGGTAAATTCAACACTTCCTAATCACATTCACTAGGAATATCTTTAAAATGAAGGAAAAAAAATGCTGTATTAAAATCTTGTCTATTCAGAGCCAGAAGGGCTTTAACTCTGTGTTAAAGTATGTGAGGTGATACGCTTCTGGCTCCCATGAGACTACATGTATATATTGTGCACTTGCAACAGCAACAAAAATCACTTCTAGGTGATCCTGTGATCTCAAAGGAAGATTGCAGATGTAGATGTTTGAATGATTTGAAATTTCTACACAAATATTCCGTGGTCAGTCATGAGTCATTTTGGTGGTTGGATCGTATCCCACTGCTGCCACCCTGTTTCAGTTGGTGTCCAAAATTAACGGCTTGTTCCCATATGCTGCAGTTTTCTAAGCACAATGCTCTTCACATTAGTACCTCATAACACACAGGTAAACGAGCATGGGTAGGACCTTTGTTGAAAAATTATGTGTTTAGACCCTTGTAGCTCTTAGGCAGATGGTATATACAGTTGTTGGGATGTAGGACATATACTCTGGAAACAATTGGTCGGCAGTTGATATCCTACGCTAAACTAAACTAAAATCCTAACCTCATCTCTTGACCAAATGATATGCCTATCTGTAACCATGAACCCATTGCAACCCACAATCTAACTCTTTCTTTCATAAAGTGCAGCCCAGAACATTTGTCGCTGGAATAAATATTGGATCACAAGTTGCTGAAATGTTACAAAATGTATAAATTTGTTAATTCACAGGAATTACAGAAATGTGAGAGTATTGGAGCTTTGAGGCTGAGTACATTAGAAGAGAAAGCTGAGAAAGCCATTCACAATACCACCCCTGAAGGTCAAGACCTGATCAGGGCTAGCCTGGAAAGAGCCAGAAAACAACTCGAAGAGTATAAGGACTCACTCAATAAAGCACTCCATGATTGCCAGGTATGGGTAAAAAGAAGCACTTTGGTCAGCATAATACTAATTCAATTACACCCAATGTGAAGACTGATATGATGCCAAACAAAGAGCAAAATTAGACCTTAGGTAACTCCCCTTGTCTAACTTGATTTTAGACCAAGCTTGGACTCGTTAGTTTGTTTAGTAATTTAGTATACAGTAATATGGACCCTAGTGAATGAGTGATGTAGTGAGTGATGTACAGGTAAGAAGAAACAAAGAGCTGAAAGAAGAGATAGTGAGAGAGAGAGAATAAGATAATTATGTTATTGGTGATGATTACAATGATGATGATGAATATTGTTATCATTATTGTTATCATTACTTTTGTTTTTTTTGTTACCACCCTTTCATCAACACATATATTAATTCTATTATTTATTTATTAAGCCTTCTTTTACCAGGGTGATTTTGACAATGTTCTACAAGAAGGCCCACTAAATTAACAAAGATGATATGAACAGTATAATACAAGATACAAACATAGGATGATCTAACAAACAGGTATACACAACATAATGTTAACTTGGTGAAAAATGTTCAACCATAAATTAAATGCATCATAAGTTATACTAGTAATAATATTCTCAAGTATGATGGATATGAGAGTAGTATTACATATTGATACTGATATACAGGTATGTTTGGCACTATGGGATCAGGCTGAGAGAGATTATGAAGACATGTGCAATTGGTTGAAGGACATGGAAGAAAAGACTTGTCACCTTCCTCTCATGAGTACAGTCAATACAAAGCAACAACAAGTCGACCATTGTAAGGTGAGAATCTCTTTCTAAAACCACATGTACATCAGACTAAGTCTCCATGTGGATGATCATAATAATAATTATAGTGGAGTTTCATATGGCGCTCATAGCCGGCACATTACCACTCCTTGTGCTATACTATTATGACCCGGGTTTTAGCATGGCTGCCATTACTGCGCTCGAGCATTTTAAGGAATTAATAATACCTTTCACGTACCCATTTACCTCACCTGCGTGGAGTGTGCCCAAGGACATTAGAACTGTGACGGGATTCAAACCCCATCCCTTGTGTATCACAGTCCGGAGACTTATCCACTAGACCACAACACCTTCGCAAGGTGTAGGTCCAAGGTATTTGGTAATTTGGTGTTCCAAACATGTCCAAGTAATGTAGAGTTCTGAGTAAATGAAATGGACATTAAATGTGTCATTTCTGATTTAAGCAGAAATATGGCTATTAAGTCAATTAAATGAAGAGATATACTGTACACTAAACTCTGTGATGTTGATGGTAACATAGTGAGGGGAAAAAATTCTTGGATTTGCCTATGTCAATTGTACCTAAACGTTTTTTGTTTGTAATCTCATTTAATTTGAATTTAATGTACAAAATTTTCCATTTTCTTATAAACACATTCCATGTTATCGAGTAAATGAATGGTATGTAATATACTCGGTAATTCATGTAATCCTGATCTTAAATCATTATGTATCTAAAGTTTAATTTGGTCATTTTTTGTTACTACAAAATATTCATGAAATAATGTATTGTTTTATTATCTGGTTGATCAGAGCATTGAGTGTATGGTGAATGAGAAGAAACCTGCCATATCGCATCTCAAGAAAAAGCTGAGATCTCTGGTTGAGCAGACAGAACATAGTCCATTCAGTGATCAGATGCAGCATATTACTCAGACCTATGACAATTTACAACAGAAATGCCAGGTATGACTACTATCAACAACAAGAAATATTCTTGAGCATACTTGCATGCTTAGTTCTAGATATCTGGGCATCATTTCACGACGCAGTCGTAGGTACAACTTCACTGACATCCAATTAAAGCATGTGTTAAATTTAATACACACATTATATTTAATACACACGTTTTCATGGGTTGGTAGCGAACTTATGACAGTTTTTTGAAACACTGCCTCATGTCCAATCACATTAATCCTTTTGTTTAACCACCACAAGTGTAAATTGTGTTGCCAACATCAGGACCTGCTGTAACATTTGTATTTTTCTCCAAGCAACATTACAGAATGTTAATAGGATATAAAAATATAAGGGTCAGTAAAGGCTCAAGTCTTTTTAAAATTTGCTCTTGGGTACATATATAATACATTTTTGAACAAAATCAAATTGGTATATACCATGAAAATCTTATTATTTGTATATTTTGTATTTTTATGCATGTTTTCTAATTCTTTTTCAGGATAATGTGATATCGGCCGAAACCAGAACGTCAAACCACATTGCATTCAACACAGATGTTGTTAAAGTTCAAGAATGGTTGGACTCTAACAAACAATCTCTCACTGATCTATGTAACCCTGAGGGTCAGAGGGAAACGGTCAACAAAAAACTTCTTGACCTTCAAACCCTCAATGACACTCTTCCAAAAGGAAAGAGTCAGTTGGGTCAGGTGATGAATCTGAGGCAGCTGATTGGACCAGAGACATCAGAAGAAGGTCATGTGATTATTGATAGTGAAGTGCAGAGATTACAGCAGATGTGGGGTGCTTTAAATGAAGGTGAGCGAAAATGGATTGCAGTGGACTATCGTACTGGCATAAAATACTAGAGTGTACACTCTTAGGGGTATGTCCGCACATCCTAATCAGATATCCCAGGAGGTGCGACCTGAGGGTCATTGTGTTTAAGGTGACTTTACCTCCAATGCACAAGTGATGCCAAATACATGATCAAAAGACCTTCAAAAATAAACTTTGTTATGGCTGTAGAAATTTGGGGAGTCCTGAAAAGGACTGCCAGTAATTTTTCTTCCTTGAGTGTGTGTAGTCCTGAAAAGGACTGTTGGCAATCTTTCTTGAGCTAATAGTTCTAATGAGAAGTTGGAGAGGATGAGTGGTACATTCAGATGATCAAATACATCTTTGTAAAGTTTGCACATTTTCCAGAGGGAAATTGGCAAGGCTATTGTAATTTCCCACTCTTGATTTTTTGCAATCTGTTGATTATAACAGTATGATTTTTTCTTGTCACAAATGAATAAAGAATGGGAAAGTTGAATGAAGTCTGAAACTTTTTTCACACATGATGCAAAGACTGACTCAAAAAAAATGTGAGAAAATGAATTTATAGCCCAGTGCACATATCATTTATGTATCTGGTAACACACTGATAGGTTTGTAAGCTCAGGGGCCTTTGTTATCTACCTTCTTAACCCACACTTATCATTCATTTACTTGTAAAATAGGAATATTTTGCCACATCATTATGGTCTTTGAGGCAGCTAACTGTTACAGGAGGCACGATAGCTCATTTGGTAGAGCATTGGTCTCGTAATCCGGCGACCTGGGTTTGAAACCAAGGCGATGCGCTAGTGCCCTTTGGTAAGGCATTAATCCTCATTACCAGGTCTCTCTGAGAGGACTTAAAGTCATTGGTCCTCTGGTTGCTTACTAGCTTTTTTAGCAGTCAGGTAAAATAGCAACCGCTACACATGTGTGAATAAGGCTTTATAGAAAATCTTTGTCCATATCTTCTGTAGATATGAAAGGAGTCCATACTTTGCTTCAGGACACCATTGAGGAGTGGAATAATGTAAGTGATCTGCAGGACCAGTTCTGTTTGTGGTTGAATAATGCTGAACACACAATATCTAAAGATCGAGAACTGATGTCAAAGCTTGAAGAAAAAACAACACAGATGGAGGGTGATCAGGTAAGACACTCATTTGGCTTGAGATTTGAGTATAAAAATCAGTGATTCTATTTTTGAATGGATAAGTATATATACCCTGTACTGGGGAAAACTTTCCAACTATAAGAGTTTTATATCTGCATCATTCCAAGTTCAAGCAATAAAGTGTACTTTGTGCAGACTGCGGAGTTTGCGATATACGTGTTGGAGCAAACTCAATTAGATGCACCACATGCAGGAGCTGGGTTTATCGCAGATGCAATGGAATGAGTGGTAGCCTGCAAGCAGCAAGTAAAACATTCATCTGTAAAAGATGCTTAGGCACAATCTCACAGAAATGTACTAGTGACAATGTGACAGGTTTGGATCTGCATGGAACGATGTGTGATAAGGTGGAGAAGTTCTGCTACCTGGGAGACATGTTGGCTGTCAGAGGAGGAGAGACAGCAGTTGTGACTGCAAGAATCCAAACTGCTTGGAAAAAGTTTGATGAGCTCTCTCCTTTCCTTGTCTCAAGGGCGACCCCTTTAAGAGTGAAAGGGAAGATGTACGATGCTTGTGTAAGAAAATGCATGACGTACAGGAGCGAAACCTGAGCATGGAGAAAGCTGAGATGAGGATGGTGAGGTGGATGCGCAGGGTATCACTTCACGAGAGAAGGAAGAACCATAGTCCTTCTTCAATCAATGTGATTGATGGGGGTGGCACAGATTATGAGGATAAATAGACTTAGATGGTTTGGAAATGTGGCAAGAAGAGAGGCAACACACTGGCTCCAGAGGGCTCTAAACGTTTCGGTCACTGGAAGAAGACCTTGCGGGAGACCCAGGACAACTTGGAGGGAAACCATAGCAGAAGACGCCAAAACATCTGGTATTAGTCATATGGATCCCACAGACAGGAAAGCTTGGAAAGCAGCCATTAATAAATGAAATGTCCGACCCCACAAAGTGGGACAAATGGACTTTAAATGCTGATGATGATGATGACATCCACTTCTGATAAAATGCTGCTTCCAGTTCTGGAGATAACCACACTTTGATGCTTCCATTTATTGATTGTCAGTGCTGCCGAACATAAACATTTTCTTACATTTTACAGAAACTAGGTGACTTATAGTAGTAATACATCATGATTATTTTATGAAAAATTAGTATGGTGTCTGATAACGTATGTTAAGCATTTAAATATAATTTGCAATTTGACTTGATATCTGGACATATCCACACCATACCATCAATTTCAAACAACAAGTATACTTAAATCTTAGATTTGATTTGTAATTGGACATGAAATAAAGGTTTACAAATCTTGTAGAACATTCTTACAATATTGATATCGTTTACACTTTATTTTAGGGTACATTAAAAGTAATTTTGCATCTATGATTATTCTACAGGAATCTGTGGCTAGAGTAAGAAGTAAGAAGGAAATGCTTGACAACTTGTTGAAAGCATCCCAACCCATCCTTGAGAAGAATCATCCCAGCTTCAGCCTCACCTCTCAGTTAGCCGACCTGACTGCTCGCTATCAGTCACTTCTACAGAAGGCTTGGGTCTGTTTCGTTGTTGTAATATAGAATTTATTAATGGCACAAGTCTACAGTTTATTAACAACAGTGATTTGCATTGTGCTCAGAAGCTAAAAAAATAATAAAATATAACAAATATATAATTTATCTATTTCATTTTTCACCTCGACATGGTCTTTAAGGTCTTTTAAGGAAAACAGAAAAAAGTGTCCTTTGTAGACAGGTGGTTTTTTTTAGATAGGTTCTACAGAAGACATTTCTTGAGTAGTTCATAAATTATCATCCTCATATTCACAAAATACACCAATTTAGACACACATTTCTTTCTCGAGGGTTGCACAAAGCAATCCTTCAGTCTATTGATGTATATTGTTTTGTGCAAAACTGCACTTCTAGCAAACGAGTGACCACGCAGGGATGTGAAGAAAGCAATAGAAGAGTTAATTATGAATATTTCCCCATGTAATTGTGTATGCAGGATGTTGTGAAGAGATCAGAGGAAGATGTTGCTGATCATGAGACTCTGGACTACCAGGTAGCCAAGACTATAGCATTCTTACAAACCAACACCATGACAGTGAAGGAATTACAAGACGTCACTGGCGACAAACACTCTGTACAACTCAAACTAGATGCATTGAAGGTAGGAAACAGATATACACTGCGTCAAAACCACCAATAGGTCAAAAGTTCAACTATGTTCATTTTCTTAAACTGAAGAGTTGCAGCTTCATAATGATGTTTCATTTTTCAAGTGAACATCACTAGAACCCAGTCAAACAAATTTATGTGAGCAGCAATCAAAAACATCTGATCAGAGAAAATAGGCTTTGAATATAGGGAAAAAGGGGGATAATTTATATAAAGAGGTGTTGTGGTCTAGTGGGTAAGTCACAGACTGGATCTCAAGGTTTGTGTCACAGGAATTATTTCCTTTGACAATGCAATACTCTGTGTTTTTTTAGTCTTCTTCCTGGTTTTAGGAATATGGTAGGAAGAATTTCCTTGAATGTTTTAGTGACTTATGGCATCTCAGCTTAAGTTGGGGTGATAATATGACACTTTGTCTCAACTTCTTTTTAAAACTGCTTATTATGTATTGTAAATATTGAATGTGACATTGCAGATGAACACAAATTTCAAATACACAAATGTGTTAAAAATCTGTTTTATTCCTGCAGCCTGTACTGGACTCTATGAATGAAATCAGAAGCAAGGTCAAAGAGGCACACAATCAAGGTCAAAAGGTTGTAACCCATACATCAGCCCCAGGTCAAGAAGTCATCAGAGAGCAGCTGGATGAGATAATGCAGTCTTTGAGCTCCCTGGAATCAGTGTTGAAATCTACTAATCATGACCTGAGGGAGAAGATGACCCAATGGGAACAGTATGAGGAGTCAGAGGCTGCGTTTGGGGTGTGGTTGGATGATGCTGAGAGGACTGTTGCCATGGATATGGGGCAGATGATGGAGCTAAGTGATAAAGTCACTGAGCTGGAGAAAAGAAAGGTTTGTCTTAGCTTTCTATCATTGTTATGATGATTGAAGTAGGTTGTTCCTTTATTTTGTTCCAGGTTTGTTGATAACTGACCATATCTATGAAAGATAAATAATAAACAAGTTTGTCATATTAGATGCAGGGAAAGGTCTGAGATGTGGGTCATAGTTTAATGTCAGAGAGTGTAATAAGCCGTACATAGGGGTAACTGTGAGATGAAAAGATGATATTCTTGGATTGGCTTGAGAAGAGAAACAATAGTGTACTTGGGGTATATTCCCCATGGATTGCTGAAATTTGGTCTTGGTAAAATTCTGCTGCAAGCTTTCATAATCTTAAAAGCTGTGAGCCTTGTGCATTTATTTAACCTTGTATAAATAGTGGCACTAATTCTTGTAAACAGCATTTTTACAAGAAAAAAATTCTTTTCATGCTATCATAATGTTTTTGATGTGGAGTTAGTAATATGTGTCTTTTGATGCATGCAGACCTTAGAGAGGGAGATAATCTCTCATGCAAGTAATCTGGAAGAGGTGGAGTCTAGAGCCAAGCCACTCTTGGAACACAACATACAACCCAAAGATGTGCTTGGGGATTCAAGGAGACTGGCACAAAGATATGCAAACCTCCTAAAGAAAGCCCAGGTGAGCTAGAGAAGAGTTAACTCATTTGGAACAGTCAAGGCCACTTATCCACTAAAGAAATCATGCAATCCAATTAAACAAAATCAGGTTGTGGTACAGTTCAAAGACTGAGGGGATGTAAATTGACTTGCTTGCTGAAGTTGAGCCAGAAATTAGCTTTGTTCTGGAATTGGTATACACGTACTTTGACAGATTTATTTGATAAATTATTGGTAATGTGCAGGAAATGAAACTGACTACACTTTGGACACATCATGTTTTGAGATAGTATTGAATAAGCCTTCATTTTTGCAAGGGGGTTATTATAGCGAATGCCGCAAATTTGTAAGAACATTTATTTGAAAAATAAACAAATCGTACAGAATTTTGTGATACAATCAATAAAAGTACATATGTGACTACTGAATTGTCTACTCAGAGCATGTGTGCAGAGCTAGCATCTAATGTGAGCAAGCACCAGGAGTATGAAGAAGCCTTACGAGATGCTGAGAGGGCACTGTTACAGGTATCACAGCATGTTGCTTCCCAGGGGGCCATAGGTGAGGAGAACAAAGAACCAGAACAACTGGCAAAACAGCAGGTTAGTGCTTTATCCTTTGGGACCAGTAAGAATAATTCATTTAAAAAAAGGTAAAAGTAGGAAAATTAGGAAGGAGTTACATCCTTAATATGGAACCAACTAGCTTATACTCTGTCAATTAAGGCTTTTGACAATTTTGTTCTTCAATAAAATGTAACAAATTTGTTGTAATTTCCAAAGATCAGTTATATTAGGAAGTGAAGTCATGTCAGATATATACTGTTAGCTGTGATTTATTACATTTCATTTTAAGAATAGTGTCAAGATATTAACACTTCAAGTCTAGTATTAAATCATTTACAACTCTCACATATTTTGTGTGTGTGAGTTATATTGCTGTGAATCTGTTTTCTTGTTCCTGCATGTACCTTCATTTTATAAGATGTTTGATACATATTTTATGCTAACTACGTGAATTTTATTTATAAGATGGTATTTCACTCTGACTGCTGGAAAATTATACAGAATATTTTAATATAGAGATAGCTTATCTCATGTAGTGATGACACTTCTATTGTATTATCAGGGAAATGAAGTGCTTGCCTGTAAAAATTATTAACAGATTCATGTTATAGTGTGCCTTTATGGAGCCAGAAGGGCATTAACTCATAAACTTAAGACTGAGTTAACGTCCTTCTGGCTCTGAACAGACAATTCCTTATTATATTAGAAATGTTTCCTAACATGCATGAAGAGGAAGTACAATGAAATTAAATTACTGCAGCTGGTCTAGCAACCTATGGAAAAATAAAAGTAGTCTTATTTATCACATCACTTCATTATTTGCAAGGTCTTGGGGTGTATTTGCTTTTGTGCCTAATTTGCTTAACTGTCTGCATTTAAATTACAACATATACTTGTATATTATTGATATTAAAACTTTAAAGAAAAATTAAATTATTTATTACAAATGGACAATTTGTTCCTATATTAACACCCTTTTTAATCCCTGTATGCATGTAGATCATGACAGTAACTAAAAGCTTTTTAAATCCACGCACATTGAAATTCTTAATCCCATGTTTGGGATTTGAGGGTAAGATATCTCAACATGACATCTGCTTTCGTTTTGTTTATTGATTTATATTTTGATGGCTAACCGGAGACAAAACTAACAGTCACTACTTATGGATTTTCTATAAGAGTCCTCAAGTGGTCTTCCCTGTTAAAAGCTATATGACTTCCATGTGTATTTTTCATATTTTGACAGTTGCATTCTAATGCAGTTATTTATTACCCAAAGCCTCCTGGTTACTCTCGTACAATTTCCGGTATTTAGGACTGATCATCCTCGACCGCCAGTTTTAGTCACATGTAATTTCCTAACATAGTGGGAAGGCCAAGCTATTTGCCCCATTGATTACTTACCACGTCCGAGATTTTAGTAAATCCGATGACTGTATTTGGTTAACATCCGTGTCGCTATCAACTTAAAACAGTAAACATATTATGAATTAAAATGTTACATTTGATGTCTGTAACTCTTCAATACTTGGTAATGTATGGGACACGAAGCAACCAAATACCTTGGACTTGTGAACTCAGAACAGAACAGGAAGGTGGTTTTATTAATCTCCTAAAAAAATGTTACTTTTGTATTGTTCATTATAATTCATGCCTGCTTTATTAACATTGGTGTATGGTGCCTTGTGCTCTCTACCACCTCTTTACTCACTAACTAAACCATCATCTCAGAGTCTCATGCGTGAACTAGCAACCTGCTCCTCCAAACTGGATAATGCCCGCACCAAGGGCCAAACCCTTCTTGTCGATCCTACCAGTACTAACACCAACCCCAAGCTGTCTGGGCAAGTGAAAGGGCAACTAACCCAGCTAGAAGAAGGGCTAGAAGACCTGGATCAGACAGCTAGAAAGATCCAGGCACGGTTACAGGTGGCTGTACAGCAGCAACAGAAATACCTTGACACTCTTCAGTCATGTCATGATTGGCTCTTACAGGCTTGGGGGAAAATGCCAGCAATGTCGCTAGGGTCAAAGGTCAAGACTAACAGCCTGGAAGATGCAGAACGTCAAGTTGAAGTTCTCAAGGTGATTAGCTGCCATGGTTGCCTTTCTTATACTTGTCAACAAAATATTGTGAAATTCAAGCATATCTTATGAAACCAGATCAGAAATATATGAAATGCTCAATAAATTGCAACTTGTGATGGTTTCAGAATGCAATTCAAAGCCAATTTTTGTTAAGTCTTAGAAGCCAAAGTTTTAAACTCTTGCTTCATCTAACTTCATCTAAATGAAAAAAGGGCATGTGAACTTGAAGGACAGAAGTACATGACCAAAAATAAGTTGTTCATTACTATGATAATTCTTGCTATCACCAATATACCCCTCCAAAACGTAGTATGTCCGTTGATCATCCAACGAGCCAACAAACCCTCGTTGTCCTATCAGTCAGTTATTTTAGGAGATTTTTTGCATCTGCCAATGAACTCAACCAAGGAAAGTTGACGTAATTATTTTTATGTTTCTACATACAAATATTTTATTATTAGTATGTTTAACTATATTATCATACATTTTTTGTAATGATCCACTCTTGAAATCACTTGAAAATCATAATAAATCACTCTGATTACTGTCAGAAAATTAAGTACACATACCCCATCAATGATGGCATGCACAGCGCAGCTGCACAAAAATATACCAGAAGCAACTTGGTCACCTAACTATCCCAGAGTGCAATTGAAATGGGACCTGAACTATTTTTTAATATATTGGTAATAGTGAGTATTGCAGTAGTATGGATATTTGAAAAGTGACAATCACAATTCTAAAACAATTTTTGGGGGTATTTAACAAAAGTGAATGTTAAAAAATGTCTACCGGTATTGTGTTGATATGAGATGGGGTATGCTTCATATGATCTTTTTTTAAAAACATTTTTTAATACACTGGTGTTGCTGTGAAAAGTCTTTGCATGTGTCATTTTTGGTTTGGTCTGAGAGTGAATAGTTTTTATCATCAGCATTAAGAATAAATGAATGAAATACTGGTATGTGTAGAATTTTAGACATTCATCACACACCAGAGAGAAAAGCGGTGTAGCAAGTATGCTGTATGGCAGAAGAACAAAAGAATGATGAAAGTTTGTTGCTCATTGACAAATGTTGCAAAAAATATAAGCTCTGTTATTAATGAAGAAGTAGACCATGCTTTGTTGTAATTCAACTTGTTATTCATGGGATGTGTTACATTTTTCTGTTCTTAAGCATCTTTAATCAATACATGTATATTTATACAAAGTAGATATTACTACTCAGAATACTGTGTCTTCAGAGGAGAGTGCAAAAAAGAGAAAGAAATTAAAACAAAACAATTCTTTTGTGACTCTCCCACCAAAGACAGGATCTCTTACAAAGTTGAAAGAGGACAGTGCACTGTTGTAATGTGTAGAAAAAGGACCAGAAAGTGGCCGGGGAATGGGGAGGGGGGGGGGGGGTGGTGGTTAGAAGCCATAGTGAAATAGAGGGGATCATAGGTCAATAAGCCTTTCATCAGAGTATTGTGTCAGGCACCTCATAATTCATTGATGTTTTTGTGTATATACAATATCTAGATATCTAATTTATTGATTTTACTGCTGTATGGATATGTAGGGTATCTTGGACACCTCACTAATGCATCGTCAGCTTGTCCAAGCAGCAGAAGAGAGAGTAGAAGAGAGACCAGGAGACTTGACTACTGCTACCTTAGCAACCAAAGTAAACGATGAGATAGAGCAAATCATAGAACAGGTAATGAGTGCCTCATTCAAAGTCTTACGGGATATTGTACATAAAAAATGTAAAAAAATTACTAACTGCTAGAACCATTTTGTTACTGTTCTGATTTTTTGCTTTGCTACTTATTTTTGAGCACTTTCCTGCCTAAAGTAAGAGTGTTGCTATCTTACTATCTTAGATAAATATAAAGTATAATTTCTAACCATTATGGTGGCAGAATATGAAAAGGTATTTTTCTTTGACTACACTTTATGTAAATACTTGCTTGTTCAATAATTTAACTGTCAAAGAAGGAACCAGGATACAAAAATTTTAAATGTTTTTATTAAAATTGAAGTTAATAAATTATTTTACCCTTTTTTATGTAAAAGAATGGTAGAATGATGGGCTCCCCTGTAAAGTAGGCACATTTTGGCCCCCAATTTGAACTACACAGCTTTTAAAGAAGACATTGGTCACTTGCTTAACAAGATGCTGGTAATGATGGTTTATTTTGTATATTTTCACCTTAGACTGAAAGTCAGCTTGGTCAGACAGAGGAGCTAGTTGGTAGATGGTCCCAAGTTGAGAAGACTAAGAAGGACCTGGCACAGTGGCTGGAACAGACTCAGAAATCACTGGCTCTAGAACAAGAGATACCAGCACAAGTCCAACCAACAGAAGCCAACAAACTTTTGAAAACTTCACATGTAAGTTATCCTGAATGTTAGATGCTGCGTTTAAGTATCGGCTTGCATGGTGATGTAGATATACAGTAGGCTTATTTGTTGCACAACGTGAGAGAGGGGGAGGATTGGGGAGGTAGTTGGGTAGTTGTAGTAGTATATAGTAGTATTATTAGTATCAGTAGTAGTAGTGGTGGTGGTGGTGGTGGTGGTGGTGGTGTTGTTATCATTGTCGTCGTAGTCGTCACTGTTGTTGTTGTTATTATTATTGTTTTTATTACTATTGTTGATGTTTTTGTTATTATTTTTACTATTATTAGGTGATACGTACGTAGACGTATCACCTTTTGATTTCGTCAAGATTTTTATTATTATTATTTATTTATTTATTATTATTCTTCCTCGAATTTGTTCGCAGGATATCTCAAGACTGAACGAAGCCATTGTTATGAATCTTTCAATGATGATAGATCTTAGTCTAACTTAGAACTGCGTGACTTTTCAAAGACTCAAAGTCATCGTGACGTCATCCAGGCGCCATTTTGTGAAAATCAACTAATGATCATATCTTTATAACGAATAATAATTTTTCATTCATATTTATCATGATTAAGATCAATATCCGTCCGGTCAAGTTGAGGTCAATAGACGTGCGTAAATGCGCGCGTGCGCGCTCGTCCGCGCGTTTACGCGCGCGCAAAAATTAAAAATGCTCTAAATCATCCCAAATTTTTTTTGCATACGTTTCAGGCCATATGGAGCATTTGATAAAAAAATTATGCACACGCGCATGCGCGCGCGTTTTCGCGCGTACTGGCATTTTGCAACATAGAATCGCCGATTTTTTTCTGTCATCATATTCGGTACATTTTTCCAAGCATTTTGATAATTTGTTCACCTTTTATTAACGCAATGAGCGTCCGTCAAAGTTGACAGCACGCGCGGATTTGCGTTATCTTTATCCACAATACATGGGCAAAAACATGCCTATATAAAATTCATTGTAACTCTTTAGAATAGATAGAAACTCCTAATATTTTGTCATATTTGGATAGATTATGAGTCGGAGATATGATTTCATGTCTCATTTGATCCTCAATTAACTCATGACGTCATCATAATGGCCTCCAAACTCAAAATTTTAATTTGCATATTATGACGTCAGCATATTTTTGGAAAATTGATTGTATCTCTGTAAATATGGATCAATTTTCTTTTTAATTTTGATATGTTCTAGCTGAGACAATTTTCTACAAATGTAATGTTCACAATTTTTATTTTTGACAAAAGTATCATGGTGTATTTTTGCGATTAAAGGAGGCATGTCAATTTTTCGCATTTTGCGTGTATTCTCTATGGGACATGACTTTTTCTCAAAACTGGATTCTACACTCCTGTCTTTCGCGAGCAAAATCTCCGTTGTTTTAGCTTCGTTTTCGCTGAGCTTCGGATATGTTGTAGCTGAGACAATGAGCTATCACAAGTGTGCCCTTTATTTTTCGATTAGATGCCGGGATCATGCTCATATTTCACTTGCAAAGTAGGATTTCTGAATTCCATTTCCTGTTTACGTGTAATCGCTATGGGAGATGTTTTGGTATATCGGTAACGCACTTGACTTCCAACCTCGAGATCCCTGGTTCGAGTCTGGGTGTCTCCAACACTTTTTTTTTCACTTTTTTTTCCTTTTGACCTTCACTGTAACATCTCCTTTGATTATTTAAACACGTAGATTCGCAAATAATGTCATAAATAACCCTTTTTACTTTATTATTACCCTATTTTCACTTAATCCATTACTTTTTGCGTGTAATCCCTATGGGAAATGACTTTTTCTCAAATCTGGAGTCTACATTCCTGTCTTTTTCGAGCAATATCGCCGTTATTTCGGCTTGGATTTTGTTGATTTTTGAGTATGTTGTAGCTGAGATTATATGCTATCTAAATCAACCCTCATTTTTTCAATAAGATGTCATGATCGCGCTCATGATCATGATCATGATCATCACGATCATCATTATCATAATGATGCTAATCATTTATCAATTACATTTTCATTTCTTTGAATAAGATAAAATCGTCAAAAGGTGTTCTTCATGATGTAAATTAGAGTCAAATGTGTAACTGGTTACTGCACAGGGTCAAAGGTCATATATTGTTTCAATCTATCTTCCCTAGATCCATGATGATCAAGGAGACACAATTTAATCTTGACATATGAATAGATCATAATGGGAGAAGCATATGAATGGGAGAAGCAAAATAATATATCGTGTAATGCATTATTCGTTATGTAAACCATTATCATACGTATCACCTAATTCGTCTAAGTGACGAATTAAAGTCTAGTTATTATTATTATTATTAGTTTGTTGCACTAACTGTAAATAATATATTCAATTTTAATCACCAGGCCTTTATTGATGACATCCAGTCTCATCAGACAGACATGAAAAACGTAACCAGACACAGTGCAGACCTATGTGATCAATCAGATCCTGACCTTGAGCCACTGGCCACCGATATAGACAACATCTTAGGGTCAGCCAATGACCTGAAGGCTGTACGCACCAAGCAATTGGCTGATTCCAAGAGACTAGATGAAGCAGTGTCAAAGGTCAAAGATCAGCTTGCTGAGGTCAACGAGGCTGTGGAGAAGGTGGAAAGTGATAGAGTCCACACCTGCAGAGAGAAGATTGAAACACTACAGGTGAGCTATGACCTAAAAACTCAACTTTGATTAAGTATCTTCGTGTAAGACCACATTTTCCTATGAGTTTCTATTGTTTAACTTCAATCATTCTTGGGAGGAAACAGATTGCCATCCAAATGCTTACAATCATTATTTTAAGGTACTCATGGGGAAATTTTGTAACATTCTTGTTCGATATAAGTTTAGGTTACCTGATATACCTGATACATTGTGCAGCTAGCCCATAAGTGTCTTCGATGTTAAAGTGTTGTTGAGCTTTCCAGCATTATGTACTAATGAAATAATATGGAACTCCCCTCTTTGGAAAAATCTGGACTCTCATTGCTTTATTTGGAATTAACAATTAATTGCCTTTTTTAAAAATAATAAGTTTTTTCTCATGTGATCTAATAAAATGTAATCTTGTCTTTTTTATAGTGTGTAATAGACTCTGTCATTGATCCAGTGAAACAGACATTTTATTTAAGGCTGAATTATGAGACTATTTACATTGATCTTTCAAGATGTTTTTTTAATATTTTTTTTTTAGCTGAATAATGATATTACTTTCATCGCCTTGTTATTTGAAGGCCAGATAAGGAGAATCGTCTTGTTGATCTTCTGAAAGAAACCCCCTGTTTTCATGTGGTTGTTGTTGCAGCTATAAGGCTTGATGTTGACACTTCTTTCAGTGTCATTTTGTTCTGAGGCAAGATACTGAGACTTTTAACCTTCATCGCCTTCTTGCTTTGATACTGAATATTCTCAGTAATATATTAAGAGGTGATCTTTTTCACATTGAGGTTGAATACACTGAAACTACTTAATTTTCTTTGAACTCCTTAGAAGCTGAATATTCTCATCTAATTAGCAGCGATGTTTTATGCCTCCAAAGTAGCCAGAGGCATTATGCTTTCGGGTTGTCAGTCCGTCCGTACTTATGTCCGTATGTCTCGTTGTCATGATTGCGTTATCTCAAGAGCCGATTGATAGATTCCCGCCAAACTTTAGTCTCTAATATCACAAATGTTAATAGAATAATTGTTTTTAACTTTGAAGGAAGGTTCTTGTCTTTTTGTAAATATTATGTTATATAATTCTTTATCTTTTATTTAGTGTAAAATACCAAAACTTTGTATTTAATCACAAAACATATTTACCCTAGATGTAGAATAGCTTGTAGCTTAAGTATGTATTCATAGTTATTCATACATGTATTTATTCATTACATTCTCATTCATTGCTGTGATACTTTTGTGTGTTAGTGGTACCAGACACGATTAGCATTAAATGCTATTTTCTGGTCCCATTTATCCTTTCAATGATAACCATTCACATTTCATTGTTATATTGATGATGTACTTTTGTTTGGATAATTAACTTCAAACTCAAACTGTATGTATCTTGCAGAGCCAATGAACTGATTAGATTTTTGGGTCATGAGGTCAAAGGTCACGGCTCATTATGTATGTAAAAATAGCTCGTGATCACATTATATCAAGAACCGATCAAACCCGCCAAACTTGAGTCATGTATGTATCTTGCAGAGCCAATGAACTGATTAGATTTTTGGGTCACGAGGTCAAAGGTCACAGCTCATTATGTATGCAAAAATAGCTCATCTCAAGAACCAATTAATGGATTACTGCCACACTTGGGTCATGCATGTATCTTGTAGAGCCAATGAACTGATTAGATTTTGGGGTCATGAGGTCAAAGGTCATGGGGAACATTATGTATGCAAAAAAAGCTCGTGAACACATTGTCAATAGAACCGACGAATAGATTACTATAAAACTCAGGACATGTATGTATCTTGCAGAGCCAATGAACTGATTCAATTTTAGGGACTTTATAATTCCATTTCAAAATACATATAGACTTTTTACAAAACAAGTAAAATGAAACATATGAATTATATACAAGATCAACATAATCTCTTAAAATGATCATTATAACATTTCTAAAACTTTCTTAACTTCTTCATTATCGAAGTATATTATATTTTCTTTGTATTTCAAATAACATCTCAATGATGAAATAAAATCATTTATCAACCTCTTTGGATTGGTTGGTACTTCCCCAAAGTTCCGCTTTACGTAATCTTTGTATACTACCAGTTGTGCATAATTTATCAAAAAATTAAGTAAAGTAAATATTCTGTTATTTATTTTATATCCAATCAATAACATATTCATGTCAATTTCAATTTCTATTTTAAAGATGAAATATATAATTCTTGAGATAATTTTCCAGAAAACTGTTGATTTCTTGCAACGAAATATAAAATGCTGAATAGTTTCTCTTTCTTGACAAATTTCACATTCGTTAGACTCCACAGTTTTCCATGTTAAGAGATTGTCTTTATAAGGCAGTATCCTATGAATTAGTTTGAAATTATATTGTTTGATATTATTGTCTCTTATCTTATTAAATTTGAACTGAAATACATCTTTCCAAACAAATGTTTCTGGTAGGTCTAAAATATTTTGCCAAAAATGGAATCCAACTTTCTTTTTTTTCTTTTCTAGCATTAAATCATAGTAACTCTTCGCTTTATTACATTCAGTGTTTATAACATCTAAAGTTGTCTCAAGGTACATTGTTTCATTTAGACTTGAAGCTTTGTTTAAATGTAAATTTTTTGACCAATATTTTGGGAATGCTTTTTTTTAACCATCACATCACATCACATCACATAATTTTGACTTTTTGAATAAAAACAAGAGATTCTTTACATCAAATTGTTTATTGAATAGAGAGTTATCTATCAATGTACCTTGATTTATAACATGTTTAATTTGGAAAATTCCTTCTTTTATCCACGACGGGAAATACAGAGGTTTATTATCAATTACAATATTACTATTTTTACATATCATTTTCATGTGTTAAATATGACAATTATACTGTAAACATAACAGCATCCCGCCAACTCTTTCAGTCCAAAATGAAAACAATGTCTTCCACATTGCATCATCTGCATTGAAAAACTTATATATCCAAGATAATCTTTAATAGTGAATTAGCTTTCAAAATAAAATCAACCATACCAAGCCCCCCCCCCTTCCTTTTCTGATTTGATACAAACATTCCTTTTTACTTTTTCACGTCTAGAATTCCATATAAATGTATATATGGTTCTATGTAAAGCCTTGCATATATGAATAGGCATTGAGACAGCTGTGCCTACATAAACGAGCCGAGGGATTATCAAACATTTTATATTTATTATTTTCCATAACAGGTCAGTCGTCCACGTCTTAAGATTATTAATTTTTTTCAACTTTCCTCTCCCAGTTCATATTGCTAACATATTTATCATTTTTACCAAATGAATGTACACACCTAAATGTTAATTGGTTCTTCTCTGAATCGGGTTCGTCATATATGTATATGAAAAAGCTTGTAATCACGATATTCTGAGAACCTGTTAATAGATTACAATCAGACTTGAATTTTTAAAATTGCTTCTGTTTTGGTTAGTAAAAATGTTTCTCTATGGCGGAGGCATCATTTTTGATTGCGTATAGTCTAAGTTCCATCTAGTTTGCATTGAGGTAGAGTAATGAGACTACTTTTAATTGCCTACTTGCCTTCAGGCTGAATATTCTCATTGATCTAATAAAAGGTGTTCTTTTCCACATAAGCGGAATAATGACACTTTCACCCAGAGCATAATATTGCACTTTTATTGGTCAAGAACTTAAGGTAATAAGACAATAAGAGGACATGAGACCTTTATCCAAGGTTTTACCCATGGATAGATTCACACAAAAGCTTAACTTGATGTGCAATCAATAGGGCAATGTAGTGAGATAATGGGAGCTTAGGCCTTTAGAGCTTTTCAAAGGCCATTCAAAACAAAAGGTCACACAACACAAGTTCTTTTTTGTTCTTTCCTGTACACATATATTTAGTTGCAATATATTTGTTTTAATTTGATAGTCTTTTCTGCTATTTCCATCAGCTTTTTTCTAGTTTTCTCTCCATCTGATTGTCTGAAAGTGTATGAATTTATATTTCTTCTCAAGATTGGCACTGTAAATTCAAATTCAGATTCAAATTAAACATCTTGCACATATCCTCCTTGTACTCCTTTATTTATTTTTCTTTTTTGTATCTTTTGGCCCTTTATTTAGCACAGGGAGCAGTAAAATATTAGAATGAATACTGTCAGTGTAATATTTTCTTTTACATTTATTATGTCATATTTTGTATTGTACATGCAATACATGACTTGATCTCATCTTTACACATTTACTACACCTGGGTCAAGAATGGAAAATGTAGATTAACTTCTTTCCAGAGAACACTAGTGCTACAGCTGATACTCAAACCATTAATAAGCATCAGATCCACACTCTTAGGATGTATAAACTAGACCCTAATACATGTGCCCCTATATTACTGTCTGTACAATAGACTGGTTTACCAACATGTTCACATTTTATGCATACTTTTTAGACAAAGTTTGTTCTTGACAACCCAAAAGCATGTCCAAAGCTTGCCTGACATAGCTACAAGTATTGTAGTTCATTCATTAATAACAAGCTAATGGGATAACTCATGACTAGGTCCCCAGGAAAAAAACATCCATAAATTTGAATATTTTAGTAAAGACAAAGAGGGAGGGAGGGAGTAGAAGGGATGGAGGGAGGGAGAGAGAGAGAGAGGGGGAGGGGGAGAGAGAGAGAGAGAGAGAGAGAGAGAGAGCTATTTTAGCCAAATGAAAACAGAAATATCCAGAAAGATCTCTTAACATATGAAAAGTGAGCAATTATTTTTCCAATATTAGAAAAAGGAGTATGAGACACCAATGAATTATTATTGTAGAAGGCTATTTATATGCCACATAAATTGCCTCCCAGGTCCATACTGTATTTATCATGGGATTGATTATACCAAAGGATTCAAGATTATTTTGCCATGCCAATGTGTTGCACGAAGCAATCCTCCCGTCAAATAGTGCATACTTTTTTGTGCAGAGAGTAAAAAAGGCAACCAAAGTGTTAATAGAATGGAATGTGCCCTGCCAGGACACTTGAAAATCGTTTTCATTGTCAGAAAAGACATGGAGAATCAATAACATAAATTTAGACAAAGTACTAATCAATATGCCGCCTTCTGAGGGCACTTTCATTCAATACCTCAGCCCTGTCCCTGCTTTGTTGACTTTCTCTGTCCCTTCATGGCAGATATCCAGGCTCAGGAATCTCCTATTTGCATCCTCTCTCTTGCTTCTAACTGGATGAACAAACAATAGCAGCCTCTACAAAGAATCTCTAGATTCCCTGTTGTCCTAGAGAGAGAGATGAATAGAGGAGAAAGCGCGCTGTTATGGTTAAATCATCTTGTTGACACTGCCGGTAGTATTAGATGCTACGGTATCACTGCTGCAGTGGTCGTAGGGACAGACTCCACAGTGCAATGGGGTCAGAGCAGTCCCATGGAGAGGGGACATCCCCCTCCATGGAAGATCTTGGGAATAATAATGTGGATTATACAGTCAAGCCTCTTGTAGATCAGTGTGGTAGACCATCATCCAGGAGAAGTCTTGGCCAACTCAGGAGTAGTAGTTTATCAAAGAGTGATGTTAAATTCAGGGTTAGTAGTACATAAAATGTACCTACTTAAATGCATTTGTATATGGTAGTGAAAGCCTGTCAAGTAATTAACTAACTATAATTTATTTCATTCCGTTCTTTTATGTTACCTGTTACACAATTTCCCTTTGTGTTGCCACAATTTGGAAATTTATCTATGATGGCTTTCGCCAAAATACATGTACATCAATTTCTGTAATGGCTTTTTTGGTATTATTTGTGCTTACAGCAGCTGTCTTGAAAAGATGGCATGTGAAGTCTGAAGGAATTATATTATTTTTAAAATTATTTTTGGCTTCAATATGAAACACACAGAGGTTATTGATGAATATTATCAGAAGTTTTTAAGCTTTATTTAAGAATGGGTTGATAAACTACATTTAAGTCCTGAGTACAGTGATATAGATTACTTGTATTCAAAACCTACACTGTATTTACTATGAATCATCTGTAGATGATGAAAAGATCATATGTATATATGTGTATGAGACTATATAATCGCTTGAAATTTGGCTTTATTGTTTGTCTAATATTATGTCATGCTTGCAGAGGATATCAAAAATATTACATGAAACAACAATTTGGAAGAATGCTTATCAAATGTACTACTAATTTCCCACGATTAGATAGATCTTTTCTCTCAACACCCCTTCCTGAAGTAACTGTTCACAGTTACAAATAACAAGTAGCCATTGAATGAAAGGATTATCACAGTAATTACACCGGATTGGTATACCTCAGTTTAGTCCTATTGATATCGTTTGAAGAGTTAACCAAGGAAAGATGCAGTACTGTAGATGACGTGATCTCACATTGATTTTTTGTTGATTTGTTTATTCAAGTGTAAAGAAAAGGCTATGAAGAAAAGTATGACATTATATCATAGCTTTGTAAATTTGTATTTGGGAACAAATTATAACGAACCTTATTTTTAACATGAACGTATATGTAAAAAAGAAAGGTGTTCTGTTTAATCTTTAAATGTAATGAGAGTTACATGCTAATGTTAGATTCAGAGTTACGTGTCATGTATATATCCCAGTGTGTAACAGTTAGAATGGTGATGTGAAATGGGTTCTTGATACATCTTATACCATTTATTTTATTTATTTATTTATTTGTGATATTTATACAGGGTGGCACATATCACCAATTTGGTGGTCTTCCATGAGGCCCTGTTTGGTAATAATAAAAACAAATAACAGCATAAAAAACAAAATAGATAAATACACAAGCATATAAAAAGGTAAAATACAAATTAATTGGTAACCCCTTGAAATAAATGATCATTCACGAATCATCCTTGATCATTTACAAGAAATAGGTAAATGGAATTTTCAAATTAAATACAATTTTTAAAAACGTTCATTTAATAATCTGATAAAGCTTAACGCACGGGATACCAAAATTGTTATATACATATTTACATTCAATTGCTCTTTAACTAATACACTTAGGTTGTTTACAAGATAGCTGAAAATGGATACATTACATGTATGAATACATGATATAACGATAACCATGTCAACCAAATTTCATAATTTGCAAATAGGAAAAAAAAAATGGTTACCTTTGCACGAAACCACCAAAAGTTCACTTACACGTCATCTACAGATAACTGGGCTTTTAGAGCGTGTTAAAAACTGTTCAAAGTAGGTGAAATTTTGACAGGACTTTTAAGTTGGTTCCATACTCTAATTCCAGAAATTAGAGGACTATTTTTATAAGTGTCCGTCCTAAATTTGGGTACACACAATGCATCCCTTACAGCATGTCTTGTGTTGTGATCATGTAGTGAACTAACATGATGTAAATCATATGCCCATATTGGATAAAGAATTTTTAAATTAAATTTGATACAATTGAATTTGATACACAGTTGAATTAAAATGTTAAATCACTTGATACTAATTTCTATCAGGGCATAGAAGGACGTTACTATTTTATATCTTATCTTTTAATCATACTCTCTCTCATCTCTCCATCCCTTCTCTCTTTCTTATCTCTTAATTTCATCTCTCTCTCTCTCTCTTCTCTCTCTCTTCTCTCGCACCAACAGAGGTTGTCCATGGAAGAGAGGAGAAGACATGTTGATGAGGTTGATGAAGCCAGCAGAGAGGTTGGAAGGATGGTTAGCTCTCTGGATGAAGAGTCCCTCAGAAAACATCTCAAGTAAGTATTATTCATCTCTTTCTCTCTCTCTCTCTCTTCACTTATGTGGTATCAGAATGGGATCAGAAGTAGTGAACCAATTCTAGTCATATTTGCACTATGAGAGCACTCCAAGAGCAATCCTCTGCATTGTACATTCATCCTACAATATTCTTCCACATTGGTATAAGTAGATTGAAAAAGCTCACACATTGCTCTTACCAGATTTGTTCATCTTTGCCGGAACTCAACCTTTTCTTTGACATTTGTTTTGTTTCGTTTCCCCCCATGCATTGTTAATGTACGTAAATTTATTGTATGAACATTTTACTTATGACGAGGATGACAGTTCAAGCTGTATGTCATGTTAAACATTCATATATGTGTGATATAAAAGTGATGATGGAAAATAAATGAATATCAATCAATCTATCAATAGTGAGATCCGTGAGGAATGGCAAGGCAGTGAGATGCATATCCAGCGCACACAAACCATGCTAGAAGGTTTGGAATCGGACTTTAATTCCTTGCTGGAGAAAGCTCATCAGTTCCACCTCTGGTTAGACCAATGTCAGGCCAAAGTCATCAAACCAACCACTATCAGCCCTTACACAGAGGAGGTTGCAAAGGTTCTACAAGAAATACAGGTACATAATCATCTTAGTCATTGAATAAAGGAATACTGGGAATGTCATCAGTGAAATTTTCTGTCTAGCGAGACTCTTTCATGCGTTCTCTAAGATGAAAAACCCATTTGAGGAAACTGCAGGAAAGACTATTAAGGTCATAGGTTTCCATCATAAATAGGTATTTAATACAGGTCAGGAATTCCTTTTATGAGCTTAACAAAGCAGAGGAAACATGAGAATTTATTTTTGTTGTCTGAATATCATTAATTCAAACATAGAGTCAGAACCTCTGGTTTCCATTTATTTTGTTTTACTTCTTTCATCATTCCAAACATAGAGAGTACTAAAATATTCCACTGAATGTAGTTCTCGACTAACATTCACATGCTTTATATGCAGGGGTTGAACATGGAGTTAGCAGGCCGTCGAGCCACGTTCAAGGCTGTGAGTGAGGAGGAGTCACTATGTGATGAATTAAGTCCCATGGAGAGACAGAGAGTACGACATGATCTGCAGCAGATTGACAAGCAACTCAGCAAATTTGAACATACTGTCACTACTACTCATGATGAATTACAGACATGTGTAAATGAGAGGAAGGTATGACAAGAAGCAAAATTGACCTTTTCTGTGCCACCATGTTTTTAAGCAACTGTCATAATTTGATTTTCAAGACTTGAGTATTAACTTAAACCTAGTTTCATCATTAAAATTGCCATGAAGTATAATATATAAAAAAAGATCTTCACATTGAATGTCTGTTTGAACTGCAGGAAGAAAAATGTAGCCATTCTTGGTCAAAAACAGTGTTTGATAATAAATGATTGCATAATATTTGGCATTAATTGGCTTTAATGCTCCCCAAGAAGTGGAGAATGTGCGTACATTTTGTGTGGGCAAGCCTGAATCCAATGAATGGGTAATGATATACAATCAAACCTGTGTTAACGACACCTGTCTGTAACGACCACCTGTCTGTAACGACCACCTGTCCATAACGACCACTTAAATTCCCCTGTGAGATTTCATGTAGTTAACTTCGCAATCGATGATTCACTTGTTCGTCATGCACGTACAGGCACCGCTGGCCTAGCTAGCCTACAATAGGCAAGGTGAGTGAGCGCGGCCTGTCTGTCAATCAAATTTTTAAGCTCGTTCATATAATTTCTTTAATTTTTTTTTGATATGCATTAAAAATAAAATATCAGACAATTTCTAAGAGAGAAATCATTTCGTAGTTTTATTTTGAGTAAAAACCGTACCACTCTTTGTTTATTTAATTTACAAACACCTAAAAATAAACTTGCGTTTGTTAGATTTATCGATCGGCTCTCCGCTTTGTTTACATCCAACTGTGCCTTAATAAAGCCACAGAGAATTGTTTGCCCACTGGCAGAGGCCTTGCGAGTGCTGTTATTTGATTATTCAAAATCAAAATGGCCGCCAATGCATACCTGTCTACAAGGGCCACTATTTGTGTCTTTCCTTGGGTGGTCGCTATGGACAAGTTTGACTGTATCTTGAAAGATTTTACAGGTACTGATGATGTATTAAGCAATGTGTATACCCAGAATATTATTGTTAGTCGTGGTAGTAGTAGAAGTAGTGGTATTAGTAGTAGTAGTAGTAGTAGTAGTAGTTTGTAGTAGTAGTAGTAGTAGTAGTAACTCTTGGACTCTCTACAGTGAGCATATTATTTTTTACTCATACAGTGTAATTGCAGACAGGTTTCTTGTAGGTTCTACTCTTTCTCTCCATTTACTTCCATGGCACAGACAACAATTTTTTAGATGCATTAAGAAGTGCGAATTGTAAATAAGCATTCCCCTCAGCTCACAATCAGAGTTTTGACTCTGAAAGAAACTTCTTATGCAATGAAATATGCAACTTGTCCTATTTAATATTTATGACCAAACTCAATGTGCTTCCTCTTGCAGCACAGACAATTTAACAGGGGTTGATATAAACCTTGTAAACATATTGTAATATATATTGTCAATCTATATTTATTCTTCTGCAGGAATTCTGGAAGTACTATTCTGAGTGCTTGAAAGGACTAGAAATCAAAGAAGAAGATCTCAGTGATTCAGTAGTTCCCAAGCTGGATATACCAGACCAAGTACAGCAAGTCTTTGAATCAAAGGTAAGAACAATTTCTCAATCTTACTTTTTTTTTCAAGTTCAATTTATTTCTCCACAAATGCAGAACATAGGGAGATACATAGAATAAAATACATACATACAATACAAAATACAAATGTTGGATCTATATTATCGTATCCCACACTTTTACCCACTTTCAATTCTTTAGCACAATCAATTATTTCTGATTCAGTTACATGTTTAAGAAATAGAGAATTAATATAATTGCCTGTGAGAAAATGTTTAAAATCTGTTCTCAGCAAAGGTATCGACTGATTCCCACTAGAACTGCCGATTGTACTGAATATTCATTAAATTCCTTTGACATTTCAAGTTTATTGGTTATCTTTATATTATCTTTAATAATATAATCAGGACTATTGTTTTGCTTTTTTGCTTTAAGATTTCATTCAAATATTTCCAAGTCTCTTTTATATCATTTTTTAAAGTATGGAATTTCTTATACAAATGTTTTTGCTTTGCATGCCTAATGTCGTTGTTCAAAGAATTTCTAAATTTTAGAAGTTTATTTTCTATTCAGCCCCTTTTCTTGTAAACGTTATTGAAGCACATGTAATGGGTACTATTTTGTGAGTGTCCTGTATAAGTATCATTTCTTATTATTCCTACATGTACTGTTAGGAAATTATTAACATGCTTCCTGTCTATTGGCTCATTATAAAACAGCCCTTAGGCTTTTCAAAATTTTCAATTTAATCACTGACTTGATTTAGAGAATGTATTTATCTTACAGGCACTACAAGACCAGGTGAAGAGCTATAACTCCAAGGTCCGATGGTTGTCAGTCAGTAGTCAACCCATCTGCCAAAGAGCTGGGGAGAAAGATAGCCAAGATGTCCAGAAGAAAGTCATAGGTGAGATGCATTCTGCTGTTATATATGATTACCGTATTTTCCGGCTATAAGGCCGCAGTGTTTTTGGAAGAAAAAATATCAAAAAGTCGGGGTGCGGCCTTTACGCTACAACAACAAAATTCAGCGGTAAAAACAGCACATCCATTTGAACATATGGGATTATGAACGGTAGGATGACTAGACGATGGTACAGGACAATTCTAGAATAACTCACACAACTTACCGACAATTTTATGATGCATAGTTGACATGAAGACGAAAAAAAAAAGCATAACTTATTTTTCCAATAAAAATCTGCCGATAGATCTAGATCTAAGTCCGTACCATTGCATCGCCAAAAAAGTAAAAGAAGGGTCAGACCGTTACTTACAGAGCTAGCAGATGTTCCACAACGCAACCTCGCAGGTTGAAAACGCAATTCCGGATTACACCGCACATCGTGGTAGGGGTATTGTAGGATACCAAATCTGCATGCGATACAGTACTAGCTTAAAAATCGATGAAGATCTGCTACTAAATTACAATCACTTTTTAGGTAAACTTCTTGTAAATTTATAAGAATATTGATGAATTTGGTATCAGTTTGTAAAAAAAATAGAGTGTTCTACTAGAAAATTACAATTATTTTTTATTTATTTATTTTTTCTCTTTTTTTTTTTCCCTCTATAAAATGTCAAAGTCGGGGGTACGGCTTATGCGGCATTGCTGCCTTATCGCCGGCAACTACGGTACAATGTTTTGAAGTACTGCACATGCTGAATCAACTACATGTATACAGTAGAATACAATACAGTAGGATACAATAAAGTCATTTCTATAGCACTCTTACAAACTAACTGTTGTTTCACAGCGCTATTATCAAATAAGTTGTTGATCATGGTCAAAGAGGAGAGTTTCGAGACATTTTCGGAATTAGAAGTTTGACACACCCTGGTTAAAGCAGACTAACTGTACAAAAGAATCAGGAATTTGTTCTAATTACATTATAACATTCTGTATAATTCATATCTATCAATATGTACTGTTGAAATCGAAATTACTTTTCGTGTTATCTGCTCTGTGAGGACCAGTGATCTGATCAGGGCCTGGGGTTTTCATAATGTGTTTTTGTCCTTGTATTGTCTGCTCTCAGTATCATAATATCATTACACTCTATCATTTAATTGTTGAATAATTAATAAAGTGATATATATCATAGCTGCATGTTACACCTTTGTTTTATTTCCTCAGATTTAGAGAAGACTTTCCAGAGAGCTGAGAAGGCAGCTGTGTCTAGATTTGAGTTGATGTCAGACAGTCTGACTAGGGTCAAGGAATTAGAACATCAGATGAAACAGATGAAGACTTGGCTAGATGAACAGCAGTCAGTTATTTCTCAGCCAATCACTCTCCAATGTTCACTCAATGATATTCACAATCAGATCTCTCAACATAAGGTATGGTATCACATTCTTTTCCATTCTGTATGTGAATTGATTGAAGAATCTTCTGTGTAATTGTTTATTCTGTTACTATAGTCTAAAATAAAATTTACTGATAGTTGATTTTGGAAACATTAACTTGTCCCACGTTATCAATGATAATGATATTACTAAATGTTATTTCTTTTGTTGGATACTTGTAAGGAAAACTTGTAGTTTTCATAGAGCTGTGAAAAAGATGATCAGTCATTGTCTGTGCCAATGGTGAAAATATCAGTTTCTCATGACAAGTTTATCATACCAATTGATTTAGATGGTTAATGTTGAATTTGTATATTTCTAATGTACTTATACTTTTTCTAGTCAAGTATGTAATCTGGATCATATTCAATAAGCTCATATATTTCATTTCATTATTGTAGAATGTGAATGACAGCTCTGTTTCTCACAAGCCTCTACTAATGAATCTCATGAGAGATGGAGAGAGTCTTGCACAGAGATTGGGAGAGGATGAAAAGCAACAGATCACTTACAAACTTGACAATATCCAAGCCTTATTCAATAGGTAAGACTGTATTATGCTGTAATTACAAATGAGAGGATACACTGAATATGAACTTAGTTCTCTGTAATACTGTAATAATTTTGTGAACTAAATTTTGTTGATCTTGTTGAAAATGTTTGTAAAAGATTTGTACATGCCATTCAATTGCCAGCATATTTCATTAATCCCTAGACATTTATCTAAAACCTTTGTGTAAGTAAATAGTGCAGTAATGCAGTATCAATTCTTGCATATTTTATGTACATTTATTTGTAAAACTAAATTTTTTTTTGTCATGAATAATTCGCAAATTGTCGTTAAGGGCCATTTTCATGAAACTTTCGCAAACTGCAAAGATTAAGGAGAATGAAACCCAAGAAACTTTACCTGAAAATCTGTTTAAAAACTAAACTGCGAGCCAGTTAAAACTATCTTGAAATTACTCCTATTTGATTACATTGGAAGGAAAACAATCTCTTTAAAGTTTGCAGTTTCCTTGCTAGCCATTTTCCTATGGGAGCTGTCATTTTTATCAAAACAGTGGTGTTAGAGTAGTACAGGTCTTTTGACCTGCATAAAGTGGATAGGGTGTTGCATAATGTCTAGGTATTATACACCCAAACAACAGCCATCTTGTTACATTGGCATCTGAATCAGGGGATTCCTTTGAGCAGATAAACGAATGTCATTGTCACTCTTTTGAACAATTAGTGGAGGTTTGTATGACCAATCAACAATTTATGCATGCTAAATATTGTTTAACAAAAGAATCTGCCCAGTTGTTTAAAACATTAGAACCTAATAGCTTGTCCCATAAGTTATGAGAGAACATCTATTCTTATGAATACATAACAAAAAAGCTTCATGATTTGGAAACCATTGTGAGATCCTTCATTTTAACTAGAATACAGGTCAGTGGGTATCTCACTAGTTGTATGACTCTGACATCACTATTTTAATCTAAATGGCGACTCCCATGGGAAAATTGCTACCAAGGAAATTCCAACCTTTGAGGTCAAATGGGATTAATTAGGTGATCTGCAGCAGATCCTGCAGATCACCTCTTGATTTTTTTCTGTTAAAGTCAGGTAAGAATTAAACTATACTAGAACCATACTTTTTATATTTATTATTTGTCTAACAGGACTGTGGATACTACTGGTGAGAAGTATGCTAGACTAACTAAAGCTTACAATGACAGAGTGGCATTCGAGGCTGATCTTAGTCAATGTGACGCACAGTTCCAGGACTTGAAATCATCTGTAGACCAGCTTGATCAGCCCATAGGGCTTTCATCAGTTGATGCCTCTCATCGAATCTCTACATGCAAGGTATCACACCTTAAATAGTGTTTGTAAATGCTCTACATTTATTAGTGGGGTTTATCTATTTTAATCGGGACCTGGGAAGATAATAACTGTCATTTATATGTGGAGATGGTACTTATTAATTTGATTGCTGCGGTATTGTTGTCTGAAGTACTCAAAGACATATTTTGCACTTTGCTTTAGTTATTCACATTCGTTATGCTTACTATTACAGTACGGCAATGCCGATGTTTATACCTACCCCACCACTGCCTCAATAAAACATATCAAAACACATGGACCCAAAATAGTTTAATTGTAGTTTGGTTGTAATGTACAGAAAAGTCCCCCACTCCTCCTACTATCATCTTGAACTATATCCAAGCTACAATTTTAAAATCATTGAAAGGGAATCTTAGATATTTTTGTTTCTGTTATTATTTGATCACATAAAGGACCTTCAAGCCAAACTTGACTGCCTGCAGGCCCCTTTCAATAAACTTAATGATGGATATGATCACATGACTAAAGAAGGTCAGGTGACACATGTTCAAGACATTGCCAGACTCGACCAACTCAACGAAGAACTTAAGAAGGCATTAGAGACCCAAACCAAAAGTTCATTAGATGCACAGGATGCAAGGAAAGGGTATGAAGATGGCATGACCAAGATACAGGAATGTCTAGAGCATTATCACAATGAAGAACCTGCAAGAGAACAACTTGGTCTGGATATGGAAACTAAGCTTCGCAAATGCAAGGTATCTCATATTGATGAAATATGTGAAATATATACTAAAATATTACTATAAGATCTCAGACAATTGTAAGACAAAAGATGTGTTAAATTTTATCTTAATATATGTCCAAGCTGTACAATCATGTCCCTAAAACACCTTCATATTAAATATGCATATTTATGCAACTCACTCCTAGATCCTAATCAAATGATTGGTCATGCGCGGTCAGGTGTGATTCATTTACTAAGACTATTGCACGAAAAAGCATTTGTATAATATGGAAATATTCTAATTTATCAGCCTGTCCACTCACCCTTTGATTTTGATATTAAATCATACCAATAAATGAATCAATTGGGTGGGTTTCATTGCCATCGGTATAAATTGGAAGGAAAAGCCATGAAAGTAATCATGGCATTAGCTGTAGCAATTGCTTAATCATTTCCTTTGATGTAATTTGTCTTTTCTCTCCAGGTTGCTCTTGAAGAAATCACCTGCCTTGAAGAAGTCATGTCTTCACTCCCGGAACAGTACCAAGCAGTATGTAAGACAGCCAATCAACTTGACCAACGAACAGTGAAATCCACTGTCCACAAGATGACCTCTGACCTGATGGCAGCCAAGGCCAATCTGGAGCAGAAACAAAGGTCACTGGAAGGCAAACTCAGTGACAAGGAGGCTTTGATGGAGGATCTGGACAGGTGTTTAAAGGAGCTGAAAGGATGGAGCCAGGATGTGAATGAGCCAGTTATCTTTGTGCTGGAGGTGGAGCCAGTTAAAGAGGCACTCTGTATACATCAGGTAAGAAACCTTTCTTTTACTCTTAAGGAGCCTATTAGATGCAGAAATAATGAAAATACAATTAAAATAAAGAATATGGACAATTTATTTTATGTTTGGGGAATCCATCATGTACTCATCCCATTCCAAAGTTGTATTCTTCCAAAGAAGCACAATATGAATGATATCAACAGGTGAAGGTAATCATGTGCAGATTACCAGAGCTGAGATGATGATAATATCCGTACCTTAATACAAACTGTTATGTTCCTGGTAATATAGACCAACCAACCCAAGATGGACCATACTCTAGAGCAGGCCCAAGCCCTCATCATATCTGCCAATGCCAAGTTTGCAGACTTGGGTGAACCCATCACTCCAAAGCTCCAGGATCAGCTTCAGACCTTGGACACCCTTCACCTAGACCTTCTCCAGGCCTCCAGGAACAGAGTAACCAACCTGATAGAGGCTGTCAACCTGAGGGAAGAGTTACAGAGTCAGAGGGCAGAGGTCAAGAAATGGCTTGAGGAGGGAGAGGGAATGCTAAAAGAGGCTCAAGGTGGAATCAATTATCCTCATGGAGAGCAGGATTTGCATCAGCACAGGGTATGTTCAATACATCAAATGATGTAGTACAGAGTAGAAGAAAGAATGCATTGTAATTTAGTACAAGAAGCAATGTTTATATTCTGACATTAGTATGGAATATTTAAAGTTCATTCTCAACTCATTCCTTGGTGTCATGAATCTCACACTACCAACCTCACCCGTAGACTTTATGTAGAATAACCCAAAATTGTAAACATTATTTTCCTGAACAGCAATTCTTCTCTCAGGAACTAGTGTACCAGAACAAGATGGATGACCTGGTAGATCTTGCTGATCGCCTGTCTTCTTCACTGACACCCTCTGTACGAGAAGAGATGAAAGCTGATTTGAGCAATCTCAACTCGAGGCTTTCATCTGTGGATTTTGGAGCAAGGGAGTATGAGGAAAAACTGCACAAATTTCTTGGAAAATGGCAGGACCTTTTAAGTGGAGTGAATGATGTGGAGAAGGCCTTAAATGTTGTCAAGGAGAGAGCAGTGTATGGAACACCAACCAGTTTACCTCAAGCACAGGATAATAAACAACTCAATAAGGTAAGTATGTTTGTTCAGAATAATACATTTGGCACAAAATATTCTCATCGTTTTTCATTACTTTTACCAAGTGCCTATTTCTAGGTTTACAGTATGTTCCCGGCGGCCATGGCAGCCCTGTTTGCCCAAAACGTAGTGCGCCGTAGGGTTTTGACCATTATTTTTAATGTATTCAAGTTTTGTTAGGTCTTGCCAAGTTTTTTTTATTATGTACTGTCACGTTTTGTTGCGTTCACTAGGTTTCTCATCCGCACCGGGACTGCTGTGGCATTTTTAAAAAAAAATCTGGCCCGGCATCCATGACAATCACGGCTAAATTTGTCACGTTTGTCCATTCCGCCCCCCGCGTTGTCTCGTTTTGTCCATGGTGGCCTAAAACGTGATTGGAGCCCCACTTTATGGATATTTCAGCCATCTCTAAACCGATTTTGATGAAACAAAGATGATTTTGTCTTTTTAATTGTATGTTCCTTCAAATTTGACACTCAGTTTTTCATTATCTCACAACAAAATATTTTGTGTAGCGCCCTCTATACCATAATTTGACTATGTCCCATTTGCAAGCCCAAAAAATGAAAAGGTTAAATTCCAATGGCATTTGGAAGACAATACTAATTTAGATCTTCCCTCAAAACGAAAGGGCTTGAAAATGTCTTTTAGTGGGAAAATAATGACCATTAGTTGTCGAATCGACTTACGTGATTGCATGTTGTGTTGTTGTTGTTTTAGTTTTAATGGCGTGTACCATTCATTTATGAATATTTACGCTTGCAATCGCTTAAGTAAGTCTGATTTTCAGACCCTTTTACCGAATGGTCGTACGTTTTGTGCTACACAAAGATTAAATCAGTTAAAATTTGGCCATTACAAGTACCGTAGTAGGTTATTGATGTAGACAAATGCTCATGTACCTGTTACAGCTCATTATTGTATGTTATTACAAAAGAAAAAAAAGATGTCGGTCAGTCACTCAATAGTGTCTGACAGTGAAGTCTAGAAGGTAAACAGGTTTCCCTGGATAATTTGAATACTAGGACACTTCTTTATGTTTACATTTTACACTTATTCACAGATAGGATATACATGACATATTCATAATCCCTGCAACGCTCTACATAATTTGAAGTTGGCTGCAAAAGGGACATAGTATCTTTAACCTGGATCATTGATATACTATATTGTCAGTTTTTTTTAACCAAAAGATGTCGATATAACATTGTTTACTTGTTGTGTATCTATGTGACAATGATTTTGGTAATAAATGATTGAATCAAATATGTATGGTAATGCTTTTTTCCCCCTCTCCAATCTTTGATTATTCCACTGTCACTTTCTAGGAGATTGAAAACATTTTACAATCTCAAGAGACTCAGCTGAAGCTCCTGCATTCCTACTCCCAACCAATCCTGGAGGAGGGGAATCCTACTGGTCGGGAGTCAGTATCCTCCTTGATCCAATCTGTGGAGGACCTCTTTGATTCCCTGCAGCTACAGGTAGAGAGTGACAGGACCAGGGTTGAGGACCAGGAACAGGTCTGGATAGACTACAATGACAGGAGACAAGAATTGCTAGAGGTACTAGGTCAGGCGGAGGATGCAATGCCTGTATCGGTCTCACTTGGAGCTGATATCAATGATCTCCAAGGAAAACTTTCATCTGTGAAGGTATGCCTCCTGTCCACATTTTGATCATTTGATTATATGTATTTGTGCTTCATTATTAAAATACATACATGTTAAAGGTACTATGTCCCTTTTGCAGCCAACATCAAATTCTGTAGAACTTTGCAGGAATTTTGAATATGTCATGGATGTCCTATCTGTGAAATTTAAACGTTAGCAGTGTCCTAATATTCAAGTTATGCAAGGAAACCCGTTTACTTGCTAGACTTCACTGTCAGACACTATTGAGTGAACATACATAAAATGAGCTGTAAAGGGTACATGAGCATGTGTCTACATCAATAACCCACTTCTTGTAATGGCCAATATTAAACTGATTGAATCTTTGCGCAGCATAAAAGGTACGACCTTTCGGTACAATAGTCTGAAAATTAGACTATTACTTACTGGCTCTATAGTCAATTCAACAACTAATAGTCGTTATTTTCCCACTTAACCCTTACTGTACTGGGCAATTTTGAGCACCTCATGACTGGGGGAGGCCCCCCCCCCCTATGATCTCGGCCGTCGAAAGTCCGATGAACACGAAAATTTGCATGTTTGTAGATATTTACGAAGGAACAAGATAGTGTTATTAGTTTTATCTTAATATGCAAATTTTTGTCATTATTATGCAAAATGCAAATTTTATGCATTTTACAGAAAACTCTACATATTTGTCTGTAGACTTGTGAAGAATGTTGAAAATGTATTGAATAGATGTTTCCTTCATTTCAAATTCATGAGGTTCCATTATTAAACGACAATTCAAAATTCCTAGCGGTTGCGGCGCAATCTCCGAAAATGTTGAGGGGGGGGGGCCTCCCAGGCCCCCCCCCCCCAGTACAGTAAGGGTTAAAGACATTTTCAAGCCCCACTTTTTTTTAGGGAAGTTCTAAATTAGTATTATCTTTCAAATGCTGTTGAAATTTAACCTTTTCATTTTTGGGGCCTGCAAATGGGACATTTGATGAAATGTGAATTGATACTCAACTAATGGAAATTGTAAAAGCTTTTACAAAACCATTCTTTTTCAGAAATTTTAACAATTGTATGGTTTCAAATTTAAAACATGCGAAAATGGGCTGACAATGCTTGTTTGAATTATTGCGCAAACAATTTGTAAAAATGTATTTGTTCTTGTTATCCACAAAAGTATATTAATGGGAAAAATATCTGCTTGTTCAAAGTATTCTGCATGTAGATTTTCATTTATGTCTCTGTTTATATGCCTCCGCAACATAGTATTATGTTTTTGGGTTGTCCTTACTTCCCGTCCTTGTGATCACGTTACCTCAAGAACTGATTGATGGATTACCGCCATACTTGGGTCATGCATGTATCTTGCAGAGCCAATCAACTGATTAGATTTTGGGGTCAAGAGGTCAAAGGTCACAGGGCTCATTATGTATGCAAAATGGCTTGTGATCACATTAAAATTAGAATCGATTGATGGATTACCATCAAACTCAAGACATGTATGTATCTTGCAGAGCCAATGAACTGATTAGATTTTGGGATAATGAGGTCAAATGTCAAAGGTCATACATGTATATGAAAAATAGCTTGTAATCACAATATTCTGAGAACCTGTTAATGGATTACAATCAAACTTGAATTTTTAGAATTGCATCTGGTTTGTAAAATCGCTCTATGGCGGAGGCATCCTTTTCGAAGATCCATCTTGTTTCTTCTGTAGCTAAATGCTAGTCTTAGTTCACTGTTAAAAAACTAGCAAGCTAAGGATTAAAATGCATGAAGGCAATACCATATGAAACTGTACATGAAGATAGAAATAACTTGTGGCAATGGTGATATCTATATGTTTTTAACTCCATCATTGATGTGCATGCAAAAACTTGAGATCTGAGTTTTACTCTTACTGAAGCTTGTACTTTTGGTCGCTTATTCATGACGAGAAGGCTTAACAAGCAATATACTTTATCTATTGATTCAGGCTGCCAAGGAAATTTTGGATAATGGTGAGACTCTACCATCAAGGGTAACAGTTGCATCAAACGAGTTACTTGAGAGTGTGCTGGGCCAGTCTGATGAAACTCATCCAGTGAAGAAAGACACACAGGAGTCAGTGAATAGATATCACAAGTAAGACAAAGATGCTTCAAATTAAGGTGCTTCTTATACTATTCTTAGTGGTGTGGTGAAGAAAAATTGATAATTTAGAATGCATCTTCAATCTAAACCATGAAAGAATGATATATGTAGATCAATGTGATGGTTATTTTACCTGACTGCTAAGAAAGCATAAATGCTTGTAAGTAAGCAACCAGACGGCCTACAGCTTTAGGTACTCTTCGAGGGACCTGGTAGTGAGGATTAATGCCTTACCAAAGGGCACTAGCGCATCGCCTTGGTTTCAAACCCGGGTCACCGGATCACGAGACCACTGCTCTACCGACTGAGCTATCGCGCCTCACTCTGAGGAATGAATATGAGATAAATATATATATGTCAAAGCTATGTACTTTAATTTATACGCAGCAAAATATTGTTGATTTAAAAAGTAATATAAACGATGAATTAGAAAAGATTTCTTTCTGGTTTAAATCAAATAGACTATTGATAAACCTTAGTAAAACAAATTGTGTAACATTCCATAATAAGACTTGTAAAATAGCCAATACATTAAGTGGTCTCACTCTAAAAATTGATAATATTCCGTTACTTAAGATTGATACTGTTAATTTCCTTGGTGTACTTATAAGTAGTAATATGCGTTGGGATACACACATAGATTATTTAATAGGTAAAGTTTCTAAATGTATTGGTATACTCTATAGATTGAAAGATACAATTCCTGCATCCTCTTTGATACTGTTATATAATGCATTTATGATGTCACATTTAAATTATTGTATTGTTGTATGGGGTTAGTAATCACACAAAATTGGATAAATTATTTAAACTACAAAAGAAAGCCCTTAGGATATGCTTAGGCTGTCACTATTGTACTCACTCTGCACCGCTGTTTATGAAATTGAAAACACTGAATATATTTGACGTATATATTTACTCAATTGCCCTGCTTGGATTCTTTTATTTTCAAAATATACTACCGCAAAATATGTCTAAAATGTTCACTTTAAATAATGATGTTCATAATTATAATACTCGTGGGTGAGACTCTTTTCATTTTTGGCCAGCTAAGACAAATATGTATTTGAAATCTGTAAGAAACAATTTTCCTGTTATTTGGAACTCTATTCCTCCCGAAATATCCTCATGCAAGTCTTTAACATTATTTAAAAGAAAATTAAAGCAGCATCTTATATCGAAATATCATTAATTCTAGTACCCATATTCTTATTATACAGCATTACATATAACTGTTTTCGAACCTATGATTTTTTTCCACTTGTATTACCTGCCATGAACGATGTCCCTGTCATGTTTTGTCATGTATGTTTCTTTTTTAGTTTTGTTTGTATATGTAATCCTCTTAACTACTGTTCGGGGAACTATGCCTCCACAAGGCCATTTGGCCTTATTTTTTAGTTCCCTATTTTCATTTTCTTATATATTGCAAATGCTTATAATTGTATATACCTTTGTATTGTTTTTATTGAAAATGGAAATGAATAAAATGAATTGAATTGAATTGAACATTTGTAACTATTTCTATTTGACAGGTTACATGACTCTGCAGCTAGACTTAAAGACAACATAGAGAAAGAACTATCAGAGAGGGCAGCATTTGAAACAGAGGCAGATGAATCATTAGCCGATTTTATTCAAGGCAGAGAAACTCTGGAAGAACAAACTGCTAGTATTGGACCCCTTGTTTCAGATGCAGAAGAGAGAATAAATCAACTTGAAGTAAGATCCGTTTGTCTTGAATGCATAATGAAAATAGCTACCTGTGCTGTAGCTAGTGATATATATATATATATGTAATTACGGTGTTAAACAAAAAATGTCTAACATGTACATGTCAGGGATGCCAGTTTTCAGGCAATTGCCTGAATTCAGGCCCTGGCAAGTTATTTTCAGGCCATAGTTTAGGCTGTTTTGTGTACAAACTAGCTCATTCTAGGTGATTTTCAGGCCCTCTGATCAATTCTAGCTGGCATCCCTGACATGTGTTTTGTTTATGTTTTTGTTTGTTTTAAGGATCATACCTGCAAAACATATTAGCAAAGACTTCCACAAAAACATCACAAACATATTTTTTTAAAATAAACATTCAATATGAAAAAGAGCAAGGTTCTTTCTCTAAAGTAATCTATTTACAACCATTTAACAATGGTGTAATTTTATTTAAAATTGGGTATAGTCTTGACCTGAGGAGCACTTTCAAAGTCATTCCCATTACCCTTTGGAATGATTATTATCACGTTATTATAAAAGAATTAAGTTGCCTAGGAAATAGTCTTTATGTATTTAACACATGTTCCTTGTTTACTTAAGGCTGTGAAGTCAGAGCTCCTGCCCAAATTAGATCACATAGAGGAGTTGTGTAATGAGCAGCATCAGAAGTACAAAGACCTTAACTCAGTGCCTCCATCTAGCATCTCAGAGAAACTTGAAGATCTCCGATCACAGAAATCAAAGCTGAACAACCAGCTAGACTCCACCATCCAGGAATTAAATGAGGCCAAGAAGATGAGGTGTTTATTCCAGCAACAGACTTGCAATACAGAGCAAGCTGTAGACAAAGCAAAGGAGCTGTTGAACAAACATATCTTTGATGTGCCAGATGCTAAAAAGGAACATGAGGTAATTGCTCTTTCTATTCTTGTAGAGTAACTGCTTTCATCCACTTCATCACAGTATCTCAGCGAACATTTGCTTTATTATATTTCTCCTATATCAGGAGTGTTGTGGTCGAGTGGTTTAAGGCGCTTGACTGGAGATGCGAAGGTCAAGGGTTTGAATCCCGACACGGCTCTAATATCTTTTGGCAAGATATTTACCTGCACTTGCCACTCTCCACCCAGGTGTTAAATGGGTGCCCGATAGGATGCAAAATTTCATGTGGTTGGATGAGCAAGTGTGCACTTGTAAAAAGGCGACTGGCTGGAATGATCCCCAGGGAGTGGAAAATGTGCATACATTGTGTGCTGGTAAGCCTGAATCAGATGACTAGGTAAATAATATATCTGTAAAGCGCTTAGGCACATTGTTGTATCAATGTATTGGGCGCTATATAAAAGTAGAATATTATTATTATCATTATTATTATTTGTGTGTCAGTTTGTGTTATCTTGAATAAGTGATATAATTTGATATTATAAAATGTAATTTAGCGGTCATTAGTGTAATGATCAAGAATCATAAAGAATATTCTATGTATTTGATCAGACTATCTGCTAAATCTTTATTGAAATCCTAGTTTGGAGGTCTTTATGTAGATGCTTTAATGACAGAGTCCGGCTCTTCTCTGAAAAATAAATATAGGACAGATTATGAAAACAGTGCTTTTTTATTAACACTGACAGCAGTCTACTGCTACAGCTGGAACTCAGTTTCACCAGACATGGAATGAAGGGGTCTGGTTTTTCTTTGAAAGAAATTAGGACATATATGAAATGAATTTCTGTGTTGATCACTATTGGCAGAATTTACAGGACTCGTTGGAGTCAGCTCAGTTAGTCATGCACTCTGTTCAGTACGTCGCCCAGCAACTGACAGACCAGACCAACAGACCAGACGAACGCAGTGCCATCATCACTACCATTGCATCCCTTCAGACCAATCTAGCAGAGGTCATTCACACCACTGACCAGATGACTGATGAACTGATCAAAGCCATGGAGCCGTGGAAACAGCACCAAAGTGCCAAGGAAGCAGTGGAAAGGTGGCTTGATCAAGGAGTTGATACGGTGAAGCCTACCTTGAGCCTGGGTAATATGCCTACGGTCTTGCGTCAACTGCAGGAACACAGGGTTAGTGAATCTACCCTTGCCTTTTCAATCCTGTGGTTTACATTTTATTCAAATGTTAAACCCATTTACTCTAGCTATTAGTTGATGTTATTAGCATAGCTCTTCCATTTTACAGGAATATTTAATTTTATTTGATTTTGTTGATAGTCATTGACAGATTGCCTGTATAAGTACAATAAAACACTTCATGATTGCTTCTTTGAGTTTAAATTCTATATATGCTAAAAAACAACAGCAGAAAGTATACATACCAGTACAATATTCGTCTTAAAATGTCATCTGGAGTGGTTCATCAGGTTAATTATCTTGTTGATTATTCCACTAATACTACTGCAGAAGTAGAATAAAATCCTAAATTTGTGTTGTTGAGGGGTCGAGGTCTAGTGGATATGTGACCAGACTGTGGATCACAAGGTCCATGGTGGCGGCACGTATGTCCTTTGGCAAGACATTGATCTACATTTGCCACTCTCCACCCAGGTATTAAATGGGTACCCGGTAGGATGCGACAGTAAATGTGGTTAGATGATTAAATTAGATTAAGTTAGATTGTAAAAATGACGCCTGGCTGGAATGCTCCCCAGGAAGTGGAGAATGTGCATAGATTATTACTATTATTCTTTTCTGCCAAAATGTAGGCATTACTGGAAGATGTCCCAGACACTATTGAAAGTGTAGAGGCCTTGATGTCTTCTGGTCCAGCTCTTGCCAAAGTGCTGAAGGACCCTATCCACCAGGAAAAAGCAGATGACCTGAAAAAAGACTTCCAGGATATGCTTAGTACCGCCCAGGAACGCAAGGACACCTTGGAGGATGAGACAAGGAGATGGCAGAACTATCAGGGTGGTCTCATGGATCTGTTCCAAAGGATAGCCGATGCCAAGGATATGATGCTCTCACCAGACATGGATCAAATGACTCTCAATCAACAGCTTGAAAATCAGAAGGTATTGTATTGTAACTGACATTTAAAGATTTTTCAGATTAAAACTATTTGTAGAAAATTGGTCCAATTGAAATACAGGAAATTGGACATGCATGTGCTGTAGATCGTGTTGAGATCCTGGGTGGTGGAATCCGCCCTACCATTGCTGAGAGAAATAACCAATCCTTTTGAGGGTTAAATAGATCTCACTTCTGATTGCATTTAAGATCCTTTAATAGACTAATGAACAGGAGAATAACCTGGCTTGTATTTAATAACATTTGATAGGATCAGAATTTATTGCATATCTCCACTTTGATCACAAGATCACAAATTTGCAGGATATAAATAATTCTATTAAAGGCGTTGGCCATTTTCGATATTATTTTGAGAATTCATTTGTGCCATTTATTTGTAAATCTTAGGAGGTTCTTGAGAAGTTAGAAGCTGCCAGTAAGCACCTAGCAGACCTGAATGATGCCCACAAACTCCTGGCCCCCATCTCTGCTGATCAAACAAGTGAGCTAGATGGAGATGATGATGAGGATGATATCATTGAGAAGGGGGTCAAAGATCCTCAGTTGATGAGCTTACAGGAAGACATCTCCCGGATAAATGATGTTGCCATACAACATGGTGAAGTCCTACAGAAATCTCTTGTACAACAGGTCAGTGAGCCCCCCCCCCCCCCCCAAAAAAAAAAAACTCCTTGTTTTGATGTTGACTATGCAAATGGGTTCTTTCAGTTAAGGCAATTGTACATGTACATATCTAAATCCAGACAAATTAGAATAGATGATTACTTTGTCTCATTCTTGCACGTTAAATTTTAAAAAAAAATCAAAGGGATTTTAATTGCGACTTCATGAGGCCTCATCAACAGTATTCTCTCATTTTTTGTGTGTGTTTTATTGAAATAAATCTTGAACGCAATTAGTGCCATAGACAGTTTTTTATTTCCCATGTTTTATTTTTGAGCCTAAGAAAACTGGGTTTTCTTCTTAATATTAAAAAAGGCTCAATATGTGTTTAAAATGACATTATGTTTTTAATGTTCTCATACAGGAGGCATATGAGAAGCAATTGGAATTATTAGAAGCTCAGCTCCAGACAGCACAAGATACAATGGCATCCCCAGTAGAACCTACAAGTATGGAGCAACTCCAGAAACAATTAGCACAACATGAGGTAAATATTATCATAAACTATTGATATTAAAATTGATTGTAAAAAAGCTGGTTAGAATGGTATATATGCTTCTTTGGCAGAGGATCTTGTTCCATTGTATTTCCTTCATTCATAGCCATCTGAAAAAATTACTACTTTTACATCACAATCTTGTTTAAAGTTCATATTTTGGTTTGATGTACACAATGAAGTAGTATACTTTATGTTACTGTACATTTAAGATTGATACTTACAGTGTATGACTCATTCAAACTTAGTGCGAGCTTCAGTCCCAGATGTTGAAAGCATTGAGAGAATGATTGCTTAACATGTACTATATTTCAAAATTTCTTTTTGAGCCTACCTATAGGTTAACCATTGTGGAGCTCTCTTCCAGCTGTTGGTTAAGAAGTTGATATTGTAAATGAAATATGTCTTCCTTTGAGAATGTTGAAACTGAATTGTAGAACAGGAACATCTTTTGGGGTAATTTTGCAGCAGATATATCATACCTATTTATATTATTTTTCACTTCAGGTGCTTGCAGTCGAAATTCAAGGATATGAAAATGAGATTCAGGAAATTAACAACAAGACTCAAGAACTCCAGGAGGAAGCAACTAGAAGGACAGACTTCAGGCAGACATATCTTGCCGCCCTCACTCCTCTTGGTCCCCCTATGGTTGCTACTCCAGAGTTTGGTGTAGGTGCTCGCTTGGTTAGGAGGGGTTCACCCATAAGGACTCCATGGAGATCATTTTCTCCAGAACCTATGCAGACTTCATTACTGGAATCAAAGAGACCTCTTGGTGAAAGTGATGTCACTGAAGATCAGCCTCCACAGAAAAAGGTTCTGTTTGCTGATGACCCCTCAGTGGCAGGTGTAGGTGATGAATGTCACAGAGACGATGTTGACAGTTCACTAGCACTTCCTTCCATATCAGGAGTAGAAGGCAAAGAGATGGACTCAAATGAAGATATGTCAAAATTTCCTACTCAATCTACCAAGAGATGTTTTGATGATAGTGAACCTGACCAGTCACCTAAAATTCTTGCCACATCCACACCCAGACCAGGTTCTGTTGAAAAACCTTTGGATACCCTGAATTCTAAAAGTGCTGCTCAATTATCCAAAGTGTTACCTGATCCTTACAGTGATGTACCATATCAAATTATCACTGACAGGGGACCTGCATATGTCCTTCGCCCAGCAGGCTCCAGTTCCATCATTGGACAACCTGGAAAGGATGGGGATGCACCAGGTGGAGGGGATCATCAAACCCAATATGTCATCAAGCAACCTACACCATACCTTTCTCCTGTTGTTGTTCGGAGGGTGCCCATTGTAGAAAGAATTGTACCATTTGCCGTCATTGATCCAAAAACTGGCAAGACTATGGAGGCTGTACCAACAGGCAATGTGAACGATTTGGAAAACAATGTAACAGCCTACATGGTAGACCCTGAAACAAAGGAATTGGAAATACTAGATCCTGAAAACAAAGTTGCTGTTGTGGCAATACCTTTGAGTGATGAGAGTCTACATAGGGTTCGGGTAGAAGAAGTTGTTTTTGAATCAAGGGTCAAACCTGTGGAGATGGCTCCTGATTTAATGAGGAGTTTACCTTTCTCTGGGCTTAATGATACTGACAGTGACAAAGGTCTTGATGATATCGATGGTGACAATGGACAAGCTGATGTTCAGAGTGTGAAAGAGGAAGGTGATCTGGATAGTGCTCAAGAATTTGACAATATCGATAGTGCCAAAGGACAAGTTTACATTCTTAGTGCTAAGCAGGGTAATTTCCCAAGTCTGAAAGGACTCAATGATGTACAAAGTGTCAAAAGACTTGATCATGTAGATGGTGCTAAAGGACTTGATACAGACTTACCTCCTAAAGCTCAAGCAGATAATAGCCCTTTGCCAATGCTTCCCGATAATCTGAACATCGGGCAACATGAGGAATCTAAAAAAGAACCTATCATAGGCATACAAGGCAGTCAGAAATATGCTGGTGAGCAGCCACAGCCCTCAAATACGGATGTGTTCAAATCAAAATTAGGAATGGCAGAAGAAAGCGAGAAGCCAAATACTGATCTTCACCAGGTAGTAACCACCAAAGGACCTGCATATGAACTGAGGCCTGTTGACTCTGATTCAACAGCTTCAAATCATGGAATAGATACTCTGTCCTATGGTGATGATTCAAAAGAGACTGTACCACAACAATACACTGTCTCAAAGATGACTCATTTTGATGGTGTTCCTGAAGTGGTTGGTAATGCTCCTGTGCCCTGGGATCAAGTTCCTATCCTAATCAAGGACCCATCAACAGACAAGATCTTAAAAATTGTTCCTGTAGTGGATCCTGATGATTTGAAAAGCAAAGTCACTGCATATGTACAGTCTGACCCACGGTCAAAAACCTTGGAGATTATTGATCCTCAGCTCTTGAAATCTTATGTGGCTGATGCTATAGAGTCTGTTCACTGTGACGAGAACACTTCAAAATCATCCAAGTTAGATGAAGATAGGCAAGCTCTTCAGCTTATGACAAATAAAGGACTAGCATATGTCCTGCAACCACTGTCTGAAGAAGCATCACCCGTGCAAGATGTCTCACCTGTTGGGAAGAAACCTGAACAGGACAATGCAGAGTTCAAGATCGTTGATGAAGCAAGACCGGCTAATGCTGCTGTTGTGACAGGATCAAGAAGTTCAACTAGACACAAACCAATAGAGATCCTTGATCAACTTTCAGGGCAGAAATTTGTTGCAGAACCTGCTACTAATGTTAATGACCTAATGAGCAAGCCCACACTTTACCTGCCAGAGACAGCAGATCTGTCCAAGCCAATGGTAATATTCCATCCTAAAACAAGTACAGAAATAGTTGCCTTTCCAGCAACACCTCAACCAACTGAATTTTCCAAACAGCCACATTATGATAGCACTTACCTTTCTGATTCTGGGTCTTTTACAGAACCACAAAGAGAACATATTCCAAGTTTTATCACTTTGAAATCAATGACTGTTCCAGTTGCTGATTGTGAGTACAGCAAGGTTAAACCAAGCAATCAAGTAACTCCAGTTATGACAGAACCCATCACTCACCAGGTTGTCACTGATCATGGACCAGCATACACACTGAGACCTTTCATTGGAAGTGGTGGTCCAACAGCAGGTAATGATGATCCAGATGTAGACTTTGTCCTTGCCAGTCAAGACCAATCAGATGATCCCCCTGTTTTGACTGGCGAACAGAAGCTGGATATCCACATTCAACCATTGCATGTGAAAGATCCTGAATCAGGTCAAGTTATGATTTGTGAACCTATGACCGATGTCAATGACCTCAGTGGTGTGCTTGCTGTGGTTGGTAGTGTTGATGGTAATCCACTAATGACTGTCTATAATCCTGCAACGAAGCAGTCTGGAGTAGCAGTGCCAAAGGCTCTATATTGTCCACCTTTACCAGTAGAGAGTCCTTCCTCTCAGGGAGATTCAAATGTGACCTCTTATGTATCAATAACAAAGCCAGTGACTCAAGTACAACAGACTCCTACACAAGATGTGACTGAACCCACCAAAAGAAGTGATGATGCAGGTGACGAAATACAGAGTGGGGAAAACATTGATGAAGCTCAACATGAAGGAAGGGAATCTGATCTTAATTTGGCAGGGTGTCCCTTGTTTTCACTGTCTCATGTCGAAGTGACTTCTGCATCAGATGATGGGACACAGCCTTCTTTTGGTGCATCAAATATCATTGAGGAACTGTCACCTGAACATCATAACTTGGGTGCAGAAGATTTAGCTAAAGATGAAGAAGAAGTTGGAAAGCCTGTTTCCAACCAGATTTTGACATCACTTGGACCTGCATACACCTTGATACCAGTTGAGTTGTCTGAACAAAGTAAAGTGCATCCTAAAGATGATTTCAATACAACAGGTGACTGGAGTCAATCCAAGAGGAGCATAGATGGCATTGCTGATGATCTACCTTGTGTTAGAGCAGATTCTGAAGCTCTGAACATTCTTCCTGTGGTTGTGGGATCCAAGCCATCTCCAAAGGAGGATAGTTTCTTAGTTGAGGACCCAGTCTCTAAGAAAATATTCAAAGCAAAGCCGGTTCATAGCCTAGATGTTTTACACAATCAACCGAGTGTCTTTGTAGATGATACAAGTAAGCCTGTTCAGATTCATTTCCCAGACTCATCATTAAGAGCACCAATCACAAGCAACAATACAGATCGAAAAGAGAATCCTCTCTCAGATATTTTCCAGATACTATCTAAAACTCCATTAGAAAGGTCACTTCTATCTAAACAGGTAGGAAAAGGTTATGCAAGTGTACCCCAAATAGGAGACAACACACCTCATCTAACAGGAATTCACAGTTCCATGGCAATGAAAGGGAGGGACAGCCTGTCTACTGAGGACAATAATGCTGATGAGGAAAGTGAAATTCTAGTGCCTCATGCATCAAAGACACATGCTAGTCTAGAGGAAGTCAAGCATCAACTAGTCACTGATATAGGGCCAGCCTATATCCTTGTACCAGAAGATAACTTTGGAAGTGGGGGAGATGGAGGTGGAGGATCTACCTTTCTAGATGAGTACATTTTAGCAACATCTTCAAATCCAGCCAACAAGCCCTCAGTTATCGGTTCACAGCCATTTTCACAAGATGAGCCATGCATTGTCAGGAACCCCAGCACGGGACAAACTTTCAGGGCTCTACCTGCAGAAAGCCTCAAAGATCTCAATGAAAATCCATCTCTGTATGCCCTTAACTCACAAGATATTCCTGCAGTGCAGGTTTTTGATCCTTCAACTGGCTGTGCATCCATAGGAATTCCAGCAAGTGTACCACATGTTGAAGTCACTACAAAATCACCCCAGCTAGATCAAGATAAACCAGTTCTGCAGCTTATTACAAATAAAGGACCTGCTTACATACTGCAACCACTGACTGAAGAAGTGTCAACCCTGCAAGATGTCACACCTGTTGGGAAGAAACCTGAACAGGACAATGCAGAGTTCAAGATCGTCGATGAAGCAAGACCAGCCAATGCCGCAATTGTGACAGGATCAGCATCTTCAACTGAAATCAAACCAATAGAGATCCTTGATCAACTTTCAGGGCAGAAATTTGTTGCAGAACCTGCTACTAATGTTAATGACCTGATGAGCAAGCCCACACTTTACCTGCCAGAGACAGCAGATCTGTCCAAACCAATGGTAATATTCCATCCTAAAACAAGTACAGAAATAGTTGCCTTTCCAGCAACACCTCAACCAACTGAATTTTCCAAACAGCCACATTTTGAAAGCACTTACCTATCTGATTCTGGGTCTTTTACAGAACCGCAAAGAGAACAATTCTTTGATGATATTCCAAGTGCTATAACTTTGAAATCAATGACTGTTCCAGTTGCTGATTGTGAGTACAGCAAGGTTAAACCAAGCAATCAAGTAACTCCAGTTATGACAGAACCCATCACTCACCAGGTTGTCACTGATCATGGACCAGCATACACACTGAGACCTTTCATTGGAAGTGGTGGTCCAACAGCAGGTGATGATGATCCAGATGTAGACTTTGTCCTTGCCAGTCAAGACCAATCAGATGATCCCCCTGTTTTGACTGGCGAACAGAAACTGGATATCCACATTCAACCATTGCATGTGAAAGATCCTGAATCAGGTCAAGTTATGATTTGTGAACCTATGACCGATGTCAATGACCTCAGTGGTGTGCTTGCTGTGGTTGGTAGTGTTGATGGTAATCCACTAATGACTGTCTATAATCCTGCAACGAAGCAGTCTGGAGTAGCAGTGCCAAAGGCTCTATATTGTCCACCTTTACCAGAAGAGAGTCCTTCCTCTCAGGGAGATTCAAATGTGACCTCTTATGTATCAATAACAAAGCCAGTGACTCAAGTACAACAGACTCCTACACAAGATGTGACTGAACCCACCAAAAGAAGTGATGATGCAGGTGACGAAATACAGAGTGGGGAAAACATTGATGAAGCTCAACATGAAGGAAGGGAATCTGATCTTAATTTGGCAGGGTGTCCCTTGTTTTCACTGTCTCATGTCGAAGTGACTTCTGCATCAGATGATGGGACACAGCCTTCTTTTGGTGCATCAAATATCATTGAGGAACTGTCACCTGAACATCATAACTTGGGTGCAGAAGATTTAGCTAAAGATGAAGAAGAAGTTGGAAAGCCTGTTTCCAACCAGATTTTGACATCACTTGGACCTGCATACACCTTGATACCAGTTGAGTTGTCTGAACAAAGTAAAGTGCATCCTAAAGATGATTTCAATACAACAGGTGACTGGAGTCAATCCAAGAGGAGCATAGATGGCATTGCTGATGATCTACCTTGTGTTAGAGCAGATTCTGAAGCTCTGAACATTCTTCCTGTGGTTGTGGGATCCAAGCCATCTCCAAAGGAGGATAGTTTCTTAGTTGAGGACCCAGTCTCTAAGAAAATATTCAAAGCAAAGCCGGTTCATAGCCTAGATGTTTTACACAATCAACCGAGTGTCTTTGTAGATGATACAAGTAAGCCTGTTCAGATTCATTTCCCAGACTCATCATTAAGAGCACCAATCACAAGCACCAATGCAGATGGAAAAGAGAAACCAGTAATTCCTCACGCATCAAAGACAAAGGCTAGTCCAGAGATAGTCAAGTATCAACTAGTCACTGATATAGGGCCAGCCTATATCCTTGTACCAGAAGATAACTTTGGAAGTGGGGGAGATGGAGGTGGAGGATCTACCTTTCTAGATGAGTACATTTTAGCAACATCTTCAAATCCAGCCAACAAGCCCTCAGTTATCGGTTCACAGCCATTTTCACAAGATGAGCCATGCATTGTCAGGAACCCCAGCACGGGACAAACTTTCAGGGCTCTACCTGCAGAAAGCCTCAAAGATCTCAATGAAATTCCATCTCTGTATGCCCTTAACTCACAAGATATCCCTGCAGTGAAGGTTTTTGATCCTTCAACTGGCTGTGCATCCATAGGAATTACAGCAGGTGTACCACAAGTTGAAGAACTTGTGAGTGAAACCAGATTGAAACCAACTGAAGCACCGCTGAGACTCAGCCTTCCAATACCCAATCTACAGTTGACAAGCAGTCTTTGGGGAAGAAACAACCGTATGATTATGATAAAGCTCCTGGTCATACTTCAATGGTAATCAATGAGAGTAGTATTCCAGAAAAGGATAAGCAAAGCATGAAGCAAGAAGATGACTCCCCTCACTCTGAAGATGATGTTTTTGAGAGTGATAAACCAGAACCCATAATTCAAAGTGATGAATCAACTGCTACTTCTGGTGCTGCCATAGATACACCCTTTTTACTTGGCTGGATGGAGAAGGATAACGAGAAGCCTTGCACAATAGAATCAGAACAAGATACTGCAATGGATGTCACAGGAGCCCCTCTTTCAGTGCCACCAGTAGAGCAAATACTTACGGACAGAGGTGCTGCATATGTTTTAACTCCTTTATCAGAGCTAAAAGAGCATAACGGAGCTGCCATCAGTGGAAAAGGATTGGCTGGTGCAATTCCTGGTGCTGGAAGTTCAAGTCTCCATACATCATCGCCAGACTATGTTATTGTAGAGGATACAGAATTAAAGCGATTACCAGTTATAACAGGCACTCAGCAAATAAGAGATGTTGCTCCTTTTATCATCAGAGATCCCAAGTCAGGTCAAGACCTAGCTGCTATTCCAGCAACAGTGTCAGATGACCTGCTGAGTCTAGTAGGTTTCACAGATGATCCTAAAGAGGATCCCTTGATGATACAAGATATGCAAACTGGGGAATCCATGATTGCACTGCCAGCATACCGGATCCCTGATGAACTAGGACAGTCTCAATCACTACCTACCAGGGATGCAGGTTTTTACTCTAGACCAAGCAGCATGACTGTTACTGATAATGCATTGAAGTATCCTATTGATTCAGATGATAGTTCTGTAGATTCTCTTCCTCTACATTCCAACTCAGACACAAGACATCCTACAGAATACGGTGAAGTGCCACTGAAGTCCATGCCAAGGGTGAGGGATGGTGAGGAAGAGCACTATCATAGTGATTCCACGTCATCTGACTTTTATACTCCTAATGGTTCACCAGTACCATGGCAACAGAATCACGAAGCAGCTCCAATACCACATAAAAAAGAAACTGACAACCAAACCCCAGTGCAAGACCAATCTACTGAATATGAACCAGTTGTGTCAGCTGCTGATCTCCTTGAACAAACACTGCAGATCCAACCTAAGGTTGTTTTGCAGAAGGATTCATCGCCCACTGAACAGTCACCAAGTTTGATAGAAAAAGACAAACTTCAGGGTGCTGAATCATTAGTTTCAACACAGCTAAATGTCAGAGCTGTAGAAACAGGACAACTTCATACTCGACCTAGTCCTGAGTCTTCGCCACTAGACCATGCCAGCAGAGCCACTAGTCATAGTCCTGTAGAAGTAAAAAAAGACCAACATTCAAAACAAGCTGAAGCAGTGGAAGCTGTAGATGAGAAACCAAAGCAGACGTTGTCAAGGAACATGCCACTTCCTGTGATACGCCATGAAGACTGGAAGGAAGACTGGAACGATCCTTCTACAGTAGATGGTAAAGGACAGAAGATAGACCAACTCAATCGCTCATGGGATGCTCTAAAGCATAAGGTACAGTCATTTAAAGTGTGTAACTATCATAATTTTCACACATTACGTTTAGTTCTGATTAAGTTTAAGCTTGTAAAATTATGTATAGGTAACATGTGATTTCTCTGAGATATTCTTAAAAGCTGCCTTAAAACATAACAGTTTGTTTTTGTTTTCATAAGTTTTTAGTTAACACAGATGTAAGTGAACATATGTTTTTTTCTTACAATTTTGACAAGTATTAACATTTTGAAGGTGTTGAAATATTTTGCTATCAAATTTGGATACGATATGACGTCAATACAAGTAATTTAATTTTCATGTATTTTTTTTTAGATGGAGGAGAAGGAACGTCTTCTAAAAGATGCTTTAGCCAAGCAGGAAGATTACCGGAATGCTCTGTCTCAGATCAACATCAGGCTTGCTAACACAGAGGCTCAACTCAAAGAGATCAAACACACTCCAATGGAGGCTCGTAACCTTGATGAACACATTCAAGAACTCAAGGTGGGAATATTTCATCTGCCTAGGGGAGTGTTTTACAAAGACTAAGATCGACTTTAAGTTGAAGTTAACTATGGCAGGCCGTTCATGCCACTGTTTGCTCTCACCATTATGATCTTCAGATAACATTTTTTACTTTAATAATGAATTATCAAAAAATGTGAATTCTCTAGATTTGTGACCATGATTTGTACGTCCCTTGAAACATAAATGCCAGTAAATGGTGAAAGCAAACAGTGGCATGAATGGCCTGTCATATAAAGTCCAACTTTAAGTTGATCTTAGTCTTTTTGAACCCCCCCCCCCCCCAGAGCATGGAGCGCATTAACCCATCAACTACTAAATTCTCTCATTCTCCTGGGCTGAATACAAGAGCCACCCACTTTCCATTGGCAGTGGATTAGATCTGTGTCAAAGAATATGAGTTGACACTACTCTCAATTGACAAGTAGTTCTTCAAAACTGATCTTGGTGCTTGCCAATATAATAGCACACTGAGATATAGAAAAAGGAATTAACATTAATTTGACAGCCCAATGCTTTAACATGGACAAGGAAAATAGATCTGAATCTTAATCTGAATATTAATCTTGAATGCTGACGTAGATTATAACACGTTCTGTACTTTTATGCATACAAATTTTATTCCAACCTTTCTGATTCATTGCTGTATTGCAGATTTGTAGATCCCTTATCATGCTTACCATGTACTAGATAATTAAGTTCTGATTTCTTAACTCAATTGAGGGCACTAGATCGTATACAGGCTGGAGTTCTCATCCATGAAGTTTGTAATGTTATGTTTTGATTGTAGAATCTGATGAGTGAGTGCAGTAATTTAGATGAGAATGTGAGCATGGTAGAAGAGAAAGCCACCAAGCTACACATACCCCAAGACATACTCAGGGAGACTATAGATGATCTCAGAGATAGAGTTGATAAGATCAAGAGTGATGCTAATGAGCTTCTCCAAAAGTTACAGGTATGAAGTAATAGATTGAAGTCAACATTCTTCAAAGCAGCCTAACTTAGTCTACTGATTTATGAAAGGCCAAGTGTCAATCCATAATGTCGACATTGTAATTGTGTAAGAAAATAAATAGAATAAATTTTGTCATAAGTTGAAATGAGAAAGCAATTTCTTAGTAGGAAGTTAAAGTATTTCATTGAGTTACTGAATTATGATGATTTAAACAGAATTAAATTCGTTGACATCTAGCAATCCATAAAACGATGGACAAACAGTATTTGTGATAGTTTTCTATGAAATGTTTGGAGGGTAGTATCAACATACAACAGTCAATCTACCTGCTACATGGGTCAACTAAGTGCATCTAGACAGGGTTTGTATCAAAGAAGTGGATTGGAATTGACATAGTTTAGCTATTCGTTGTGCTATCATCAGAGTGAACAAGAATTAACAAAATGCTAAGATTGAACAAAATATGGAAACTAATGGCTGAGTTCATGACAAGTTATGTAAAGTCACATGGATTGGAAGAGAAAATCTTCTGGTTATAGTTATATAGTTAACCTTTTTTCTTTCCCGGCATCCATGTGACTGTTACTGTTGTTTTATATTCACTGTTTTCTTGAATTTGTCAATGCGGAGTTAAAAAAAAAAATTCTCAATTTGGTAAGGACAATTGTCTCTTTATATTTTGAATCTGTCACAATGATCTATTTTAAATGTTCCACTCTTCTTTTCCATGTTGTTTCTATTTTAGAAAGAGAAAGAAGATGGAATGCGTGTTAAGGTAAGACTAGAGGTCAATCAGCAAGAACTTCAGCATCTAGATGACTGGTTGACTGACTTCATCAAACAGCTTGAACCAGATGAAAATAAAGAGAGTGGTGACGAGGAATTGAGTGCTTCAGACATTCAGGAACAACTCCTTCAAAATCATGTAAGATATGACAGTTTCCTTTTTTTTAAATATCTTTGTCATTTTATCAGAAATTCAATCTAAAGTATTTCACCAAAGTTCATTCATCATAGAACTCACTTTTGCCTTTTTGTCCTTTCAGACTGAGACATGTAATCATACTGTGATACACTTGAACCTTTTATAATAATTCCTACGGACCAAGGAAATTACCATGTTAGATTGAAATATTTACATGTTAGGGCTAAAGACGATAGAAAACAAATAACTGGGATCAACAAAACCAACTTGTTATAAAGGGTATGTTGTCGCTGTGATCTTTGAAATGATGTTCCATAGTACCGGTATTCAATTTTTCTTGACATTCTGTTTTAAGTATGGTGAGTGTTTCCATCTTTTCCCATTTCCAGAACCATCAGCTTGAGTTGAGTCGCAAGCTACAGAAGCTGAATGACATTGAGGAGAGCATTGAGCAGACCTTGGATGCCACCACCTGCCAGACACCTGTCCTAGCGGAGCATCTTGAAACCACTGTACGGTATCTACATAACCGCATGGATGCCTGTAAGAGAAACCTTGCAGACCAAAGGGAGCACCATAGGATGCTGCTGAATACAGAGCGGCTGGCCCAAGAGTACCAGAGTGATGTGGCCAAGCTCCAGGAGTGGTTGGAGCAGCAAAGAGGAATGATGTCAGCCTCAGGTGGAGCAGTGACTAGCAAGTTGCCTCCTGTGGAAGTTGGAGCTGAGATGCTACAGCAGCAGGCAGAACTACAACAGGTTAGTGAAGCCATGCACTCCATTGAAGCCGTAATCCACCTTATAAATCCAGCATGGCAAAATGACATTAGTGTAGTGCACTTCACATCTCTGTATCTTTGAACACATAGATATCTCATTTTTATGCCTCTGTTACGAAGTAGCCGGAGGCATTGTGTTTTCGGGTTGTCCTTACGTCCCGTTCTCGTGATGGCGTTATCTCAAGAACTGATTGATGGATTCCTGCCATACCTAGGTCATGTATGTATTTTGCAGAGCCAATGAATCGATTAGTTTTTGGGGTTACGAGGTCAAAGGTCACAGGGCTCATTATGTATGCAAACATAGCTTGTGATCACATTATCATTAGAACAGATGGACAGACACGATGAATATGACGGACAAAGAAAGAGGACAAAATATACAGTTCCTCAGGTAGACAAAGGAACACCCTTTCACTGCTATTATGAAAAAATTTGTAGAACAGGTGAATATGCATGTGACACCTGTTCTACACATTTTTACATAATAGCAGTGAAGGGATGTTCCTTTGTCTACCTGAGGAACTGTATATTTTGTCCTCTTTCTTTGTCGGTCATATTCATAGTGAGATTACCATCAAACTCAGGACATGTATATCTCTTGCTGAGCCAATGAACTTAGATTTTGAGGTCATGAGGTCAAGGTCAAAGGACATGGGGCTCATTATGTATGCAAAAATAGCTTGTGATCGCATTATCATTAGAACCGATGGGCGGATTACCAGCAAACTCAAGACATGTATGTATCTTGCAGAGCCAATGAACTGAGTAGATTTTGGGGTCATGAGGCTGATTATGCATGCAAAAATAGCTTGTGAATGCATTCTAATTAGAACTGACGGATGGATAACAATCAAACTAAAGACATGTATATCTTGCAAAGCCATGAACTGATTAGATTTTAGGGTCATGAGGTCAAAGGTCTAAGGGTCAAACATGTATATGAGAAATTTGAGAACCTGATAGGGAATTACAATTAAACTTGAATTTGAAAAATTGCTTCTGTTTTGGTTTGTAAAATTGCTCTTTGACAGAGGCATCATTTTCGACTGTGCGCAGTCAAAATTCCATCTACCAGTAGTTAGTATTAATGTATCCCCCGACAGTATGCCGAAGGATACTTTGGATTCAACAGCGTTACGCCCCCGCATCCGGTGTGTCATATTCTTGTGTGTGCTCTGCCACATTCCTTAAAAGGATTTCTTTCAAATTTTGTGTGGAGGTGTATTTTGATTTAATATACACACCTACAATTTTTGGTGATGCTGCCCCCAGTGTTCCATTTTCTATATTGGTAGATGTCTTGTGTACATTCTAATGTGCATTCTAATTGCAACATTTCTTGACAGATTTCTTTCAAATTTTGTTTGGAAGTGTATGTTGGTAAAATTTACACATCTTTAGTGTTTGGTGACCTGTGTTCGTCTGTTATAGGGTCAAAGGTCATATTTTGGTGGGTGTCTAGTGTGCGCTCTGCTGGTCATATTTCATGACGGATTTCTTTCAAAGATTATATGGAGATGTATCTTGGTACAATCTACACATCTACACTTTAAGGCGATGCTGCCCTCATTGTTCCGTGCTTTAGAGGGTCAAAGGTCATATGTCTTTTATGCGCTGTAACTGTTACATTACTTGACAGATTTCTTACAGATTTTGTATGGAGGTCCATCATAGTTTACTCTAGACCTCTACAGATTTGGTGATGCTGCCCCCCCCCCCCCCCAGTGTTCTATCTTTTATGGGATTAAAGGTCGTATTTTAGGGGAAATCTTGTGTCCCTCTGCATGTCACATTTCTTGACAGATTTCCTACAAATTTTCTATAGAGATGCACACGTATTGTTTTGGTGATGCTACTTCTAGTATTAACAATAGTCCGAGCCACTAGTGGCGATCTCTACCCAGGGACAAAAAAACATTCATTTTGTTTTCTCCATTAACAATTTTTTGGACATTTTTGGGGGCTCCATATTCGACTTTCGGGGGCTCTTATTTCTGGGGCTACTTTTTCATTCATTCGTAAAAGGATACAGTTTGTTGAGTTTTGTAGTAGACTTACTTATATATTTATCTTTGATTAAGGTTTCAGGCTTCTTGCTTCATAATTACCCATTCAAAAAGAAAGCATTTATCAAGTTAAATAACTAAGTTTTAATGCATTTATTTGATGCAAGAACTGTAACATATTAGTAAAGGTGTTACTAATGTCTATGTTTTTAAACGACTGTCTGATTTTCTTGTGAATACTTTACTCTAAAAAATGATTATCGAAATTCAGTATACAACTATACACTATGAACTATACTCAGGTTTCATACCTCTATTTAGAAACTATATTGAAATCGCGGCAGTAATGATGCAAACAGATAGCAATTTCAAAGTGTTGTCAAGTCTCTTTGACTCTAGCTCACACAGTGACAGTTCCGACAGCAGCTGCAGTAGCACTGCACTGTATTGTACGTGTGTGGACTCACGGCAGCTTGCACCTGAACTGTCATGTCACAATGATTTTCTCTGATTTTCTTGTGCAAACTTTACTTTAAAAAATGATTATCTAAGTTCAGTAAACATGGCCAGAATAATCACAAAATAAGCTTTGATTTCATACCTATAAACTATATAAAATTGTGGCAATCATGAAAGAAATTGATTGCAGTTTCGCGATGTTTAGCAAATGGTCTATGTTCAGCTAATATGATGTATCAAAACAAAATGTGTTTTGGCGTAAGGTATGGATCAAGTTTTTTAGACCGAATTTGTGTATACAATTTTACACGGAGATTCAGCGCACATGTGCACGCCGACCAAAAAATGCACACAATGAATACAAAGCTAGTAGAGAGCGGCCGCTCAGAATCATTATGGGGGGATTTTAGATCATTTCTTTTTTTAATGTCGCCCCCGTAATCAAATTTTTGGCCTATTTCGAGGGCTTTTTATGGTGTTTCTGGGGCAAACTCGCCTGCCGCCCCGGTGTATTTTTTTGGCTGTCTCTACGTCATCCTTTTGTTTCAGGGAGGGGAGAGGGAATCTTTGTCCCTCCTTCAAACATAAGGATGACACAAAAATCACTGCCAGTGCTGGGGCCCCCAGGTCAAAGGTCAAAGGTCATAGCCCATTAAATATGCAAAATAGCTAATTATATATGCAAAAATGTGGTTTTCATTCTAAAATGAAAGTTATGTTGAGTATGTACATCGAAGGTCACAGCTCATTAAATATGCAAAAATCGCTAAATATAGGCCATTTGTACCTGGATGCTATGCTTTGCATTGACTTGTCATTATTATAATTACTACTTATACTACTACTACTACTATTATTATTACTATTATTATTATAATGGGGTATTGGGCGTTGGTGTTGTGGCGTGCTCCTGTAATCCAGCTAACAGTGGAAGTTACATACTGATTCAGCCAAGGACGCAGGTCCAAAACTGAGTCACGTCTTTCGGATGGTGACGTTTAAAGGTCAGTCCCCAGACGTAAATAATCATATCTGATTGATACATGTCTGTAAAAACCCAATACACACACACCTTTGTCTGAAAGAAGAAAAGATGGACCTCTACACCATGATTTCCCCCTTACACTTCATGGTTTCGTCATGAAAGAGCTCCCATCTCTTTCATAACCTTTATTGTATTAATCAAGGAAGAATTCTTAGACGTCTAGAACTACATTTAACCCTAATCCTTTTGAAGGCCCAGTTTTTATGGAACTTGTATATTCAGTTTTCTTTGTTTCATTTGTATTTATCATTTGTATTTATAGGTTCTCTTATCTTAATTGTTGACGTAATTTCCATTTTGTTCTCAGTTAAAGTTTGATATTCATTGCTTATCAATGTGGTTAAATCTCATATCAATGTAAAGGTTATACGTCTAGATCGATATTGGACTAATTCCATCGTCCAAGAGGCAAACAGAACCGGTAAGCGCCCCTGGTTGGGGTCCCGGAGTCACGTTATCGAGTGACATCACTATATGGACCACTATGATAACGAGCGCAAAAGACTATTGATCGCTTGCGTGCAAAATACGTCGCTGTGCTTCTACTTTGCTCTACGAATGTACTCTCAATATTATGATTATGGCCGATCTTGACTTAGAATTAGATTTTGAAGTCGACAGTGTTCAGGAGGAGGATGATGAGGACAGTATGAGCTCATATAGTTTTATGAATAGTGACGATGACCAGGGCGAAATAGGTGAAATAGATGAAGATTTCAATGAGGCTGCTCGTCATGCTGCAGATGCAGATGCTACTGCTGGTGATGCCGCCGCGGCCGTGCTAGAGCCAGAACTCAAGCATACCTACACGTCACAGACACAGTCACAAAAAGCACTCTCAAAATGAAAAAAGAATGACCAATAATAATATATCGGTAGGCCTATATGAATAATTGCCTGATTGTTGCCAGAGCATACCAGAGCATACCACCGTCAGCCAGCTCAGCCTCACATACTGCTCAGCTGCGCTGATGCGTATTATTCACTTGACGACTTAGCTTAGCTTTATAACAAGGCCGGCCAACTAGGCCTAGTTGACGCGACGAGACTGGCCAGCAAAGGGGGCACCGCAAGGCTATATCTGCCGCTGCGAAGATCAGTGCAGTGCAGTCTTCAGTTCAGTTTTTATTCTCGTACTTTAATTTATTTTTTATTCATATTTCTTATGAATTAATTGTATCCTTCATTTAAAAATCATGTAAGATAACAGTATTTTCAACATATCTGTATTGGAAATCACAGTAAATCACTGCGTTGATAAAGACTTCGGTGCGGCGGTCTATACTCATTATACTCATAGCTTTGGTGCGTGAAATCTAATTCTGCTGATCTGTAAACAAACCGGTCACTTTCGGACTTGAGGGCTCGAGATTTTGCAGGAAAATGCCATTTCTTGTATGTATAATTAGATTCAAGTTAGGTTTTTTTTAATGGTACTCATTCAGCTTGTACACTGTAACTCCAACTCGTTCGTTTTAATTTACACATTTGAGCTTATATGTATATGCACCATTGACCAGGTCCGCCTGTCGAGATCAACAACTTCGTCGAAACTATGGTCTAATTCAACGCTAATTTAACAGG